CGCAGCTGAAAGTTGCCAAGCGGTGCAAATGTTTGTAAAGGAAGCTATAACCTTTCTAAGGATGCACTTGCTTTACTTGAGAGAGTGCACTCTGCTCGGCTTTATTTGCTGTACAACAAATATTATTTCAAATTTTAATGCATATTAAATGCAAGAACCATTTACTTCTTCGCTGCTTTAACTTTAGTTGAAGATGGCGCAAAACGATTTCCGAGTTTAAAACTACAAATCAAAACACGCCCTTTGTTTGAAACTTGCACCATAAATAACCCAACCAGCTGCCGTTAGTTGGAAAAATGAAAAATTTTCAATTATACTAACGGCCAGTGGTGATAATGACCCGAGACCCGATTGCAATGTCATTAGTTGTTCACTGGAAGTCGCACAAGGGACAGTCAATGGACTGAGCTCCAAAGGTTGCAGGTAGTGGCATGGCACATTCATAAATAAAACATGAAGCTGCTCAATATTGTTTATTTAATGGCACTAGTTGGCATAGGCATGACACAGTTATAGGCGTACACATGCATTGGCACCAATTTGTTTTATATAGCCGCTTTTCTATGGCCACCTCATACCATTCCCAATTTAATTGCTCGGCTACTGTGTCATTTGTCTTGGAAATTCGTACTGCCGTGGCATGCAATGAAGATTCTAGTAATCGACGCATCCCTCTTTTCCCACTGAGATATAAATTGAATGATGAATGTACTACATGTGTTCAATTGTTTTTCATCGTCACCAGCTCAAGTCGAATATTCGCAAATAATGACTGTTCAGTAGCAGGTTTTTAAGCTTTCAGCAATACTCGTACAAGTATCTACCTTTATATAATGGCAGACAGACTATCCATATGTATTTTAATATCTTCTAGAAATCCATTTTTTACCCTTCATTCCCACAGCTACATAATAAGAAAATTTCGTAAAATGTTTTCTTCTTTAAATGGTGTGATTTTTATATCCTGTCCGTGTTCCGTAGAAGGAAGTATCTCATTGACCAAACATGGCATGTAGACTCTCCTAATAGGAATAGTAAAAGATGTAGTGCTGTTGATTTTTTAGCTTTCGCAGTAATGGTTAAAAGTAATGCTAAATGTTAGCACAAATTAAAGCCCACCCAATTAAAAAAGAATATAACATATATAGTAACTATACAATATTTGAAAGCATCAAAATCATTACAACAAACAAAGTACATGATAAATCGTGTAATATTATTACCCGAAGAAATATTAAAATTACAGACATGTGGCAAAAATGACTTTTGCCATTTCTATGCCTGAAATATTTAAAATATTTTAATTTATGTTTTTTATATGCTTTCGTCTTATACAACTAAAATGGGGCTCTGCGCTAGCTGTTCGGCCAAATAAAACAAATTTATACAAAAAATAAAATCAATGGAAATTAATTCACTTACAGGATTAATTGGTATTTAAATGTTTTAATTAATGAAATATGTAGATCAGTGCAGAATAACTTATATATTGAATACATATATGTACATACATTCCTCATATGTTAGTATACATATATAATTTTTGTGATTTTGAAGTAATATAACGGATTAGTTCGTACTGGAACGTACAGCTCGGCATATCTACCTATCTCCTGACAGTTTAAATTGTTTGTGCATTAAATATGCTGCGCACTCTGACAGCATCGCTTTAGAAATGGCTATCCAGCAGTGACAATGGGGCAGTTGGCCGTTTGGTGGTCATAAAGTTAATAAGCAATTTGCATTACAAATTTTCTAAAGCAACTACAACAACAACAAGAACAACGGTGGTAACGTTGACAATGCCACAACACGCAACACGCCCACACGGCGCATGTTTAATTTGTGTTGCGTATACGCACCGTTGGTTATCAGCAGTCCATAGAGCAGGGAGCCGCAGTCGCCGAAAAGGGCATGCTTTTAATTGTTTGGCCGAAATGCTTGGCACACTTCAACACCAACGCCAACGCCAATGCCAATGCCACTGGCACTGCGTTTTTCTGTTCTGCGTCGGACAATTTTCAGGGAGCATTTTTCAAATGTAATTTATGCGGCCTTTTAATTAACATGCAACATGATAATATATGCATTTAGCGGATTTGTAACGCAATTAGCCAGTGTCAATAGTTAACAGAACTGGAACCAACATAAATGGCATTTTTGCGGGCAACCATACACCCATACCCATAACCATACACATCGAAATTGGTAGGCATATAGCTTGCACTGCAGCTGTTTATGCTTCCGTTTGCGGCCTGCAACCACCACTAACTAGTACAACTAGAACTGGCATTACGCGCTTTCTCTCGAACCTCCCACCACACCTACGAATCGGACCACACATCATTTGTAATGCGATGCCAGGCCCAGACAATAGCAGCAACAGCAATAGCAGCTGCTTTGCTGCTTTGGGCTTTAAATATAGTATGTGTATAAGCATGAGTGTGTCTGTGTGTTTAGTAAGGAAATGCGCCTCAAAGTATGCTACACAATTGCGGCATTGCTATTATAATTAGGTGCAGTCCAACGAACACGCACACATAAGAGTGTATGACCACAAACACACCCATACACCCACGCACACGCACACGCACAGACAAATGCAATTTGCATTATGCTTTATTATAATTAAATGATAATCAATTTTGCAAATATTTGACTTGAATGGAGCAGACATTCTGAAAACCAATCAAGCATCGGACACTTGAGGCTTAGCCTTAATAATATGAAAATGGCCAATTCTCAAAGCAGCCACAGATGGCCTTAGCTGGTGGGTAGCAGTAAGTAAGAATGCTTGTTCGCTTGTTAGATTGTGTGCTAAGTAGTTATGCTCTCATTGTTAACAATCGTCCTAAATTAATCGATGCAATTGCGTTGTACATACATACATATAGTATATAGTACATATACATATTTACAAACAGCCAAAGTCCTAGCCTAAAGTCGAGGGCATGAAAAACGAACATAAATAAAATTCTCAAGCAATTTACCACAGAAATGAGTTTATATTTTCCACGGCCCTGGGACAATGAAGTAAAGCCACAGCCCCCACATCTGCAACTGAAACTATAGCGGGATGGCAGTCGCGTGAACAGGAAGCAGGAGCGAAATCAATTCTCTAGCCATTTCCCAGCGTGTAATTTCGCAATTTTTGTTGCAACGTTCGTTATCCTGCCACTGGCAGAATGGCAAAGGCGAACCTACTTAATTCGCAGTCATGGCAACGGCAATGACTACGAACGATGTCGCCGACCAAAACAGCGGTTACAATATGCTTGCAAGCTTATGGCTTTTAGAACAGCTTGGTTGAAATAGACTTAAATGAAAATGCTTAAGATATACAACAACTATTCATAAAATATAAGTATATACTTGTACACATATGTATATAGGGCGTTGATTGTGTTCTTCGACTATAAAGTCGACATCGAATAGAAACAAATTATTTATGATCGTTTTTTCAAACTCGTGTCGACTTCTTGATTTCTTCTAAATATATTTTGAATTATCCAATTCATAAAATTAGAATTGTGTATATGAAGTGGAGTGCACCTTCAATGCGGATAATTCTGTGCGCTGTTGGGTGTGTGTAACAGAATAAAAACAAGAGAGAACACTACAGTCGAGCAAGTCCCACAGTGTAATACCCTGTACCCAGGTTAACTTCCGTCACTGAGTTATATGCGCACATAGCAGAAGCAAAGAGAGGAAGAAGAAGAGCGAACTTGTTGCTGCAGTTTGTGGGGGTTGTACTGTAGAGAATTTGTTTCGCTAATAACTTTTCTCAGAATTGACCGAATTGGATAAAATTTTAAACAACTGTAGACAATTATATATAAATTATGTGGTTGAGGTAGCATTTGAAATGTGGACGCTATTGACGAAATTCTGTAGCGGGGGAAGGGGGGGAAAATTAAAAAAACAAAATAATAAACTCGTCCTTACTCAGACCTAGGAGAATCTGGATGCCAACTTTGGTTATTCTAGCTTTTATAGTTTCTGAGATCCTCGCGTTCATCCAGACGGACAGACGGACGGACAGACGGACGGACATGTCTAGATCGATTTCTCTCGTCATGCTGATTCAGAATATATATACTTTATGGGGTCGGAGATCGTTCCTTCTGTATGTTACATACTTTGCACAAACCTAATATACCCTTTTTACCCTACGGGTACAGGGTATAACAAGAGAGAACGCTACAGTCGAGCAAGCCCGACAGTGTAATACCCTGTACCCAGGTAAACTTCCGTCACTGAGTTATATGCGCACATAGCAGAAGCAAAGAGAGGAAGAAGAAGAGCGAACTTGTTGCTGCAGTTTGGTGGGGGTTGTACTGTAGAGAATTTGTTTCGCTAAAAACTTTTCTTAGCATGAACCGATTTAGATGAAATTTGAAACAAGAGTAGATAATTATTAATTTTGTGTGCAAAGTTTGGTTTAGGTAGCATTTGAAATGTGGACGCTATTGACGAAATTCTGCAGCGGGGGAAGGGGGGGAAAATTAAACAAAAAAAAAAAAAACTCGTCCTTACTCGGACCTAGGATAATCTGGATGCCAACTTTGGTTATTCTAGCTTTTATAGTTTCTGAGATCCTCGCGTTCATCTAGACGGACGGACAGACGGACGGACATGTCTAGATCGATTTCTTTCGTCATGCTGATTCAGAATATATATACTTTATGGAGTCGGAGATGCTTCCTTCTGCATGTTACATACTTTGCACAAACCTAATATACCCTTTTTACCCTACGGGTACAGGGTATAAAAATAAGAAATTGGACTTAGGGGAACCTCGACGCCAAGTTCGGTTATTCTAGGTCTCGTACTTCCTGAGATCCTTGCGCTCATACAGACAGACGGTCAGACGTACAGACAGACGGACATGGCTATATCTTTGTGGGGTCTGCCACGCCTCCTTCTGTGTGTTACATACATTCGCACTAAACTAGTATACCCTTTTACCCTTTGGGTTCAGGGTATACAAATCCTAGGTGTTGCTTTTAAATAAATTGTTTATTGTTGATTGGATTGTATCGTAAAATGCTTAGGCATGTTGGTGTTTCTGTCAGATTAATATGAGTCTAGCTTAATGTCCAGCCCCCGAACCTTTTCATCAATCCATGGGCGCAGATATGGCACATTCGCATAGCCATCCGGAATGTCCTCTTCAGCACACGAGTTCCCAATACCCCAGGAGACAATGCCGGCAAGCATATAGCGATCATTAGTATCGGGTATTGTACAGAATAGAGGGGATCCACCGTCACCCTTACAAGTTCCCTTGCCCTTAATGCCGCCAGCACAAATGAAACTAGGCCGCAAGCGAAAGTGATGCCCCAGAATAGTCTGTCGCAGCTGGGCCTGACACTCGTCTGCACCTATTATGGGCAGATCTATGCGCTTGAGGAGATGCTCGTGCTCTTCGCTGGCGGACGACTTTTTGCCCCAACCAGTTGCATAGCATATGGTTGTTGGAGCACGTAGCTGGCGCAGCAGCTCCGGCGTCTCCGTTGGTGGCAGACACAGTGGTTGAATGTGCGGTTTCAACTCAAAGGGCTGCTCCAGCACCAGCAGTGCTATGTCATTGAAAAACGTTAACGGGTTGAAGTCCTCGTGCCGAATAATCTGTTTAATTTGGCGCGACTGAAATGGATATACCTCTTCCATGCTGTTCAGATCCCAGTCGCCTGCGCGAACCACCAACGTGTCTTCTGTCTGCGTGTGGACATTGTGTGCACTGGTCAGTACCAGAGAGGGATGTATCAGCGTTCCACCGCAAAGGTAAACATTGCGCGCACCCAGCAGAGCCACCACCCAAGGCCACTCGCCGAACTGCGATACATCTGGATCATATCCATTTAGGTTGAAGCCCGCACCCTGGGGATTCGCATAGCCGCAGCCCAAGTACTTGAAGCCGAGCACATTGGACTGTAGAAGACTCTTTTCGGGCGGGAGCTGCAATTGATAATAGGACTTGGTGTTAAGTATACGGTATGTGTTGTGCGTAACTACTCACTTGATCTTCCACAAGACAGCAAGTTTGTAGGGGACGGCACTTCCAGCTATTTGGATCTTCGCCCAATGTCGTATTAACATTTCCCACACGCGGACCTACAAGGAAGCGCCCGTCGTTTATAATGGTGCCATTGCATAACTGCCGCGGAACACACTCCTTATGCATTCCGCAACTCTTGTAGGGACTGTTAGCGGCTGGCCCCACAGTTAGTCCAGTATCGCCCTGGCGCGAGTCCACGTTCTCTTTGCTGTGCGTCGCATCCCAATTGGCCAACTGCACGCGAGGACAGCAAACCTGCTGCTTTCCACACACCAGAGCTATGCGTGGTGTAATGTGACCGACGCCAGCATCGTTCGTCTCATTGCAGCGCTGCTCACTCACGCACAACTCGTGATCGGGACACACTGACGCCGTCTGGCCAACTGTGGTTAGGACGTGGCAGAGGGGCAAGAGCGCAAACACTTGGAGCATTTGCCGGAAAATAGGCGGCATTTTGCAGGTCTGCCAGAGACAGAGTGAGAAATCAGAGAAGAGCTTTATATTCACGATCCAAACACAACGAAACAAGTCGCTACTGACGGTAGAAGTCTGATCTTAATACACACTCCACGGCTATCAACTTGACTTCAAGCATCTGCCTGGACCTTGCCTTTGTCTTTCTTAAACGTTTTTCGTATACATTTAAATCACAACACTTGGGCGCTGATTGGTGTTTAATTTGCCAATAATTTGTTTGTTAGGCTTAGGCTTAGTGTAATGTTATGAACCGTGAGAGCTTTAAAACAACAAATACATAAAAGGCAAAACTGGTATTCCGGTGGTTGTTAATTATTTATTATACATTTAAAATCGTAGTTTTGTGACATCATAGGTGGTGTTTCCCAAAGGTTAAAGCATATTCGGAATTTGAATGCCATAAATATTTGCCATATACGAGTAGGTAGCCGTTTATTGTCGGTATGTGGCTTAAGAATAATTCTAAAGATTAGTCTATCAATTACATGAAAAAACTCTCAGCTTCTTTTGTTTCAGCTGCTGATAAGCTTGCATTTAATTTCGAAAAGTATATTAGTCAAGCTGTGTATGAGTCTTTAAATTTAAAAAAAAAAAAAACAATATATGTCTAAAAAGCTGCGGCTTTGTGCTCCGACAAACGAACAAAGAATACGACATTTCGATTAAAAACTACAGGCAGAGTCCATCGCGTAGGTATGTTTAACATTGTAATTGCTTGCAATCTTAGATAGTGCACTAAACATACATATCACTTCTTTTATGCAATAAGCATATATTGATGATCACATACACACAAAGTTTAATAAAAATAGTTTTTTGACCACTGTGCTTGGGCTACAGCTCAACTTGTTGGTATGCACGCAAAATCGGAACTGAGATTTTGCATTAATATTCAGAAGACTTTATAGAGATGAGTGGCTTGAAATTTAAGGTGAGCTCAGACTGAACATACTCGTGTTTTTAAGAGCAAGAGCTTTTGTCAGCCCAGCCAAGCAGCTCCAAGCTCAATCCCTCCTCAGATCTGATAACATACACATATATATATATATATATACACACATATATATATACGAGCATATACGAGTAAGTGCTTATTTGAGTGTAAGAGGTGCTGCAGAATAAATGAGAGCTGATCGCGCTACTAAGCATAAGCTTAAGATATTTCTGAAGAATCGAGCTTTTCAAATGTATGTATTTGGCTGTGTATATAATATAATTTGATATGAAGAAATTGTAACATATAACAGCCCTTGTTACCTTATCACCAATTGAAATCCGATTCTCTTAGCTTATAAGGTTGCAGAGCTATCACGATCATTTAGTTGATCACAAGCGACCTATAGCATTAGAGCTCGGGCTTGGGACGCAGAAATTTACTGTGTACTCAGACAAATAAAAAAAAACAAAACAGAAAGAATTCAATCATTAAAACTTATTTGACATATAATATACAATCGACTAAGAGCGACCGCTTAATTCAGAGGTATTTCAAATAATATTGATCGTAGTGCATTAAAAATATTAAAACTATGTGTAACGTAGATTAGATTTGGATCAGCACGTTAAGACGGAACCCAGATAAATAATTTAAGAAAATTGCCGCTTAAAAGAAACACGACTTATTAAAAAAAAACAATAGTTTTATGTAAACATCATAAAGGGTTTGAAGGCTGTTAATATAAAATACTTTATTATAATTAAAAATTTATTTTCTTGAAAAAAGAATTAATTTTGGCTTTGGGGTGTGTTGTAAAGAAAGATTCTTAAAAACTTAACTCCCTTTTTATAACCCAAAACTATTACCTATAAAATTTGAATTAGGGTTTCCCCTGTTCGCCTAACACCCTATATTTGAGACGTTAATGTTGCTGTTTCCACAAAAAGGTTACGTCGATACTGGGGTTTTAAATATATTTCGGTTTTTTCTAGCAGAGTCGCAGTTGTCTGCCCTTGTTGCCAAGATGTATATAGTATTGTCACGATTATTGCTGCCACTTCTGATATTTGGCTGGAGCAGAGCATTGCGCAATTGTAAGAGTGACGAATTGTGTGTTACCAGGGAGTTGTGCGAAAAAAGCGACGATACGGGTAGGGGCCATCTAGTCCCGCGTCTTCTAGACAGCAGTTGCAGCCCAGGATTTGTCTGCTGCGATAAGGAGCAACTACGTATTTACAACTCCAGTCAAGAGTATAACATGAGAAATGGCGAGTTTAAAACAGCAGTGCCAGACCATCCACATCAAAGCTGTGGCAGCCCGGGTGGGGAAAACGAGTGCGTACCACGTCATTTGTGCAATGGCACCATCAATGATAATGGTCGCTACCTGATTTCGGCGCGTATTGATCAAAAGAACAACTTCGGCTGCAAGTCACTGGAATATTGTTGCCCCATAAACGATCAGGTGAGTGCAGAGTATGTACGAGTATAGGTAAATTATTCCACTGCCACAATGGGAAAAACAAAGATGACAATTTTATTCTCTGCTGGAAATGCCCCGTAATATTATTATTATTTGTTTTTTTTCACAGCTCAATGAGAAAGACAGCGAACCGATGCGTAATTTGCGAGACTTCAAATACAAGGGCTGTGGCTACAGCAACCGCAATGGGCTGTATTTCGACATTGTGGGCTACAACGATAATGAGGCGTTATTTGGAGAATTTCCCTGGATGATTGCACTGGTGGACATGCACGGCGCTTACGTATGTGGCGGCACACTCATACATCCCTCGCTTGTGCTGACCAGTGCTCATAATGTGGTGCCACACAGCGCTAAAAGTTTGGTGGCGCGTGCTGGTGAGTGGGATCTGAAAAGCGTGGAGGAGCCGCATCCATATCAAACCCGCCAAATACGGCGCATAGAGCGCCACGACCAGTTCAATACCCTAACCCTCTACAATGACATAGCACTGCTGGTACTGGAGCAGCCTTTTCTGCTAGAGCCACATATTCAGCCGCTCTGTCTGCCGCCTGTGGAGACCCCCAAGTTGCTGGAACAGTTGCGTAGCGCTCAGTGTTTTGCCACTGGCTGGGGTCATCTCAACATCACCTCCGATCCCATGGAGCATATACTGAAGCGCATCGATTTGCCGGTACTAGACCACCAGCAATGCCAACAGATGCTGCGCCAAACCATCTTGGGACATCGTTTTATACTGCGACCCAGTTTCTTGTGCGCTGGCGGCGAAAAGGGCAAGGACACGTGCAAGGGCGATGGTGGCTCCCCTTTGTTCTGCACTATGCCAAACGAACTCGATCGATATGTGCTCGCAGGCATTGTATCCTGGGGTATTGAATGCGCAGTGGAGAAGATTCCGGCAACTTACACGAACGTACCACATCTGCGCACTTGGATTGACGAAAAGGCATTACAAAATGGATTTCAATTAAGTTAATTATTAACTTATGAATTATAGATATAACTTAATAAAGCGCGCAGCTCAACCCAAATAGATTTGAATCCTATACTATACAATCTTTAACGGCAGGTTAATGTTATCATGTTGATGTACATATTGGTTAATCAACCATTGGCAACCTTTATAACTGATGATTTACTTATATTACACACTTTACAAATCAACTATGTTTGAGGAATTGTGGAAAACCGGATTTTCATGACCGACCTGGCTACATGCGTTCGACAGACTCTAAATACTCAGTGAATGTATTAAATGCGATTCTCTCGCAAAACGTTGCACCGGTGTATTCGATTGTACGAATTGTACACTGGAAGAAAATATATTATATATAATTTCAAGTTTAATTTTAAAAATATAATCAATGATTGCAGGTAGAAGAAACCAGAATTTTTATATTCCCAGTTCATTGTATTTATTTTATTCTTAATTTCAGTCATTTCATTAATTCGTTATACTCGTAGAACATGAAAATATCTTAGAACAGTATTTAGTTTCAATTCATTTTAAAAACAAAAAATAGAATATTCAAGCAAATTTTTTGTGACATGTCTAAAGTATTGCTTTTTTTCTAAAAAGAAATGTAGCTTTTTACGCTTTTTTTTTTGTAAAATTGTTAAACTTTATTTTACTCTTCCCAGCCCGTCAAAAACCATTTTTTATTCCTTCTAAAAAGTTAGCAACACTGCATGCCTGTATCCGGAACTTGGGCAAAATCGCTGTCAGGTTTCCAGCCTATATTGCAGAATAATAACTTACGTTGACAAAGGGTAAAAGAACCAAAGAAACTTTTTTAAAAATAGGTAAAGTATTTTATTTTTTGCGGACGAAAAGAATCGAAAAATGGTTGAGGAATTCACCTTTATCATCTTCTATTGCTCTGCCAACAAATTTGCGTAGAATAATCGAAAGCTAGCGTAAAACTAGGCTATGCCTGGGTAGCGGTTGAGATTTTGGCAGCGCCAAAGCCCCCCAGATAACTCCTCATCTCATCATCACACTTAAAAGAGCTTAAAACGAGCTTAGATTTGAGCTTGGCCTGAATAAAGCTTAGATGCCAAGCAGGTTAACATTATTTAACTTTAAGCCAGCTTCCTGCAATTGTAAATGTTTTGAAAGCTAGCGGCTAATTCTCTTCAACATTTAAAATATATTTTGTGCTAACTGAAATTGCGGCAAGTCCTTGTTAGAGAGCAATATCTGTTATATCAGAAATAAACATGTTTGAGCCCAACATTTATGATAATTATTTGTAATTTCAATGAACTTTTGATTCTTGCTAATACGTGTATGTATTGTTTATGCTGAGAAATGTATTTGTTATAGCCCTTGAATTGAAGAGGTGAAGAAACCATGAGATGTTCGCCAATGCTACTTACTATGCCATAAGTTGGGACTTAGTTTGAACTCTCAACTGCTCTTCAAATACGATATACAAGTAGTAAACATTTTCTGACATTACCACATCAAGTCCTAAATAACAAATCAAAATGAAAAATATGGTCCAGAATATAATAACACATTAGGCGACATACATAGCTTTCCATTGACAACTTGCTGATAGAATAAAAACTCATACACGTAACCATGGCCTCGTTGAGGTGTAAATGGAAAAGGACTTCAAAACAGTTTTAATCGCTTCTTGCTTGATTCTCCGAAGAAAAAACTATTGAAGTAAGTAGGAAAGTAGTTGAAGCAAAACCAAACCGGTTTTATGTTTCACCCAAACATAAAACAAATGTAGAAGCTACATGTTTTGTAAAACAACTACATTTTGGGAAATGCCCATTTATATAGTATTTATTAAATCTTATATGAGAATTGCACATTTTAATAACATAATGAAATTTGTTTCGCTTCGCCGAGTTGTTTCTGCCTCGTATTGATAACGATAGTTTATCATGGGGTTTGTCACTTGTGTCTGCTAAAGGGAGCTCAAATTCTAATGTAAAAGTTTATTTTATTGCCATAGGAACGATCGATGAAAACCACTAATAGCACAAAATAAAACAATAGAGAACGCTACAGTCGAGCCAGCCCGACATAGAAATACCCTCACACAAAAAAAAAATTTTTTTTTTTAAATTAAATAGTTAATTTAAATAAATAAAAGTAAGTGGAGGAGTCAGGTGTCTCAACATTGAAATATCCTGTACATATGCGTAGAATAATTATAGAAATTAAAAAAAAGAATATTAAGAAAATGTAAAATTTTTGATCGATTTTACCTCCATTGTATTCGAACTCACGTTAAGGGTGTAGAACTGCAGATTTACATATGTATAGTAGAAATTGGGTATAACTTCCTTTCAAATCAGCCTATCATAATTTGAGTCAAAAAATCCGAGAATAATAGAAGTTATGCAAAATCCCTAATTGTTGGGGGTGGAGATATAGATGAACAAAATTTGTTGTCTATATCTCTTAAAGTCTCTGAGATCCAGGTGTTCATACGGACAGACAGACAGATAGATTGATTCGTCTTGTCATGCTGATTAAGAATGTATATACTTAGTGGGGCCTGCCACGCCTCCTTCTGCTTGTTGCATTTTTCATCTCCCGCAAACCTAATATACTCTTGTCATTTGATGTGCAGAGTATACAAATTCAGCTCAGTTTCATTTTAAGGCGAAATTTATTTATTTATATTTATGTCAATAAAAACCGACTGCCGGCATAGGATAAAATAGCTTGAGTCAATTCAGTTGAAGTTGTCATTACACATCTTTTCTGCCTCGTATTCTTAAGATGGAATGATATTAGATCTACGCCGGTGAAGAAAAATAGCCCTCAGTACGAAAAAAAGCGAAATTAGGGCGCTTTAAAATACAAGGATACGTCATAAGTGTAGTGGCCTCGACAATATGCCGACTATTTAGCTTGGCTAATTGCCAACTTTTCCAACTCGCAACTAATAGTTAGTGAGATGATTATATAGTGTTCTGATTCTGTGCATTTACATCGACCAACACATCTGAGCTCGGCATACTGTCGAGCGGAAAGTTGTGAAAGTCGAAACCAAATGTTTAATTGCTGTGCTGCAATACATATTCTGCGAATTTAATTAAGATTTTGGCAGACAGCTATGCACTATACATATACATATGCATATGGATGGCATACAGCGACAAATCAAATGTGACAATTTATTAGGTTTTCAGCTGACTGCGTTATACTATAGTATAAAACGAGGCATGGCCAGAATATTGATTAATACTCGTAGTATGCTGGTGTGCAATTGATTGCGAAAACTTGCTTAAAAAGGTTGATTTGTTATACAATTGGATTTGTTGCAAATAAAAATGGGGTCAACATTAACACGAAGACTAACATAATTTTCAAATGCACGTTTCATTTTTAAAATGTGGAATTAAAGGCACCACTGTTGTATTTCACTTATGGGAGTCTTTAGTTGTTTCTCAACCTAATAGCTCCGTTATGCAAATTGAAAAAGTGAAAGAATGTCTGAAATGCCATTCCCATAGCTACATAGTGCACTCAATGTCTGCTTGATGAACATACTTGTACTACTTATCTTCCTCTCTCATTTTTCCATATACTCGTATTTTTTTCTTAATTCATCTCAGCTCAGGGAGTTACTTATTGTTGGCAAGTGTCAATCGAAAGGGAGAAGCACAAAAACCAGAGCCACTAATTAAGTTTTTGCATTGTAAACGAAGCGCTCTGGCTTAGTTGCAAAAATAAACAAGAAGTGGCTTTTAAATTGGCGCTGGCAGAAATGCACTCTTTCGGCTTTTCACTCTTTTTGTCAAGCCATTGTTGATTGTGGTGGGCTGTACTGTTTTTGGCTCTAGCCAATTAACAATGCAAATGGAAATGATGCGCCAAGAGGGCACTGGGGGAGCATGGGAGCATGTGCCACAAGGGTTACTTTACGCAGAGCTAAATAAGTAGCAATGTAATTCATAAGGCTAGAGTGCCAACATCTCCTACAAACAATCGGCAGCGCACTTACATGGATATAAATCTTCAATGAATTGTTAGCGCTCCTTCTCTCCCATCACCCGCTCCCGTCGCTACGACAGTCAACGACGACAATGGCAAGCAAAGGCAACAGAATAGAACTTTCACCTGCGCCGCCATAAATTTCAATTGCAACCATGCACCGTGGCGCAGTCAATTGTGCTTAAACGTTCGACATCCGTAAGGCTCCGTTTTCTGGGTGTGACGGTTTACGGGTTTGTGTGTGTGGGTGGGTGTGTCGGAGTGACAGTAGTTGGAAGAGTACGGGTCTAAAAAACAACTCGTTGCCAGACTCGTTGCCCTCCATTTAGTAAAGCGAGCGGCAAAACGCCGGTACTTGCTTGTTTCAGCGACAGCAATGAAAATTAGCACATAAATTTTCAAATGCTGAAAAGTTTCAATTGCCAGAATGTACTTCGAAAAAGGCAAAGGGAGAGAGAAAGAGAGTAAAACATAGCGAATACCTAAAAAACGAGATTGTTCAGTTAAGTGGCCATTCTAAGCTATAATTCGCTTGAATAAATGGATACCTCGAGAGATGAAAGGACATTTTAGCAACTGCAGCAATCTCAGATAACAAACATATGACAAGCACATCAAGAAAACGTAAAGGCGAAGAATTGATATAAAAGACACTGGGTTGCTATATACGTGGTGATTTTTTTTTTATTTTGAATTGTTTTGAAAAGTATATTTTTATTCATTAATATCAGGGACCGCAAATAATGAATATATATATGTTTTTTTTTTAAACGAAAAAATTATTCACTTATAGTATAACTTTGAGAAAGCGAGGAGTTTACAGATATCCTTTTTTTAGGGTTTTCTATGCATATTCATCATGATTTATAAATTTTAATTTTTATTCATTCGCTCAACATTAAATAATTTATTTTGAGTTTAACCAATTAACCAAGGAAAGCGTTATGCAGACGTAGAGCATACTGGCGGCCATACCGGCCAACGAGCTAAAACACTCGTTCGTTTTTTTTTTTAAGTCCTGTTTACTTTGGAACACACCTTGTAATACTGTCCACATTTTAAAAGCTACATAAACCAAACTTGTCACAAGTACATCGAAATCGGATATTTCTAAGAAAAGTTATGAGCGAAACAATTTCACTCCAGTACTACACCCACAAACTACAGCACATCAAATTAGCTCTTCTTCTTTTTGCTTCTGCTAGGGGCGTATATAACTCACTGCTGGAAGTTTGTCTGGGTACGGGGTATTTCACTGCAATTATTTTTGGCGTTACTGTTAATTCCACCAAAGTGGGACCGTCTCCGTCAAGCATCGAAGCGCGTCACGAGCACCTCAGCGACACAGATTTGCTGCTGCAGCCACTTCCCCAACCGCCAAGTTGACGGTCCCTCTATATACTATATGTGTATGTATAGGTATAACTCAATAATTGCTGTTATTCTGGTTACTTGCTAGTCCGAATGTTATGATAGTGAGTACCCGTATGTGGCGCCAAAGTAAACTAAACTTGTGTTGAGTCTATACATATCTTTAGCAAAAGAGAAACATTTCAATCGTATAGTTGAGCATTTAATAGCAGTGACTGCCACAAATAAGCATATGAAATAAACCACTGAGATGTAGAACGGAACAAAAGAAGGGTTCTAATGTGCTCGTCGGCTGAGAATTGTGCGCACATCCTTGGTGAAGCGCAGCGCGTCTAGAAAGGGCAACAATTTAAGCAGCTCTTTGTCGTTTGGATCGTACAGCCAGGTCTTGATGGGTATGGCGTTCTCGGGATAGTCTCGATACGCATTGGGAGAATTATCGATGATGAATGTGCGTCGCAAATCGCGATTAACCAAACATAGATCCTTGCTTAGCACGTTGGTCGACGAGCGGCAGTGTTGACGAAAGAAGCGACGCCTCAGTATGCCACGACCCGCATCCAACTGGTCTACTACTTGCGAGGCATAAACCTCTAAGCTGGCTGTATAAATGACAATGTCATACCACTTGGCAACAAAGTCCAAAAATAAATCGACATGCGGACGCTTGAATACTTGAAAAATCACCGGCATCTCCTCCACATCGACACTGATGGTGAAGTTTGGTTCAGTATTGGGCGGCACCATACTACAGCCGATATGCTCGTTCGTTTCCGGATCATTGTAACATGAATGGACCAGAGTTTCGTCCAGATCTAGTATGAGCGTCTTGCGACCGGCTTCGTCAAGGGCGCGCTCACTCTCCGCCGACAGTGGCACCTCCTTATAAGTAAAGTTGGTATCGGGCCGCACTATGTCTTTGATTCTGTTTGACAGATTAGCGAGCATACGCTTCAAGTACTTGCCGAATTTCTCAGCGACACAGAGAAGCGTGGGCCCACCAATTGTCCAACGCTGGGTCAGTGCCAACAACACGTGCTGCTTTCTGCTGCTTAAACTGCTTCCCGAACTAGATTCCTTTGCTTGGACCTTGAGAACAGTGTTAGTCGGCACGGCAGGCGACGACGACGACGAAGTGATACGCTCTTGCTGGTCCAGGTGCATCACCATTTTTGTACCACTGCACGATCCCAACCGGTTTATACTAAGTTGAATTAAAGTTTAAGCTTTCGAAGGGCAATAAGTGCTATTAATTACATTATAGTTATTTCCTTGTTTTAGGTCACGAACAAATTTTCAAATAAAAATCAAATTCAAATATACTAGTGTTTGTCGCTTTTGTGAAAATGATATCTGACAGTAAATTCGCTAGCGATGCGATGACTATGACACGATGGAACTAAAAAGTATGCAACAACAAATCTGTCACTCAACTCATCAACCATTTCCAGGACTATAAGTTCGTTTCTCAATATTGTGCGATACAATAATAGAGTCGTACAGATGTCAGAAAGGATGTACTAATTGTCAATCACATTATCAATATTTGGTATACAAGTATATATTAAAACAAGTAAAAGAGCTAAAGTCGGGTGTCCCGACTTTGAAATACTCTGTACATATGTTTACAATAATTTAGAAAATAAAAAAAACAAAAAAAAAAAAATTGGATCGATTTTACCTCTCTCGGTATTCGAACTCACGTAAAGGGTGTATAATTGCATATTTACTTAGCAATTGCGTCTGTGTGAGTGTATGTATGTTTATGTGCGTCTATTTGTGTTTGTGTAAGCATTTTCGCAGTCAACTAAACAGCAACATCAACAACAGCCGTGGGCAGCGCTTGGGCAGCGCTGCAGCAGCAAATATATTTATGGCTATAACTTCTTGTTAAATCGGTCTATCATAGTGAAACTTGACACACGGACACATAATAACCAACTGGTGGTATTTCCAAAATTTTAGTTTAAGAATTACGGGAGTTAGAGAAAATCGCATTTGCGGGGGAGAGGGGGGAGGGACGGAAATTCCAAAATATACATTTTCTGCGTATTCACACAAGGCATCTTGGACTAAAATTTGGTGTTCCTAGGTCTTATAGTCTCCGAGATATAGGCGATTATACGAATGGAAAATCGGGAAAACCCATAGAGGGGAAGTGGGGGGGAAAATCAAAAAAATAAAACAAACTCGTATAGCGTACACACATAAGGCATCTTTGTGCAAAATTTTGTGTCTCTAGCTCTTATAGTCTCTGAGATCTAGGTGATCATACGGGCGGACAGACGGACAGACAGACAGACAGGGCTAGATCGACTCGTCTTATCACGCTGATCAAGAATATATATACTTTGTGGGGTCTGCCACGCCTCCTTCTGCCTGTAACATTTTTCAGCTCCCGCAAACCTAATATACTCTTGTACATTTCATGTACAGAGTATAAATATATAATCAGACAAATTTGTCGAACTTCACGTTGCACATAAAGCTAAGTATAGCTTTTTGCTGCCAAACTTCTTTCAAATGTACATTTCGTGTACATGTACATTTACGTTTGTCTGCAACTTTTTTGACTATACTACCTAATATTAAAGCAATATAACTATTACACTAGTCGTTATTTTAGCTGTATGGTATTTATATGGATTATATTGCACCAATAAAAGTCGGTAAATATCAGAAAATAGGGCAACATTATTTCAAACTCAAATGCTGTTGTATTTAACCAAAAAATATTTCGTTGGCCGGTATGGCCGCCAGTATGCCGGTGAAAGCCTTTTTAATGGCCTCCCCGTCTGCAAAACGTCTTCCTTTCATGGGCAAATGCATTTTTCCGAAAAGGTAGAAGTCGCACGGTGCCATATCAGGTGAATACGGCGAGTGGTTAATGGTTAAAATGTGATTTTTGGTCAAATATTCGGTCACAAACGTCGATCGATGAGACGGCGCCTTATCATGCAACAAACGCCAACTTTCATCTTCGCGATATTCGGGCCGAACACGTCGAATACGGCGCACCAAACGCTTCAAAACTCCAAGGTAGAATACCGCATTAACGTTTAGGCCAGGTGGAACAAATTTTTTGTGGACAATACTTTAGACTTCTCCAATTTCCGATTTTTTGGGTTTCGGCTCGTCCGGTGCCTTCCATTCATCGCACTGGCGTTTCGTTTCGGGATCATATTGAAAACACCACGTTTCATTACCAGTCACAATATTGTAATGGAAGTTTTTGTCCTTTTTGATCTCTTTAATGATGTCCTACGAATGTTGGATTCTGAGCAATTTTTGGTCGTCAGTCAATTTGCGCGGAACAAACCGTGCACACACCTTTCGTAAATGTTCGGTCAAAATCGATGTCCATCAATTTCAATGATGATTTCGGCTGATTTTTGATGAATTCACGCACAGTTTCGATGGAATTTTCGGTGATCACAAATTTTGATTGGCCCACATGTTGATCGTCATTTATGTCCTCACGACCACTTTGAAAACGTTGAAACCACTCGTGCACTCTGCTACGGGATAGGCAATCATCGTCACACACTTGTTCCATCAATTGAAACGTTTCGGTAAAAGTTTGACCAATTTTAAAACGAAATTTAATGTTGGCTCTTTGTTCGAAGCTCATTTTCGCACCGATAACACAAACATACGGACAATCGATAAAGATAACAGATTCTAACGCACCAATCGACATGTAGATAGCGCCACCAGGGGGCGCTAGATTCAGAGCGGCAGTGTCGACGAAAGAAGCGACGCCCTTGTATGGTCTACTACTTGCGAGGCATAAACCTCTAAGCTGGCTGTATAAATGACAATGTCATACCACTTGGCAACAAAGTTCAAAAATAGATCGACATGCGGACGCTTGAATACTTGAAAAATCACCGGCAGCTCCTCCACATAGACACTGATGGTGCAATTTGGTTACTACAGCCGACATGCTCGTTCGTTTCCGGATCATTGTAACATGAATGGACCAGAGTTTCGTCCAGATCTAGTATGAGCGTCTTGCGACCGGCTTCGTCAAGGGCGCGCTCACTCTCTCTACTAGATAGCGCCACCAGGGGGCGCTAGATTCAAATAGTCCTGTTTACTTTGGTACGCACCATGTATATGTATGTATTTTAGTATACCCTTCGGATACAGGGTAATAAAATTTTTATCTCTTTACCGGTCAAGCTTTTTGACTGTTCGTTATGCAAATTTTACAGAAAGATAGGAAAGTTTGCCAGAAACGGGAATAACTAGAACTTTGGAATTATTAACACAATTTTGAACAGTTTCGTCATATCTACTGTCTTCTGGCCGAATGCAAAAAATACGTAGAAATCCACACAATATTCTGAATTTTATTATGTTTTGATTTTTCCTATCATTCGCCAATACATTATGCTAATTCTAAAAATTCATCGTTTGCGTAGCTGTGCATAATATCGTTCTCCGCTAGGACATTGAACAAGACATAGAGCAAGTATATGCATATATTGAAAATGCCCACAGAGCGCCGTGCTCTGAAATTTAGAACCGAAGACCAGAGCAACGTGGTAGATAAGCCTACTAGCAGAAATACAAAGGAATTGGGGCCATATTCTCCAAGCTGTGTGTGCCAGTTAATATGCAGGCCATAATAGATGCGACCAACAAAAGTTGCGCCGGTTCCAATTAGCAGGTCTGCAAGAAATATTGTCCTTTAGGTGTTGCCATATAGAAGGCCCATTACTTACTAAAGAAAGGCCCACCCATAGTAGCCGCGTAGGCCATTTTCTCATACCCTTGCATGGCCAATGCGGCATTTGTTACCAGGTCGCCGAGTGCTCCACATGCACAGTTCACGGTGGCCCCCATGAAATGCTCGGATATATCCAACACTGTTCCGATCAGATCGAATATTTTATCAATTTCCGTGGCAGTTACATACAGCACAAACATTGAAGCCAACACGCTTACATAAGTAAATACCTAAATACATGGAGATCATTAATTTATGATCGTATATAACGACTGACTCACCCAATGATAAGAGGGCGGAATATCGGTACGTGAATGAAGAAACATAGCAATTGACAGTGGGGCCAGTAAAAGCAAATAGGGCACATATTCAAATTGCACTTCCAAATGCCATACAGTGCGAGAGCGATCAATATATCCTAAAGGAAAGGGAATTAATTTGAACACTAGTCCCAATAAACTAATTCAACAAATTTGTGTTTGAATGCAGTTCAAAGGACAGACATTTACTTTCGAGATGAACCAAATTTTAAAAGCTAAAGGGTATAAATAGTTAAATAGGTGCGAAAATAAAAACAAATACATTTTTCTATACCTTAAACTTGAGGTTGATTTGACACGATCGCTACTTACCCATGCCTATTAGCACGATCACGACTGGCGTGGTAAACACTTGCATGCAGTTAAGTAGCTTACACCAACCATGTTTGTCTGCCTCCTGATCGACGAGTGGAATGAAGAGACCGCACATTACGACTATAGGAGCCTTAGCCAGAAGAAATGAGCGCCAAAACACTCCATTTGATTTCCATTCATCGAAATCTATGGGCTTTAACGCCTCGAGAGCTTCTTTGAGAAGATTATCATTTTTCGGATGGGACGGGTCGAATTTTCTATTGCGAGTAGATTCGGGATCTATACTTGATCTAGTACTTGATCTTCCTTCATTTACTTCAGTCTTGACATCTATATCTGCATCGTTCTTCATCTCATTCAATTTATTTTCATACATTTTCTTTTTTCTTCTAGTTTCAGGCGTCATTGGCTGGCCAACCATCTTCTGCAGTTCTGCCTCTAGGGCTATATCAAACACTAAGTTATATGCCCCACAACATTGAGTTGTTCACCTACCCTTAATAGTACGCCGCATCATGTATAAATCAAGCATATTTACAACCAAGTAGGCTAAATAAAGCACTCCCATCACTGTAACGCAGCAGGCTCAGATTTTGTTAATATTAAGATAGCTATTGTCTTACCAATAACCTCTGATATTTCCACGCCTTCGCCACTTTTTAGTATATAATCCATTACTAGCACTCCCAACATGATAAAGAGAATATCTCGTATTGTTGCATGGGCGTTCATGCGAAATGGACTTAAAAAGCACACCACCCCGCCAGTCAACATTGTGACAAATATGGAACTAGCCATGCTGTTAGCGAAAACAGCCTTGGAGCCCTTGACTTCCGCCAGATTGGCAAACACATCTGGCGAGGTGTTGCCAAACGCCAAGATTGTGACTCCCGCCAAATGTTCGTTCATGTGCAAATATCTGGAGATTGTTCGGAGAGCGGGACTGAAACTGAGCCCCAATTGAGTCACAGGTCCACTGATGAGCTTATGCGGCGACAAGTCAAAAGTACTTACTAAATATCTGCTGTATAGGCCAGCATCAAAAGCATAAAGGCGCATAAAGCCAAACAGAATGTGATAAAAACGCATTCTTCGAACTTATTTTTCACACGAATTTGGCAGGACATCAGCGACATGTAGGTTAGCAAATGCATCTCTTCTACACAATCAGGCGTATTGTTTACGAACTCGCAACGATCCTCGTATGGAAAGCTAAGGACATTATTGCAACTAACCTCGTCAGCGTATGTGGCAAATTCTTCGTCAATTTCATTTGGCTCATACTCGTCCATTGCACGGAGTTTATTATAAAATCAAATAAAAACAATGTCTCTGTGTTTTTTTTTTGTTAAATTTTTTTTGTTATTGTCAGTTTCTGTTTAAACTTCAAAGAGGGTATACAAAAAATCAAAATCGATTGATTCAGGATCTTCGATTGTTTCCGAAAGTTTCTCCCAACACTATTAGTGGATCCTTAGTCAAAACAGTGATTATTACCATTCATTCGTTATTTCGTTAGAAAATTCATAAAATCTGAGACAGCAGAGTGTTTTGTTCATTTTATTTCTATTGAAAGTTAAAAAGCTATAGACATATTTTAGAAATCAAAAGACTAATCTTCAGAAATAAAGGACGTTCAGCGCCAGAAATCGAAGAGAAAAGCGAAATATTTATTAACACCATTATAATAAATATGGCACATTCGATCGTATACCTTAATGTCATTCCGATAGAAGTCGATGGTTATTGCTAATACACTTGCGCAATTTAAAGTATTTCTTAAAATCATATCACTTCGAGATAAATATCATTCGCATAGCTGTGCACAATGCTATTCTCTGCCAAAACATTAAACAGCACGAACAGCGCGTAGACCAATATATTAAATATGCCCATTGAGCGCCGAGCCCTAAAGTCCAGTACCGATGACCACAGCAATGTGGTGGATAAACCCAATAATAGAAATATTATGCAATTGTTTCCATATTCGCCAATCTGTTCTTCCCACTCAACCTCCAGACCAAAATAAATACGACCGAGGAAGGTCGAGCCAGTACCAATAAGCAGATCTGCAGAACATAATAAAAACCACTAAAGCTTAAAATCGCAGAAGTGCTACTCACTGAAAAAAGGGCCACCCAAGGTCGCAGCGAATGCCATTTTCTCATAGCCTTGCAGAGCTAGAGCAGCATTCGTTACCAGATCACCAAGTGCTCCACATGCACAGGATAAAGTGACACCCATAAAGTCCTCAGATATATCCAGCACTGTGCCGATCAAATCAAAAATTTTATCGATTTCTGTAGCACAGACATATATAATAAACATTGATCCAGCCACATTTAAATAAGTGAAAATCTATTGGAAACGAGACAAATTCAAAACTTAATTTTAAATGCCTTTGTCGAACTTACAAAGTGATAATAGGGCGGAATATCCGTGCGTGAATGCAAAAATATTATTAATGACAATGGTAGCAGTGGCAGGATATAAGGTACGTATGTCATGTCTATTTCCAAATACCAGATATTTCTTGATCGATCATAGTACCCTAGAGTAGGGCATAATTATAATCACTGAAGAACAATTTAGAGTGAGTGAGCTACGGGGTAAACTACCCAGTTCTGCCTACCACTTACCCATGCCCATCAAGAAAATCAGGCTCGGAGTGGTGAAAAGTTGTATGCAATTTAGAAGCTTACACCAGCCATGCTTGTCGACTTCATGGTTCACGAGTGGAAGAAAAAGGGCACACACACCAACTACAGGAGCCTTCACAAGGAGATATGATCGCCAGAATATACCATATCTACGCCACTCATCCATATTGATGGGCTTTACCGCCTGCCAAGCTTCACGAAAGAGATTTACATTTTTCGAGTTGGCCGCATCATACTTAATATTTCGGGTAGTCGTGGGGTCGATGCTTCTCCGACCAGAGACTCTTTCGCCTCTCCGTTTTCCCTTTGTTTTAACATCGATTTCGAAGTCATTTAACATCTCATTCAGTTGTCTTTCATACATTCTCCGTTTTCTTCTACGTGGAAACGAAAATGGTTGATTCCGTAGGTCCTCAATTTTCTTTTCTATGGCTACATTGAGGAGGACGAGTAGAATTCCAGCGTCTTAGTGAAAGGTAATCCGCTTACCTTTAATGGTGCGCCTCATCATGTACAAATCAAGCATATTTACAAGCAAGTAGGATATATATAGCATTACCAACACTGAATCGGGTAAAGCTCAAAAGTACATTTTATATCTTCAATTATCGGCTACAACTACCTTACCCATGCATTCAAATATATCGACCTTGTAATCTTGTTTCAAAACGTACTCAATTAACACCACGCCAAGCATAATAAACAAAATATCTCGCACTGTTGCATGGGCGTTCATGCGGAATGGACTCAAATAGCACACCAATCCGCCGGTAAACATCGTGACAAATATGGAACTAGCCATGCTGTTAGCGAATACCGCCTTACTCGCCTTCACTTCCGCCAAATTGACGAGCACATCTGGGGAAGTGTTTCCGAACGCCAGGATTGTTACCCCAGCCAAGTGCTCGTTCATATGCAAATATCTGGAGACCGCTCTCAGTGCCGGACTAAAACTGCACCAAAGCTGAGTCTGAGACCAGTTGATTTTTATTTTTGTTTAATCACAAGTACTTACTATATATCTGCCGTATAAGCCAACATCAAAAGCAATTCAAAGCAAAATGCTATGCAAAGAGTGACAAAAACGCATTCCTCAAACTTATTCCTCACACCAATTTTGCAGGTCATCAGGTACATATAGGTTAGTAGATGCATCTGATCGGTACATTTTGGGGTGTTGTTTACGAATTCGCAGCGCTCCGCATAAGGAAATGAGATGACATTAAAACAACTGACTTCATTCGCAAAGCTCTCAAACTCTTTATCAATTAGGTTTGGCACCGGTCTAACCATTGCAGAATGTGTAGAATTGCCAATAAATATTGAGTAACGGAATATGTGTACTTTCTTATTTTATATTATTCTCTGCCGCCTACTACACATATGTACTATACACCGAATTCAAACTTTATGAATTATTTCTTTCATGCTTTAAACAAGAAAGCAACTCTAAAGTCGTTTCATTGGGAAAAATGAACAAACTCGTCCTTTCTCGGGCTCCGGAGAATCTGTATACCAAGTTTGGTTATTCTAGCTTTTATACTTTCTGAGATCCTTGCGTTCATACAGACAGACGGACATGGCTATATCGGCTCGGCTTGTCATGCTGATCAAGAATATATATACTTTGTGGGGTCTGCCACGCCTCCTTCTGTGTGTTCCATGTACACTCGCACAAAACTAATATACCCTTGTACCCTTTGGGCATCTCGATTTTATGACTCCCTTCTTGCTGCAGTGTGAGAAGAAAGCCATTTTTTGTCATTTTGCAAATTACGTGTAAGGGAAATAATCATTTGATTCCTTATTATTATTATCTGTTTGATGGGCAGTAAATGATGTGATTAAATGTGAAGAGTGTTCTTGGGATCATCTTCGAGGTAGTTTTCGAGATGTAACTATGGGAGTCGGTCAGTTTCGTTACAAATAGTCAGGATATCGCATTCGTAGTATATGTTCTTTGACCGGTCAATGGAGCATTTGCGAGGTTACGCGCTGGCCCCTTGATTGATATTGCTGTCTCCCAGAAGTGTAATGGCTGGAAATCTTTAAACTGACCCGGATTCTCTTTGTTTTATGTGTGGAAAGTGATTTAAAAGCATTGGTTTGTTGCCTATTGATGTTCAACCTAATATTATAACTATATCTTAAATTTTGTTAACAAAATTGCGGAATAATATGCAGCCATAAAAACCATTCATTAGTATGTATCCATACTTTTTGTTGGAAGTCGGAATGGAGAGTTTTGTCATAGGCACATTTTAAAATACTAACAGAAACTTTGTTGAAGTCTACACATAACACAAACGGCAACGAAGTGGCACATTAATGGAATACGAACCAAACGAACTTGATGAAGAGTTCGAAAATTATTTGCAATTGGTTCACTGCTTTGTGGTCAAGGATTTTCCATATGCAGAACGATGCAGTTTTGTGATGAACTCGTCGGACTGTGTATCGGGCACAAATTTTGTGCCCTATATGCAGTTGATGTCTTGTGTTTTCAAATGTAAGAATAAATTCATGGAGCTCGTCTTTATCAGCATATTTCTGGCTCTCTGTGCAGAGCTTCTGTTGTGTCTGGGCTATGTCGTTGATCTATAGTGAGTCAATCAAATAATTTGTATCTTCTCTTTAAAATCGCCGTTTTCAGTTACGGCCCAGCGTTGAAGGTCGTTTCACGACTCCTACATATGAACGAGCATTTGGCAGGAGTTACATTGTTAGCATTCGGGAACACATCTCCAGATCTATTTGCCAATTTAGCAAACATCGAAGAAGAAGTGCCAGTGTTTGCCAATAGCATGTCCACAGCGCTATTCGTGTCGATGTTCACTGGCGGTTTGGTCTGCTACATAAGCCCATTCAAAATGAATTCACATAGTACTATTCGAGATCTGTTGTTCTTTATACTGGGCATATCATTGCTTGAATATGTAATGGCTAGCGAAGGCCAAGTGACCTTGAACGAGTGCATTAGTATGTAGAGTGTTTCCACTTAGTATGGGTTATTTTTGTAACATGTATTGTACTTTGTTTGGCAGTGTTATGCATGGTATATATTTTTTACTTGATGGTAAATATGCTCGATTTGTACATTATGCGCATCACCATGAGAAGTAAGTAGAGCCACCATGGCATGCATATACTCCAACTAAATATCATTATTTTTGCTCGCAGTGATGGAGCGTGAAATCAAAGAGTTGAGAAGTAAGCCGCTAACAAGGGAAATGACCCGAAAGTTAAACGAGTTGCAGCGGAAATATGACGATTTAAATGAGGATGAGACTATTGAGATTGTGGAACGCACTTCAAGTATATTTGTCAGTGGAAAGCGTTCACAACGCGGAAAAAGTCGAGCAACCTTCACATTTGGAACGCCTCAAAACCGGGGCCACGATAACGTCAACGAGGAAGCCACCCGTAATGTTTTCTATAATCTCAGCCATGGAAAAAATATCCGTCTTTTTGAAGAATTTTTTGAATCCATCAAACCTATTGATTGCTCCGAATGGCGCAACCACAATATGTTTATGAAAGCATTTTACTTGGCCAAGGCACCTGTAGTGTTTCTGTGCGCCATTTATATACCGCTGGTGGATTATGAGATAGACAAGCATGGCTGGAGCAAGTTGCTCAATTGTCTTCACATCGTTTTAAACCCAGCACTAACACTTATGGTGGGTGGCGGTAAGTATCTTTCAGTCGCCTACTTACTTGTATCTTTCGCCATTCATTTCGTCCTGTGCAGCCATGTTTGTTGACCGTAAGGAGAACGTCTGGTGGTATACGAACCTAAAATTAAAATACGCGCAATACAGCTTCATAGTTACTATTCCTTTGGCCCTCATTGTGTTTTTCCATTCCCGCACCGACGTACCGCCTCGTTACCACATAGTAGATATCATTTATTTTCTATGTACGCGGCCTAAAAGCAATTTTTTTCGGTATAGGTCTTCACCATCATGAATCTCACTGGGTCAATGTTCATAATATTTATATGTGCAACAGAGATCGATTTGGTACTTGAAGTTGTTGGCAATATTTTGGACATACCAGAGGATTTCATGGGCGTTACTGTAAACGCTGTGGCCGGTGCGCTCGGAGACTTGGTTGCCAACTCGTCAATGGCTATGCAGGGTTACGAGAAAATGGCCTATGCTGCTGCTATTGGGGGTCCCTTTTTCAGTAAGCAAAACAAATGCTTACTTTTTTTATGCTAGCTCATATATTTTATTTCAGCTGTGCTGATGGCCACAGGCGCAGTATTGGCAGCAAAAATTATGAGTGGTATGGAGGCGACGATGGATGAACAGATTGGAGATTATGGTGAAAACGCGTATATTTTTCTGAATTTAGGCCTCTTCTCTGCCCTTCTGTGGACCTCAACACTAAACTTTTTTGCTCGGCGCTCTACGGGTATTTTCTCCATGGGCATCTATGGATTGTATATATTTTTTGCCATTCTGATCGAGCAAAACATTATACACTCCTATTCAAGGGATGATGTATTTCCTATACCTGAGTAATGTAAAATAAATTCTGCCACAGCCTTATACTTTAATAAAAAAGAACGCTCTAGTGGGTTGTGGATAACTATGACATATAAATATATTCGAGGTGAAAAATGTAAATAAAATACGTTCTACATTTTATATAAAACTATTCACAGCAAACATGCCTGCAGCATGGGCCAATCAAACATCCTGACAAAGTGGGAAACTTATAACCTCAATGTTTCGTCGAAAGAATGATGTCCAAGGGCACCCAAATGAAATTGCATTAGCTTTTCAGGAGATCTTTCCAACGAGAAATCGACTTTATATGTCGATTATATTAGCATTTGGCGCTTCCGCTATATAACGTTAAAAGTTTCAGAACAAACATTTAAAGTCTAATTTCGATGTACAAAGGCTTTTTAATTAAAATCGAGTAAAGCAAACCCATAAAGCCACAAACTATTTTCTATGAATTTGACCCCAATACAAAGATCTTTCCAACGAGAAATCGACTTTATATGTCGATTATATTAGCATTTGGGGCTTCCGCTATATAACGTTAAAAGTTTCAGAACAAACATTTAAAGTCTAATTTCGATGTACAAAGGCTTTTTAATTAAAATTGAGTAAAGCAAACCCATAAAGCCACAAACTATTTTCTATGAATTTGACCCCAATACAAATCTTTAATTGTATTTCAATATTATTTGATTTATTAATAGACCAACTTGTTATGTGCGGTCAATCAAAAGCTAAAGATTTCCATTAATATTATGGTTATAAAAATATAAAATGAAATGAATAAAATTATACCAAGTATTGCTTGACAACTCCTAGATCATGTATGATACAGTGCTATGAACCATGAATACATTAAAAAACTAATAAATATTGATAAACATCAAAGTCGTTCGTACTGGGAGATTTTGTGTGGCAACGCGTATATCCTGCTAAGGCAATATTAACAACCAAACAATATTAGCTTGCGATATTGTAATAATCAACAAGAGAGAATGCTACAGTCGAGCAAACCGGACTGTGAAATACCCTGTACCCGAACAAACTTCCGCCACTAAGTTACATTCGTCCATTGCAGAAGAAGTTTTAAGCAAAAACAGCTCATATACATCAGATAGAACTAGTATACACCTTCATCGTTTGGGTAAAAACAGGGTAAAAAAACTCTCCATGGTCATACAAGCCGATAAAGGGAAAGTATATACCATTAAAAATACATTTATCGTATATGAATATACATTTATTGTATGTGTAAAATATTTTATTTATGCATGTACAATTATTATTGGATGCTGATAAAATGATCTTTTCGATAGCTGTGTATAATACCATTCTCTGCCAAAGTACTGAATAAGAGAAAAAGAAAGTAGATGCACATATTAAAAATTCCCATTGAGCGTCTGGCCCTAAAATTAAGGACAGAGGTCCAGATCAGAGTTGTGAACAGCCCCAATATGAGAAATACCAGGCAGTTGAGGCCATATTCGCCAAGCTGCGATTCCCACTTATTTTCCAGACCAAGATAAATTCGTGATATAAAAGTAGCACCAGTAACAATGAGAATATCTGCAAAAGGATTGATGACCCTTAGAAGATAGATCCATGGTACTTAGCACTCAACCTACTAAAGAATGGACCACCCATAGAAGCAGCATAGGCCATTTTCTCGTATCCTTGCATGGCCAGCACAGCATTCGTAACCAGATCACCGAGGCAGTTACATGCACAGCACACGGTGGCATTCATGAAATGCTCGGATATATCCAACACTGTTCCAATCAAATCGAATATTTTGTCGATTTCGGTGGCGCAAACATATAGCAGAAACATCGAACCAGCCACGCTTATGTAACTGAATATCTTTGTGAGATAGTCATTGATTATGTATATATACTGCATTTTTCGCACACTTACCCAGTGGTAGGAAGGCGGAGTATCAGTACGTGAGTGCCAAAAGACAAGAGCAGCCAACGGAAAAAGAGGGATCAGATATGGAGTATACGCAAACTGCAGTTCCAAATGCCAAACAGAGCACGAACGATCAATGTATCCTAGAAAAATTTTATATATTTGAAGCAGTTGGATCATTGCCCTCAGCTCTTAGCACTTCTCACCCATGCCCACCATAACGATCAAAGATGGCGTGATAACCACTTGAATGCAGTTAAGAAGCTTACACCAGCCATGTTTATCGTGTTCTTTATTCGTGAGTGGAATCAGTAAGCCGCACAACACGACCACTGGAGCTTTTGCCAACAGAATTGAGCGCCACACTGTACTACTTTCATGCCACTCCTTCATTTTAAAGGGCTTTAATACGTGCCATGCATCTCGGAAAAGGTTGTCATTTTTTGAATTATTCGGATCGTAATGAGCATTGCGCGTAAGTTCAGGATCAATGGTTTCTTTAACATCAACATCATTGAGCATCTCGCTTAAATTGCGTTGATATCGCTTCCACTTCATCTGCGTTTCAACGGTTTCCGGTTCATACATCAACTCTTCCATTTCTATTTGTATGGCTGTAGCTTGTGGTTAGATAATGGCCCTCTTTTGCTGCCCAGTATACTCACTCTTAATGGAACGCCTCATCAAGTACAAGTCGATCATATTGACACCAATATAAAGTACATATAGCATGATCATCGCTGCATCAAATCAGATTTAAATTGAAAGCCAATGTATGCGTAAAATATACAAATCTCACCAATGCACTCTGATATATCGGCTTCATCATCGTCTACTAGCAAAAACTCCATCAGGAGCACACCCATCATGATGAACAAAATGTCTCGCACTGTGGAATGAGCATTCATACGGAATGGACTGAGGAAGCACACGACCCCGCCGGTCAACATTGTGACAAATAAGGAGCTTGCCATGCTGTTTGCAAAAACTGCTCTCGTACCCTTCAGCTCCGCCAAATTTGCAAACACATCCGGCGAAGTGTTGCCAAACGCCAAAATTGTAACTCCCGCCAAATGTTCGTTCATGTGCAAATGTCTGGAGATTGTTCGGAGCGCTGGGCTGTAACTGCACCCCGAGCAGTAAGCTTACAGGTAAGCTTTTAAAAAAAGTCAAACTTACTACACATCTGCTATATAAGCCAGCATCAGAAGGAACTCGAAACATAATGCCACACAAACCGATATAAATACGCATTCCTCAAACTTGTTTTTCACACCAATTTCGCAGGACAATATCATAGTGTAGGTAAGAAGACGCATCTCTTCCACACATTCCGGCGTTTTCTTTACGAACTCGCACCGATCCGCATATGGAAAGCTCAATAAATTCAGACAACTGACTGATTCGGCGTAGTTCGCAAACTCTTCATCCATATAATTTAACTTATCATCGGCAGCCATGTTGGAAGATTTTTAATTTTCTAACTAATATTGTGTTTGTGTTTAAGAAGTTGCCTACTAAGCAGCAAATACATACTCTGGGAACAGAGTTCTTGATTTGATAAAAAATTGTTCTCTACTATAATTTGTAATACAGCCCTTAATAATTTATTAGATGCCGTATGACTCCTGCAATGGTTTTGTTCCGCCCCGCATATTGTGCACCTGTGATTGTGAATATTTTATTCCAAAGATGCCAACAAATGCACACATAATCTTCATATGGGGGGTGTTCCATATGCGCAAAGGGAAATGTTCTGTCTTGTGGAATTCAATTGAATACAATAGTAAACATAGAAATCTGCAACACCCTTTGTTTTTTTTTTTTGCTATAAAAAATTGCACTGCAACTGCCAATCATAACGGCTTAAATAGAAGTTTTTCTAATGCAGTTTTTTTGTTGCTTTCAACTTTGTTGCTTCAAATTTGAAGGCGTAACCTCTCAAAATCGTTTAGCTTTGCTCGTATTTAAGTTATCATTCAATAGCAGTTCTACGTAATCTTATACATATCCTATTGCTTATATAAATGTTACATGAATGTTAAATGCACATATATACTATAACGATTTGCGGAATTTCTGGCGACATTTGCCTTCATTTACTCGTATGTGCACGTCCATTCAGGCATGTTACTACTGCAAGTCCTTCTACAGTGCTTTTCATTCGCGCTGTGCTACGCAAACATTTCCCTAGCGTTCAAAGCATTACTTCAACCAGAAAATGTGAAACGAAAATATGAATTAACCATAAAACGGTTTAACAATTCAGCAGAAGCTAGCGTCCAACAGCTAGTAGTAACATTATTTGTACTTCGTTAATTTTTTATTTACTTATTTATTTGCTTATTAATTCCTAGTACGACAAGAAGATTTCTTATAATTTAATGTATGTACTTCGTTTTCTGGGCTGTCAATATAAGTGAGATATACAACCTTATAATAAGGACTAAGAGCCGTATAATGTTTTTTATTTAATTAAAATTAATGAATAAATATAAATTGCAGAAATGCGAGGATAAATTCGAATACTTATAGTGACTAGATCAGAGGCTTATCAATGCTATATCTGTAGTGCATTGCAAGTATTAAGAACTTTAATAAAATTATTAGTTCGCCGATTTTCCAGAAATTATTTATCTCCACCTAAATTGTATTTATGCTATTTTATATTAACCACAAATAGCGGTTTTGTCCTCATCAGGAAGTTCTCCTAATGCCTTGCAAATGAAGCGTGCCACTTCCTAACCGAGGTCGAGGTAGCATTCCTTACTTTGGAGCAGTCGTCCTATTGGCCTGCCAAGGACTGCCCTGACCTAGCCCTCAGCGTGATTAATTGAGACTTGCATAATTTACATATTGCTGGCTAGCAGTTGCTTAAGTTATACGATGTCTGCGCGTCTGGCTCTCTCAATGGGTATGTATGTGCGGTAGTAGCAAACACTCGCTTCGGATGGTGATCAACGGGGCGCATACTTAATGGGGTCATACGATATGCTAATTGGGAGTTACTAGTATACGGCAATTTATTGGTCAGGTAATGGCCGTACACTTAATGCACAAAACACCCGTAGATGCCTGCATAACATATCGTACATATGTATATAGATACTTACGCCAGAAATAAATCAAGCAACATTGCCAGCTGGTCGAATGGACTTTGTTATTTAATATGAACTGCAGCAGTATTGTCACAACTATTTTGCTTGTTGGCAACTGCAAAATAAAATAGCAAGGATTTGAGCAGGCAGAAACTACAATTTGAGCTGAAGGGTCGTGGGGTGTAGCATTCTGAACAATTTATAATCTTTTCTTGGTATTTTTGTTATTGAGAAAAATAATAAAAAAAAAGATGCATAGCCGGAGCTTTTCCATAACGTACATGGACCGGCTTAGCAAGCTGGCCACTTTGAAAATTTCAATTGAATAAAATTTATATCGTCTCTAAGATATTCGTTTATTCAATTATTTTGCAACAAATTTTTGAAAATTTTACGTATCATTTCATTTGTGTCTTAAAATATAAATACCAATTTGCATATGCAACGATTTGGATTTGTTCCGATTGCATTAAATATTAAATAGCTTTCACACGAAATAAATCTTTGCCAATTCAATTTCTTTTGCCCTTTTTGGCAAGCAATGCAAATCGCATGGTAAAGCATTTGAAATGACTAGAACAAGCAATGGTACTAAAACGCATTCAATTTCAACGTTGCCATCCCATCCGCATCTACCCGCTCTTCCACATCTCTCCCAACCTCAATGGGAATATGCAAAATGGCAAAAATGCAAAACAATTTGGTAACAAGCAAAATGCATCAAAACTCAGGACGAAAGCGTGCATGTGCATCCCATGGACTGAACTGAACAGAACAGAACTAAAGTTTGTTTGTCCTTTTCTGGCCGGAACGAGCTGCCAGAATAAGAGACAATGCGGGAGGATGGAAGACAGTTAGGGAGGGAGGTACGCGTTGAAGGACAAATATAGCGGGAGATGGAGACTTGCAGAAAAACAGTTGAAAAACCAAAGCTGTTGCAAAAACATGTCACATTAAGTGCACAGCAGCCGGAAGTCTATGAGACTTGAGTGCTTTTATTGCTGCCGGAATTCTGCGGGCATTCGTTTGAAGTTGTTGCTCGCATTTTGGCTTCTTTTTGTTCTCTTCTTGTAAAGTGTTCTCTTCTCTTCCCATATATTGCACTTGTTTATGCAATTGTACTTAAATGTAATGGTTATGTTTCAGTTTGGTTTTGCATTTCTATGCCACTTTGCCAGCAATTTAATGTCGGGGCAGAAATATTCATATATTTTGATGAGCCCAAAATAGTAGGAGAGTGGTGGGATAGTAGGTATTGCGTTTTGGCATACTTTAAGCCACCGTCGCATAATCACTCCACTATTAGCAAGCCCCCAAAAGAGTAACTGACTAACTGACAGTCGCAGCTGTAAGCCACTTTAACCCTAATTAACTGCACAACCCATGCAAGCTGTCACTGTCACCTGACTTCATTATGCACGGCAAGTAAGCAGGGACACCAGTTGTGCGACAGTTGTGCCTTCCCCGCCTACATGCCTGACACACTTTACTCTTATATTGAAATAGAGCTGAACGCTCAAGCGCCAGACGTTGAGGAGCCCAGCTCAAATAGTTGCAGTAAAATGGAGAAAAAGAAACGCCTGACTGCTTTTCAATAGACTACAAACGACACCACACCATGCCATCCTAGTCATCAGCATCGGCATCGTCATCCTTCCCTCTGCTGTTCTGCTCCATGTCGACGCCTTTGCTACACATTTCACTAGAGGTCGCCGCTTGGCTGTGTTTTAATTATGATACTTCATTAATGTAATTAGTCTTGGCAGACTGATGCTTAAATAAGTAGTAGTTGTACTCTCGGTGAGCCGGTTAGTCAGAGAGTGCGGGGTTGGGTGTTCTTAAAATGCAAACAACAAGAGTTGCATACTTTCAGGCGTGTTTGGCCCCTGGAAGATGGTTAGTTTTTGTGCGACGTCCATGAAAAATATATCAAGTAATGGCTGATCTGTAGGCCACCCATGACTTTTTATATATATTTGAGACGAAAAGCTAAAAATACCCAAAATAAATTAATATAATGAGAAGTTTTCAATAAACTTGATCTACAAATGGACAAGACTATTTTAAATCCCCTACACGGACGGCAACACGGCCATGAATCTAAAACACAACTTGTTCTGCCTCTTACTATACATACATCCAACATTTTTACAATACATTTTAAAACCCTTCACTTTTAAGTAAAATGTAAAAAGATTAAAAAGAATCCTTCTTATTGCTTATTAACATATACAACTATATAATCGATTGAGTCTATTAAAGAAAGGTTGCCGCAAACAAATATTATAAATAATAATAAGACGAGATAAATTTCCAAAATCATTAAGAATGTACGATCATTTTTTATACATGCCGTTTAAAGTTTTCTTTCTATACAATACTCAGATTGCCAGCAATAGATTCCGTTTCGATTGCATGTGAAAAATAAATAATAAATATCTATCCTTTGTTAGTAATGATTTGTTTCAGTACAGCTAACAGTAATAAGTAATATTGATAACTGCATTAATAATATAAGAAACATTTATCAAGTTATCTGTATTTTTGACTTATATCTTGAAATAACTAATGGCCTATTCTTAAGTTAATCGAATCGCTTGACTACAACCACTATTTGATTGAAAACCAATTCATTTAGACAGCATGGCTGCTAGGCCACTTAGTTATTCGAACAATGGTAATCGGGTTTTCTATAACCCAACCAAAGTTGTGAATGAAAACCGTCAATGGAATTTGCTCAATCGTGGCCATAAGTTGGGACATAAATTAGTGCGAGTCCAATCTAATCTTTTCACAACTGCTGACAATCAAATAAACAAAATACCAAACAGTCTCTCCAATTTATTTATGTTTATCAACATTTTTAAGTAAGGGCCCTAACTGGTCTAATAAATTTTAATAAGTCCGTTAACTCACTAAGCTCTGGTTGTGTGGTTTATATTTTGCAACTTTGAACAAATTTAAATGCGGAAAGCGCGCTCCCAACTGCTCGCAAATGAAAAAGCCAACCATTTTCCTCTGACCGACTACAGTTTCGTGGTTTTATTGTTTCAAAGAGTTGGATGGGGTCAAAGCCGGGCTAGCAAGTTATTAAACATTGGCACACAGAAACTACTTAAACTTATTAAAACTACTTTGTTAGAGATGATGTTGTTAATAACTGCACTCAAGTGGCGTGTGCGGGGAGGGAATGAGGAAATAGTTGAATGTTGGGCAAAAGTTAAAACGGACGCCGTAACTCAAATTGGGACTTAAAAAATTTATCGATTGCAAATCAACAGCTTCTTTTTTAATTAAAAAAACATGATTTTAGCCTGAAAAGTAACATTTATATTTTATACTTAAGTATTACACATATATGTACTTTAAGTCCTTTATATCGATGATCCTAGATTATTGTTTCGAATTCATTTTTAAGAAAACTCATTGAAGTACATTTCAAATTGAAATTTCGATATATTGCTGATAATTTTTTTTCTTTCTACACTTGCATCTCTGGTATTTTAGCTGCTAGTCAGAAATTTGGCTTGCCTATTTGAAACAGTAACAGCTAAGTACTTCTCTCAAACTTTTACTGAACAATTTGAGTGTACGAAGAACGACTTAATAATATATTTTGCAAGTTTTCCACGTTTGAATGGATCGGCACTCAGTCGCCGCTAGCCTGGTCCCCATTTAGCTGCCACTCATCGTCACACACAGACAACTGCATTTGCGCTGGCACAGATACTTACGAACTTGCGCTGTTCGTGGAGCGCAAATTTGAAAACTTTTGGCCAAATTTAACGAATGAAATACTTTGACAGCTAGGACGTGATTTTAGGACCCAACAACGAGAGAAACGAGGAAAGAACTAAGTAGAGGCGATGAAAATGTGTTGTGCCATTTAGAAACTGTTGCAGGCACAAAACTGAGGTTGACGCTGGAAATAAGAATTTGACGTGTACAAGACAGCAACTGGAAATGCAATCAGTGTCAGGGTAATTCTTACACATGAGAATATATATACATATATACAGAATACATGAGGATATTTTAATATATAGTAAATACTTAAAATGGCTTACATATTTTAGAATACATATTTTAATATACAAGTATAGTAAATACTTTAAATGGCTTACATATTTCTTCGCCGGCATATAGCATGCAGATCTCTGCCGTTTTAGGTCGATTTTTCACTTCCTTGTAGAACAACAAGAAATTATTTTCCACTTAGCTTGTCTAGATGCACGACTGATTACGCTTTGAACAGTCGTGTTCGGGTTATGTGCTACAAGTATTAAACGATCTTTCTCCTTATTTTTACAGAACTCTCTCTGTGCTCTATAAAAATTGTTCCGTACAAGCATCGGGGCATAGAGTTTGAGCAACTCCGTCATTCTAGAAATTTTAAACTCAACTCGTATCCATTTAGTGCTTATGTATTCTCATGTTAAGTTTTATCGTGATAGCAAATCTATCTGCTCCAGCTTGGGCTTCGGAATGGAATGGTATAGAAAACCGAGATTCCAGTTCCTTTTGCGAGCCTTGCATTCTTACAGACGGACGTGGTAAGTTTGTGGTATCTGCCAAACTCCCTATTAGGCGTTTTAATTTATAGATACATTAGCAGCATTTCGGTCGATTGATGAACAGATGAACATTAATATGAATTAAATTTGTTAAGCAATTTGAAAATAGTAGTAGTAGGTAGTAGGCCATTACCCAACAGTTAGTTTAATATAAAGGCTTGGAGAAGTTTAATAAAATCTGTTGCGTACCTTAATGCAAACAAATTTTGGGCCATAATTGTAAATCGTAATCCCAAAAATGAATATAACGGATATGACTGAAGAGTTCGAGAACTTCTTGACATTTGTGAGTAGCAATAGGGTTAGGCTTAAATTTAAGCGATGATGGTATCGTGTTTTATTTTTCAATTTCAGACGAGCTGCTTTACGATCTCGGAAATACCCTATGAAGATCGTTGTGTACTGATTAATAAGCTAAAAGACTGCCAGCGAATTAGCAATCTTCTCAACTATTTACGCATATTGTACTGTACAATTCAAATTCGTGACTGGCCCGTAGAAGCCGTAGCCGCATGCATTATGTTGGTGGTCGTATTTGCTCTCTTGATACTGGTGGGCTTAGCCGTGGGAAATCAGTGAGTAGAGATTGTAAGTTTGTAAATATTTTAACCATTGGTTTTGTAATTAGCTTAGGACCTGCACTGAAAATTCTATCGATAAAATTGCACATGAACGAGTACTTAGCGGGCGTTACATTACTCGGCTTCGCCAATGCCTCACCCGACGTGCTGGCAAATTTGATGCCTATTCGATCCGATGCTCCGGTTTATACAATTACTATAAGTAATGCAGTTGCTGTTATTTTGCTTAGCGGAGGAACGGTTTGCTTTATGAGGCCCTTCAAAATGAATGGGCATAGCACAGTGCGTGATCTTTTGTTCGTGCTATTAGGGAGCGAGACGTTTACTTTCCTAATAATGGGTGACAAAAAGATATCAGTCGTTGAGAGTCTGGGCAAGTGCATTTGTATTCTCATTTGCGTTCCTTTGCGTACTTACAAAATCAGCCTAACTACTTTCCCATTTTAGCTCTTATAGCAACGTACATAGTATATGTGTTAGTTAACATAGTCGATTTGATAATCGCTCGTATAACAAGAAACTGTAAGTTTACACGTAACCTTAGATAGTGCGAAAAAAAAACCAAACATATCTTTCTACCTACAGCTCTACGCGAAAAACTCCTTAGATTAGCGACACAGCCACCATCGAAGGCTCGAAATCAGCAGATCAAACAACTGCGTGCTTCCTACAGTGAATTGGATGATGATGACACTGTGACGATAACTGACCATAATGCACATGTGTTCGGAACACAGCCGCGTTCTTCATGGCGTGATAGTGGACCGCGGCGGTCCTCAGAATACTTTAGGGAAAAGTTTTCCTATGGCCTTGGCACACAGAAGCCAGAGCCCCGTCCCTCAACCATCGACTTTAACATGACACGCACCATTCTGCACAACGAGAACAATCCGAAGAACCGTTTCCTCTTTATTGAATTCTTTGAATCGATCATACCCATCGACATCGAGCAGTGGAAATATAGTGGATGGTGCTTCCGTTTGTTTATGATTTTAAGGGCGCCCGCAGTATTTATTTGCACACTATTCATACCCGTCGTAAACTACGAAATGGACAAACACGGCTGGAGCAAGTTGCTGAACTGCTCACAGATTATTACCAACCCCATCCTTATAATCACTCTAATAAGCTGTGAGTAAGCCCAGGAACTGCAGCATCCCATTACAGATTAATAATTCTCCTTTCAGCATTAAATGCCAAATTATATACGACATGGTATATGAACTTTATATTCACCCATTCCCGGTATTCGCTAGTCCTGACGGTGCCATTGGCAATTTTTGTATTTTTCCAATCTCGAACGGATTTGCCACCGCCATATCATGTTGTAAGTATTTAATATTGAACATGATCCATTTGAAACTTAATTTTGTTTTGATTTTCAGTTATTTATTGTACTTAGTGCTTGCACCTCGTTGATCCTTATAGCGATTTTTGCCGCAGAAATTGAAATTCTCATCTCTATTGTGGCTATTACCTTCAACTTGTCAGAGAACTTCATTGCGACCACTTTTCGATCTATTTCAACTGCCATTAACGACATAATTATTAATTTAGAATTGGCCATGCAGGGATACGAAAGAATGGCATATGCCGCAATTTTTGGTGCTCCATTGTTCAGTAAGTATTTTAATCGAACTCGACTCGTACGTAAATGCTATATACATTTTTCTTAATTCAGATATAATGGTCGGCATGGGTATATTCTGTTACTTTAATCATGAAGTGCAAGAGAAGGATTCATATTATTGGATATATGGGGAGCATGGTGGAAATTGTCACATTTTCCTCATACTTACTGTTCTTACTACTTTATGGTGGACAGCGATGTTTAATTTCTTCGCACGTCGATCGGCAGGTCTATTCTCAATTCTTCTATACTGTCTATTTTTGATTTTCGCAACTTTCGTCGAATTGGAATGGGTGCATGAACTATCCGAAGATTTATTTATTGAGCCCGTTTAGTAAGAAATAATTGCAATTGCATTTTTTGTTACAATAAATGACAATAATACAAATATAATTAAAATCGAAAACATTTATACCAAGTTAAGTATTTATTTATGTGCTCATACGTGTCCTGTTCAAAAGAAAACGTGAAGATTTAAATTCCTTTGAAAAGCATTTATTTATTCATCAATATTCATCTTGTCCCCTTCAAAGCAATTCCTCTCAAATATAATGGCACTTCTGGCTCCCTCAGACTTTTTCCTATTTCCAAAACTGAAGAAACCAATGAAAGGAAAGCGTTTTGTCACAATTGATGAGATAAAATCAAAATCGAAGAACGAGTTGATGGCCATACCGAAAAGCGCATTTCATTGCTTTGCTTCGAGCATTCGAAGAAGCACTGGCATAATTGCATTATATTTCAGGGGGATTAATTTGACGTGGACAAAATGGATATTGATAAATAAATAAATACTTTTCAAAACAATTAAAAATGCAAAACAAAATTCACCTTTTCTTTTGAACACACCACGTACATCTTTGTTGAGTCTAAGCAAGCCGAGTAAAAGTTATTATTAAGTAAGTTATTTTTTTTATTTGAAGAAATTTGTGCTGCATTAAAATGGGTGATACGCGAAACGATACATTTTTAGATGAAGATTTTGAGACCTATTTGAAAAAAGTAAGTAATTTGAGAACCGTCTTCAATTTAAGAGCATTTTTGAAACTACCAGATGAGTTGCCTGGCCGTCATGCGTGTCGAATATGACGAACGCTGTGAATTGGCACGCGGAGTTGAGGATTGCAAAAATATAATCAATTTGTTCAACTACTTCGAGATGATGTATTGCAAATTTCACATTTCAAACAAGACAACGGAGATTGCTGTTATGTGCATATTTATGTTGGGCGTGTTGGGCTTCTTGATGTTGATGGGTCATGTGGTAGGGACATAGTGAGTATACATACATATATCAAAACAAAAACATGCGCAATCAAAAACATATACAAATCTGCGCTGTTTGATTTATATTTTAGTTTCGGACCTGCTCTAAAGATATTGTCAAAAAAAATGCATATGAGTGAGTATTTAGCAGGAGCTACATTGCTAGCATTCGGGAATGCTTCGCCAGACATATTTGCAAATCTGATGCCCATAAGAGCCGATGCGGCAATTTTTACAATTACCATAGGCAATGCCGTTTCTATAATCCTAATAAGCGGTGGCACAGTGTGCTTCCTTAAACCATTTAAAATGAACGGACATAGCACTGTACGGGATCTTTTGTTCCTTTTACTTGCTTGCGAAATCTTAAGATTTGTGGTTTTCTTTGGCGGCAAGGTCACAATAATTGAAAGTATCAGTGAGTTGTTCGTATATTCGTCACTTGATCTAACTAGAAACTTCTTTAATTTAATAGTTTTAATATCAGTTTACGTCGTTTATTTATTTATCAACATACTCGACCTAATTCTATCCCGAATATCGATAAGAAGTAAGAATTGTGAGTTCATCACCAAATAATTGCATGAGTGAAATTTTATTTTAGAACTACAGAAGGACATCACAACTTTGAAACAGCAGCCAAATACACTGGAACGTAACCAAAAACTAATGAAAAAACAGACTGAATTGTATGATTTAGTAAAGGATGACAGGGTGGAAATCAATGATAATGATACCTACATATTTGGGTCAAGAATCAGACGCTCATCGTGGGGTAATTCACGACGTTCTTCGACCTACGTTGGCGACAAGCTTAGTTATGGAATTGGTACTCGCAAGGCTGATCCTCGTCCCGCAATTATCGATATCGAAGCGACGCGGACCATATTGCATAATGAAACTAATCCCAAAAACCTATATTTGTTTAAAGAATTCTTTGAAAGTCTAGTACCCATTGATTTAGATGAGTGGTCCACAAGAGGTTGTTTTGGCCGTTTTATTATAATTCTTCGGTCGCCTATAGTCTTTGTCTATACAGTATTTGTGCCAGTCATTGACTATGAGCTCGACAAGCACGGCTGGAGCAAGCTGCTTAACTGTACACAGATAATAACTAATCCCGCTATACTAATCACAATAGTGCACTGTAAGTTACGGCCTCCATAACCGCTTTTCATTATTTATATTTACTTATCTAATTTTTTAGCTATGCTGAAATGGACCTACGACTCTTGGTACATAAGACTGAACTTTGATTATTCCCAGTATTCTTTATGTATTACAGTTCCATTGGCAATCATCGTGTTCTGGCATTCCCGCACAGATCTCCCACCTCCATATCACTTTGTAAGAAAAACCGTCATTTACATACTAACCGATCCTCACTATATCTGCATACATACATTTTTCTTGCAGCTCTTTGTTATTCTAAGTGGAATTAGCTCCATGATCACGATTCTGGTTTGTGCCACCGAAATCGAAGTGCTCTCCAGCATTGTGGGAATTGTCTTCAATCTAACGGCCAACTATATGGCCATTACATTTGGCTCTCTCGCCAATGCCACTAGCGATATGATGGCTAACGTGGCATTGGCAATGCAGGGCTATGAAAAAATGGCCTATGCTGCCATTTTCGGCGGCCCTTTTTTCAGTAGATATTCATTTATATAATTTCTATGGTTTTATTTTACCGGACTTTTTATTTAGGCATGCTGGTCGGTATGGGTGTGGCCTTTTACTTCAATAAGAATGTACGTGAAAAAGGCTCATCATTTTGGTTATACGGTGAACATGGAGAGAACTGTTATGTTTTCCTAGTGATAACTATAGTCTGCACTTTATGGTGGCTTTTTACTTTCAATTTCTTTGCTCGTCGTTCGGCTGGCCTGTTCTCATATCTTTTGTATTCCATATTTTTGCTGTACGCAACGCTCATTGAACTGGACTGGGTACACGAATTTGCGGACGATCAGATGTTTGATCCAGAGTAAAAATAATATAAAAAAAATACTTCCATCAAAAAAAACTGAACATATCAAAAACAATTGCAAAACAGGGCCCAAGTGCCGTGCGAAATCTTGACGTCGAAAGAACACTCCTATCAAGAATCGAATATGCATTTGGAAGAACTTGACTATCGCTTTAATTTTTAACCGTTACGATTTTATTTACAAAATTGTCCTTTATTTCATAATATTTTTTTGACTTTCTGAATAAACCAGAAACAGCTTACAGACCAGGAATCTACTTATTTACGAATTTTTCTCTCCATCCAGTTGAAGAATAAAGAATAATGTACGAGTATATTCTATTTTGTGACAAAATTTAACTAAATAATTGGTCTGGATTTAATGTATTTTATACAGTTTGATTAATATTCATCTTTTTTCATTATAATATAGTCGGTCAACCAGGTCAACCACAGTAATTAATATTTTCTGTTCTGCTCGTGGATCGCAAGGCCTAATTCTATAATCACATTAGGCTTAGTAAAGCTAAGAATATTACATACTTATAATATAACATACAAACTAAAAAAAGTTCTATATTTTGCAAAGTAAAATTCGAATACCTTAATAGGCGGTGTACGAAGTATTTTTAAATAATTTACTTGACTATTTTATTTGTTGTGAGCATATTTGCATTGTCTTCAAAATGGAAGATACGAGGAACGAAACATTTGTAGATGAAGATTTTGTGACCTATTTGAAAAAAGTAAGTATGCGCACCAGAAACTCAGAATTATAGAATGTAGGACCCTAAATTCCGTGTAATTCTCGTACCATTCATCAGATGAGTTGCCTGGCCGTCATGCGTGTCGAATATGACGAACGCTGTGCTTTGGCACGCGGAGTGGAGGATTGCAAAAATATAATCAATTTGTTCAACTACTTCGAGATGATGTATTGCAAGTTCCACATTCCAAACAAGACGGTGGAGATTGGCATTATGTGCATATTTTTGCTTGGCGTGTTTTTGTTCCTGATATTGATGGGTCACATGGTGGAAACGCAGTAAGTAGTGATTCAACCCATAATTTATTATAATGCACTATTGTCCTGCCTCTTTTAAATTTGTTCCTAGTTTCGGGCCCGTTCTTAAGATTTTGTGTCTAAAATTACACATGAATGAATACCTGGCTGGAGCTACAATATTAGCCTTCGGGAATTCGTTGCCGGACGTATTTGCAAATCTGATGCCCATAAGAGCCGATGCGGCAGTTTTTACAATTACTATAGGCAATGCCGTTTCCATTATTCTAATAAGTGGAGGCACGGTGTGCTTCCTTAAGCCATTCAAAATGAACGGACATAGCACTGTGCGGGATCTTTTGTTCCTCTTTCTCGCCTGCGAAGTCTTAAGATTTGTGGTTTTTCGTGGCGGAAAAGTGACCGTATACGAATGTGCTGGTAAGCAATTCTAATAATCTGTTAACCGAGCATAATTATTTATTATTATGCAGTTCTGGTGGCAATATACATTATATATATAGTTGTTAATATAGTTGATCTGATTCTTGCTCGATTAACTATAAGGAGTAAGTAGAAATACTTAAAAATTACTCAAGAATCAGTTATTGAGCTCTGATGGTTTTCAGTGCTAAGGAGAGAAATCGCAATTTTGAAGCAATATCCCAAAACAGTCGCGAATAAAGAAAGCCTTAGACGTAAGCAAACAGCATTAAGTGAACTCCTTAAAGACGAGATGATCGAAATCAATGATACCGAGGCCAATATTTTTGGATCCAAGACCAGACGGTCATCGTGGGGCAATGATCAACGTTCTTCGGCCAATAATGGAGACAAGCCTAACTACAGTATTGGCACTCCCAAACCGAACTCTCGTCCTTCAACAATTGATATCAATGCGAAACGCAAAATCTTACACAGTGATCTGAATCCCAAAAACCTTTACTTATTTCAAGAATTCTTCGAGTCATTGGTCCCCGTTGACGTAGATGAATGGCATTCTAGCGGCTGTTGTGGCCGTACATATCTGATTATTCGAGCCCCTATAGTGTTTGTTTGCACGATATTTGTGCCAGTGGTGGACTATGAGCTTGACAAGCACGGCTGGAGTAAGCTACTTAACTGCACTCAGATCATAACCAATCCCATGTTATTAATAACTGTAATGCATTGTAAGTTAGTTCTAACCTTAACCTAGCATACGATTCATTTATTTTGAAACCGTTTCGACAGCGATGGTTAATTGGACATACGACAACTGGTATATAAGGCTGAATTTTGATATATCTCAATATTCGCTAATACTGACAGTACCATTGGCAATCATCGTATTCTTTCAGTCGCGCACAGATCTACCACCTCGATATCACTTCGTAAGGCTAGGCAGCATGAACTAATAATGTCTGATTTTCTATTCCATTTTTTTAAATAGTGTTTTCTCATACTAAGCGGATTGAGCTCAATGATTGTCATTATGGTTTGTGCCACCGAAATCGAAGTGCTCTCCAGCATTGTGGGAATTGTCTTTAATCTGACAGCCAACTATATGGCGATTACATTTGGATCGCTGGCCAATGCCACCAGCGATATGATAGCGAACATGGCATTGGCATTGCAAGGCTACGAAAAAATGGCTTTTGCTGCCATTTTTGGCGCCCCATTCTTCAGTATGTATATGGACATCTAGTATATGCTTTCATTGCACCTGTTTCTTAGGTATGGTGATCGGCATGGGTGTGGCCTTTTACTTTAACGAAAATGTACGAGAAGAGGGCTCTTCATTTTGGCTATATGGTGAACATGGCGAAAACTGTTACGTTTTCTTTGTACTTACTGTTCTCTGCACTTTGTGGTGGCTTCTTACTTTCAACTTTTTTGCCCGGCGATCGGCTGGCATTTTCTCTTATTTTTTATATTCGTTATTTTTGCTTTATGCGACGCTCATAGAACTGGACTGGGTGCATGAGTTCGCAGACGATCAGATATTTGAACCGGAATAAAACCATAGCATTTGTTAAAGCTCATCATTTTAGATACAAATTTCATGTTGTTAAAATGTGTATGGACGGGCTATCTAGTTTTACATTATTGTACAGAGGGGTATGTGCGAATTAGACGAATCGAATACGAACAAATTTGAAGGACGTCAATAATCATGCCAGCTTTAATCAGTCTGCCAATCGGGCGACTTGAGACTACAAGATATTGTAAAATATGTTTATTGCACCTTGGCTCAATACTCGTAACCAAACAATATAATCATATTCTCGAATATTCATGTACATATCACCATATGGAGTAATAAGCACCTATTTAAAATATGGCACAATCAATTATTAGATAAGCAGAGGGCAAACAGGCGATAGTTAGGCAAATAAATTAACAGATTTAAAAAAAAAACAACGCACATTCCCATATTTGCTCTCAGAAGTTGAGTCGCATAATAAATCATCGAAATTAGTTTTAGAAATACAAGTGGCTGTCGTATATAATGCATCTACTTGAGCCCAGGCAGGGATGTACCGGATTGATAACCGCTTATCGATTATCACTGCACTTCCGCACCTTTCAAGCATTCAGCCATGCTTTAAAAGCCCGCGCTGCAATTGGTTAACCATTCATTGTCTTAACATGGTTACCAAAGTCATTGTTGTTTGCGTTTTGGCCGTCCTACTCTGTGGCCAATACACAGAGGGCGTGAACATCATCTCCAAGGCCCAATGGGGTGGTCGGGCACCCACCTACCGCGTTGCCCTAGGCAACTACCTCAACTATGCCATTATCCATCATACCGCCGGTGCCTACTGTGAGACCTTCGCCGCATGCTCTCAGCAAATGCGAAATGTTCAGTCCTACCATATGGACAGCCTAGGCTGGCCCGATATTGGTTACAACTTTTTGATTGGTGGTGATGGCAATGTGTACGAGGGGCGTGGCTGGAACTCGATGGGAGCTCATGCAGCCGAATGGAATTCCTGGAGCATTGGAATTAGCTTCATGGGAAACTACAATTATGATACACTGGAACCGAATATGATCTCTGCTGCCAAGGAGCTGCTCCAGGATGCCGTTAATCGTGGTCAATTGAGCTCTGGATATGTGCTGTATGGCCATCGCCAGGTCAGCGCCACCGAATGTCCTGGCACTCATATTTGGAATGAGATCAGGAGCTGGACGCATTGGTCAGCTTAAGAAACAAAGTTCCAAATAATAAAAAAATGCATTGAAAATGAATTCTGTTTAAACATATCCAAGTTGTAGGCTTTTTTTAGAGTGTTCAGAGTTATGGAAAATCAGTAATAGCGGGGGACTGAAGGGGTATATCAGAATAAAAACCAAACTTGACCTGCCTAAAGCTTAGGGGGATAGTTTGGTTATTCTAGCTCTTGTTCGTGCTGAGTTCTTTACGCTCATACAGACAGACAGATGGGCAAGGCTATATCGACTCGTCTTGTCACATAATGGACAATAATATACATATACTCGTATCCTTTGTTTGGCCTGCAACACCTCCTCTTGTGTGTGACATTCATTTGCACCCTTTTTTCCTTTTGGTATAAAAATTCATTCACTTAATTCGGTTAAATTGTCAACTCATTAAAACACTAAAAATCAACTTGATACAGACTTTACTATTGATACTGCTCCTTTGACAAAAATATGTGTAAATCTATCTTATCGGCTAAGTTCTAAGCTCTCATATAAATTGAGAACCTATCAGCGGAATGAAATGTACCGGCACTTGTAAATCAGTTGTGGTACGTATTTGAATGACATAGGTACGTATTTTTAAAGTTAGTCGCCATACTCGTATCAGGTGACTGACCGACTGGCACTCGAATTTGTTTATTTATAGCAAACGTACTATAATTTCCGAATGAACAGACAATGTAATTATACCTGGTGGATAGTTGTATATAATATTTGGACTCAAAATCTGTAAAGCCGTTTCGCCAAGTAGAGCTTTTGTAGGCATTATGGCACATGTAAGCTAACGGCATCATATCAAATAGATAAAACAAAAGCTCTTAAAAAGTCTACAAAGCTGTATAGTATATCAAATTGTTTTTTATAGCTTTTTATAGCTTCAAGTGTATGGAGTTTATGTATGACGCAGTTACTATACTTTTCGAAGTGTCCACAACTTTTATCCTCGCGAAACGCTTTAAAGCACAAAGAATGCCTCTTAATTTATTATTATTTAGCAGAAGCATAAGTAGATAAGCTTCGAACCCGTCCGAACCAAGCCAATTGTCAAGCACAGCTGCACACGCTTTTCTAACAAATTAATTAACTGCCACTTGTGCAGATTAAAAGTTCGTTTTCAGTATATCGCTATCAGGACTTGCTTCTTCAGATAGGAGGCCTATCAGATCAGATTTGACGAACACTCGTCGTATAACATCGTGTGACGTTTGCCTACGATAACACGGCTACCACCACTATATAAGCTTCGGCGAACCGAACAGCAAACATACAAGTAACAACAACCATGGCAAACAAAGCTCTCGTCGCTCTGACCGTACTCGTGTGCGCCCAGGCAGTCTTCGGTGTGACCGTCATCTCCAAGTCGGAATGGGGTGGTCGTGCACCAACAAGCAAAACAACGCTGGCCAGCAAACTTAGCTATGCTGTGATCCATCACACCGCCGGCAACTACTGCACCACCAAGGCTGCCTGCATCACTCAGCTGAAGAACATCCAAGCCTACCACATGGACAGCTTGGGCTGGGCTGATATTGGCTACAACTTCCTGATCGGCGGTGATGGCAATGTGTACGAGGGTCGCGGCTGGAATGTGATGGGAGCTCATGCCACCAACTGGAACTCCAAGTCCATTGGCATCTCCTTCCTCGGCAACTACAACAACGATAAACTGACCTCTGGCCAGATTACCGCCGCTAAGGGTCTGCTATCCGATGCCGTCTCTCGTGGTCAGATCGTCTCAGGCTACATCTTGTACGGTCATCGTCAGGTCAGCGCAACTGAATGCCCCGGCACCAATGTCTGGAATGAGATCCGCTCCTGGTCCAACTGGAAGGCCTAAATCTTCATTTCATATTTAAAAATGCTGCAATAAAAAAATTCTAAAAATATAATATACGACAGGTACATACATACATTACATATGTACTTATGCAAAGGGCATTTTTCGGTAGGGGATTCTTAAAAATGGCAACATTGAACAAATTTATCACAATTGAAAATAGTTTGGCAATGATTTCCCGATATTGATCCAAGTTGAAACATTTCATGTTTCAAAAAGTTAGACCAGGTGCCATACTTTTAGAAAAACCATGGGCCATTGAAGAAAGGATTTATTGACACCATCTCCAATAACAGACACTAAGATCGTGTGTTATAAGTCCGCTGGACTTATTCCTGTGCAAATTGTTCTTTGCGAATAAGGTTTTTCCGATATACAGCACGTTTGTCAAGAATGAGTGAGAAAATGGAAGAATCCCCATAAACACAAGGTTTTCAAGTGGTCCAAAAACTCTGAATGTTAATATATTGTGTGGTATTTTATTAAATGTACTTAAACTTCCATTTCCTGTTTCTCCAGAATTCATTTGTCTAGATTCTCACACATTTTTCATCATTGTTTGCCATAAAATTAATTTACTGAATTAAATTTCTTGTTTTTATTTTTGTTTAATATTATATAGTATGTATGCATCTTTGGAAAGATCCCTTATAAAACATACAAAAAGAATATGTCTCGTGTATTTTTGTTGAGGGACTCCCCTTCAACGGGAACAACAACTGACCTTCATTTAGATTTCTGGTCCGATTACGAGCAGTAGAGGAAAAAAATAAATTAATTTTGTTTCAAGCGCTAATACAGATGTGCCATAAACTAATACAATGATTCCAATTCTGTGGAACTCATTATTTGTATATTATCATTTTTTTAAGACTGCTATTTCAATAAATTTTCAATCACATAATCTGAGGTGTTCTTTAAATGCCATGAAGCCATATCGGTACCATCAACTGTCTCTTTTATAGCAAACCAATTTTAAATCTACGGCTACGTTATTTTAAACACAGAGTTGAATAAAAGTTGTAACTGAAGTTTTTTGTAATTCTGGTTTGGACAAATTTCGCATCGAAAAAGCACCAAAATAGTATTTAATTGTTTCAAACAAGTTTTTTAAGTTAGTTCCATCTTTTAATATTTAATACCCCATAGTTTCGTAATAGGTAGGACTACCGTGTATAGTGAAAACTCCCTTAATGGACACCTCTTTTAACCGGACACTCTATTCGGCGGACGCTTTTTCTAAAACATTCTTTCGGTGTATAAAGTATTTAAGTATCCCTTAAACAGACACTCCCCTTGGACGGACAAAAATTTGCCGACCGTCAGTGTCCGGCCAAGAGAATTTTCACTGAATACTAATTACCCAAAGATTTCTAGGGCATACCAGAAGGTCCAAGTGCATGTATAAGCTAAAAGGAGGAATAGCAGAATATTCTTATAGGTGCGTAAATGATCAGCATGACGAGAAAAAACAAATTAGAGATGTCCGTCTGTGCTTTCGTATGAAAGCCGAGCAGTTTTGAGCCATTACCAGTGGGGATACGAAACTTTTTATAAGGCTGCAATCCAATTTATCCAATTTAATTGCTAACCATATAAATTCTGATGAGTTTATGTCGGTACATAAATTAATACCAACCATTTTTCTTATAGAGGCTTGACAGGCTGGACCGGGGAAAAGGGTGACAACAAAATATTTCAGATATATTGAACATTATATTAAAGCTCAGTTTCAAATCAAAAAGTACTCCAAGAGTTGCAATGATTTTATATATAGTACATGCAATAGCACATTGTGCATGACGTAAATGGGCAGAACATGAAGAAGTGATATACAAATGGTTAAGCAAAACGGCCAAAATGTCGAGCGGATCCACTCCACCACTTCTCAACCTGCGACAAGCGACGGAAGTCGGCAGTGAATGGATCACCTTTAAAAGACATACTCGGATGTAGCCCGCGAAAGTCAATCTGGACAAGAAACAAGCTCTAATAGAGCTTTCACTGAAATTCGCCTACTTCTGGCTCTAATCATGTGGCGATATCGCTATCAGGACATGCTTCTATCAGATCTGATTTGACGAACACCCGTCGAATAACATCGAATGACGTTCGCCTCTGATAAGACGTCTACAGCCACTATATAAGCTTCGGCGAACCGAACAGCAAACATACAAGTAACAACAACCATGGCAAACAAAGCTCTCGTCGCTCTCCGTACTCCTGTGCGCCCAGGCAGTCTTCGGTGTGACCGTCATCTCCAAGTCGGAATGGGGTGGTCGTGCACCAACAAGCAAAACAACGCTGGCCAGCAAACTTAGCTATGCTGTGATCCATCACACCGCCGGCAACTACTGCACCACCAAGGCTGCCTGCATCACTCAGCTGAAGAACATCCAAGCCTACCACATGGACAGCTTGGGCTGGGCTGATATTGGCTACAACTTCCTGATCGGCGGTGATGGCAATGTGTACGAGGGTCGCGGCTGGAATGTGATGGGAGCTCATGCCACCAACTGGAACTCCAAGTCCATTGGCATCTCCTTCCTCGGCAACTACAACAACGATAAACTGACCTCTGGCCAGATTACCGCCGCTAAGGGTCTACTATCCGATGCCGTCTCTCGTGGTCAGATCGTCTCAGGCTATATCTTGTACGGTCATCGTCAGGTCAGCGCAACCGAATGCCCCGGCACCAATGTCTGGAATGAGATCCGCTCCTGGTCTAACTGGAGGGCCTAAATCTTGACAATCCCATTGTCATTTTATATTTTAAAAAGCTGCAATAAAAAAATTCTAAAAAATACAATAAACGAACGACACGTACTTACATAATTACAATTGCATACATAATTGTTTGGTAAATCATCAACCAGAGACTTAAGTCTTTATTATAGATATTCTATAACGAAAGCCGCTATCTTAGTGACTTCAGCGAAAAGGTTCTAAAGCACTTTTTATACTTTGTACCCGTAGGGTAAAAAGGGTATATTAGGTTTGTGCAAAGTATGTAACATGCAGAAGGAAGCATCTCCGACCCCATAAAGTATATATTCTGAATCACCATGACGAGAGAAATCGATCTAGACATGGCCATCCGTCTGTCCGTTCGTTTGTCTGGGTGAACGCAAGGATCTCAGAAACTATAAAAGCTAGAATAACCAAAGTTGGTATCCAGATTCTCCTATCTCCGAGAAAGGACGAGTCAATAGCGTCCACATTTCAAATGCTACCTAAACCAAACTTTGCACACATAATTTATTTATAATTATCTACTGTTGTTTAAAATGTTATCCAATTCGGTCAATTCTAGTCAGAAGTCAGAAAAGTTATTAGCGAAACAAATTCTCTCCAGTACAACCCCACCAAACTGCAGCAACAAGTTCGCTCTTCTTCTTCTTCTTCTCCTTACTTCTGCTATGGGCGCATATAACTCAGTGACGGAAATTTACTAGGGTATAAGGTATTACACTGACGGGCTTGCTCGACTGTAGCGTTGTTTTTTGTTTAAAAAGAAGCATCTCTCATATAAACAAATACATAGTTATTTTTATAGAGTATTTCATATGAACTTAAAAATTACTTATTGTGCTACGATCAAACGGTTCTTCCCATAAGCAACCAAAGGGGGGAAAACCGGTGAAGATTGCGTGCTTATTCTGCTCCGATTGCGAGACGCAAGTAAATCAAAAGAGGAATCATACATTGAGTTGCAAACGTGTATACAGACATTTGGAATGTTTAATAAGATCCCTTGTTATATAGTAATGAGTTACTGAGTCCTATATTTTTGTAATATATAATGTTATAATTTAAAAGCCACATTAATATTAGAACAATTTGTCTGAGTGTCGATATTTTCTTTTTGATGGGCGAGGTGCATAGTACAAGTATAAAAGAGATAATAATAATACCAATTGATGTAAAATACAAATATATAATGCTGGCGGGACATCACATAGCTCAACGAGATAGCAGTAATGGTTTTTTCTTGAAAGCAAAACAACAATTGAATTGAGTTGAGTTAATTTAGGTGTGTAGTATTTGTCATCTTCTATGCTATTATAATTGACACACGATTCATCTAATTTTATGTTTCCGTAATACGGCCTTTTTACCCAAAGGGTAAAATGGTATACTAGTTTTGTGCCAATGTACTTGTATGTATGTATGTGTGTATCACACAGAAGGATGCTTGGCAGATCATTATGCCAAGACGAGTCGATATAGCCATGTCCGTCTGTCCGCACACAGACATGCCTACAGGCACATAGACAAATATTAGGGTAATGGTATTCAATTGAAACAGTACGACTCTATGTACGAGATATGTATTTTTAATTTTACCTATATCATTTTTAGTTTAATTTTTAAAGATAACTAAAAATATTTCTTTAAAATTTGTAATTGTTTTGCAGGCAATCGGCGTAGGTAACGTACTCCTCCAGGAACTTCTCGCGCCAGGGCGAAGCGATAGGACGTAATATGTACATATTTAGAAAGAAAGCTACTATATACCATCACTCACTGGATCATTTAAGCCGATCCAGTACATTAGTTAATTTTTGTATCGATAATCTTCAAACGATACAACACAATAGTAACTTGTACATAAACTCTTATATGTACATACGTATGTGAAAACGTACATACATATGTATATGTACATTACATACATGTATGTTTATGGGAGCAGTTCAACAAAATATAAATCAGTTCGTACTTACATATATTCATCTAGAGCTTAATATGGATGCTTTTAATTTGAAAATGATTTTTAAATTGGACACCTTTACTTATATAAATCACTATTACTACCACTTAAAAAAAACAAAAAAAAAATAGACTACGCAATGGATTTGGAGTCACAAGCACACACATACATACATGCATACATTTGTGCACAGAACATGCATACTCGTACATAAACCGCGCGGCATTTTCGCAAAACTAAATATGTATGTACATATTTTTCACATTTTACACAAAACTTTATTACAAATGTAGATCTATTTCAACATAATAATAATTAAACTATAAACCAAACGTTTTCTAACAATTTCTTGGAACTCCAATCACCGACGCGCGATTTGTAAATTGGACACCTTTACTTATTTAAATCACTATTATTACCACTTAAAAAAAAAAAACAAAACAAAAATTAAGACACTACGCAATTGATTTGGAGTCTCAAGCACACACATACATACATACATACATGCATACATTTGTGCACAGAACATGCATACTCGCACATAAACCGCGCGGCATTTTCGCAAAACTAAATGTATATGTACAAGTATGTACATATTTTTCACATTTTACACAAAACTTTATTACATACATATGTAGATCTATTTCAACATAATAATAATAATAAACATAATAATAATTAAACTATAAACCAAACGTTTTTTAACAATCTCTTGCAACTCCAATCACCGACGCGCGCCGCGTTTAACACGTTCAGAAAAACTAAACGCTGTATTGCAGCTGGCAACAAAATGCTCTCTTAAGAATAAAGAGGGAAAGCAAAGAATCAAAAATCATAACTGTAAATCAACTGGCGCGTAGCAAGGATCACTGCAATGGGGTTTGCAATTTATTTCATGCATATTTTCTCGTATTACATACATATACACGTACTTGGATTAAAAAAAAGAGTTATTTCATTTCTAATTTTAAAATGTTTATAAATGTATTTATTTGTTTGATTTAGTGCAGCTAACATTCGAGTATAATTACAAGTTTAATGCTAACTTAAATGTTAACAATGCAATCGCTTCTATGGAATTTAGCGTAGCAAACCACTATACCGCTGGCAACTACCAGAAATTACCACAAAGGCCGCCTACATCACTCAACTGAAGAACGTTCAATCCTACCACATGGACAGATTAGGCTGGGCTGATATTGGTAACAACTTCCTGATCGGCGGTGCTAGAAATGTGTACGATGGTTACGGCTGGAATGTGATGGGAGCTCATGCCACCAACTGGAACTCCAAGTCCATTGGCATCTCCTTCCCCGGCAACTACAAGGATAAACTGATCACCGCTGAGGGTCTGCTCTCCGATGCCGTCTCTCGTGGTCAGATCGTCTCAGGCGACATTTTGTACGGTCATCGTCAGGTCAACGCAACCGAATGCCCTGGCACCAATGTCTGGAATGATATTCGCTCCTGGTCTTACTGGAGGGCCTAAATCGTATTGTCTATTCATATTAAAGAACATAACATATAACGATAACATATTCTTTTGAATTTTTTCCCATTATGCCATGCTTTTATGCCGTTTTACGTTGGCGAACAAAGCGAGTCGTCGAAAGCTACATATGTGGACCGATTATAGTATCAGGCTCCCATTGGTCCCTCACCTTGTTCAAATGATTCATTATTGTAAGTCCCATATGTTTTATAGGGAGTCACACCCCAAAGGATGCACAAAGCTGTTGAAACCCGAATTTCCCACTCATCCCGCATTGTCACTCTTAAAAAGTCGTTGGATTAGTTTGTATACTAACCGCCAAATAACCGTGTTGTTGAAATATAAACTAGTATTTATTTGAATATCTTTGCATATTTAGTAATTATACTGCATACATATAGATACATACAATACACACTTAAAATGTTTATCGATTTCCGTTAAAATAGTAATTGATAGATAAACTTAAATACAAGCGATATATTTATATTGTATAAATACGGATAGTCTTACAAGTTAGCTAAAACATAGGTCATACGTACATCAAATAGCCACAACATTTTTTTAAATTCTTTTCTTTTTGCATTTTTGGTAACAACTACTTTTGATAACTAAATTCAAATCGATTTTAAACAATTTTGGTATACTTTAGAATGGCAAAGTTTGCACATAAATATATTACAAATAATTGCAAGTTTTAACAGATGCGGCCAAATAAACCATCATTTTTTAAAATTGATAAGTGGCGTACCGTGTGTCTACATCATATTTAGAGCATTTTTACCGTTCAGTTTAAGAGTTTTACACGTTGAGAGCAAAAGATCAGATCGTACATACATATTTTTACATTTATTTTCTAACATAAACAGCGGTTTCATGAAGTATTCGTTTTTGTTTTTAAATATCTGCAGATTCTTCAGTGTTTTAATGCGTTTATGATGCATAAATAGGACGTTTAATACTCAAATGATCCAACGTGCGATATGCTTAGGGGGCTGAAGACAACAGAGGGAATGTGATTTACCAGACATGAGAAATAGTAAGAAAACAAAATAAATCTATGAATAAAATGTGTAATCTAAATGAAAATTGTGCGTAAAATGAAGATATAACATATAAAGTATAGGTGGTGCATCGAAATCAAATGCTCACAACACGACTAAACGAAAACCTAAACAACACAGCAGGTCCAATTACAGCTTAGGCCTGACTCTCATCGTCGTGGGCGCGGGCAACCTGGCCAGGTAAGCTAACCTGGCCTTGCGGCGACTGTGGCGGTACTTGTACCTCGGCATCGGTCACATCGTTATAGGGCGGCGGCACATCTTGTCCAGCATCAATTGTCTCGAGATCAGCATATTCGGCCAGCGGGGCAACAGTTCCAGCAGCCGCCTGTTCATTGCGACGCATTGGGGGCGTGTTTGCATTCACATGCATAGTGTTGTTGTTATTCGGTGTGTCGTTGTTGTTGTCCAGATTGTCATCATCCGTATTGCATGCAGCGTTTGCCGTGTTTGCGTCGAGAGACACAAACAGCGGTGCTCCGCCGCCTGCACCGCCGCCACCAACCGCACCAGCAGCTTCATCTTCAGTATGATAGTTGGACATGGCTACCTGATATGATGGCGGTGGCGCCTGTTTCATAAACTGAGCCACAGCCTCATCGTAGTTGGGCAATAGTGTCGAATATGCGCGTTCCTCCGCTGCAAAAGCCGATCCGCCAGCCAAATTGTCACTCAACACGCACGGTAATAAGGTACGCAGATGCTGCTGACGCAAGGTCAAGTATTTATAGCAGCGCCAGACAATGCCAATGCAATAGGCCTTGAGAAAAACAATGCAGACGAAGACTACAAGCACCACAACGACGAGCTCCTCAGGCGGCAATTCCAGCAACTTCTCACGCCATGGCAAACGATGGGACTCTGCGATAATTCGATGTATGGCCTGCAAATAGCATATGTACCCAGCGGCGGTCAGTCTAAAAAAAAAGAATGGAGAGCTATAATAAAATTTGAGCTTAAAGCTTTAGCTTATGGCTATACTTACGTGGTGATGGCAAAGTCAAAAAGTTGCAGACAAAAGAAGGGCAACAAATGTGAAGGTTTGCCCTTGATCGTGCCATATATCATCATCAGCGTGATGGCTATCATGCAAGTACACACCAAGCCGCCCATATCGAAGTTCTCTACAGATACCAAGCAACGGGAGTTGAGAAAGGGTAAACATTAAACTGATTTGCTGCTTACGGTATCGCCTATTGTAGCTGAGGGAATGGTCGCGGAAAGCATAGGGCGGATCCACTTTGCTTAGCGGTGTGGGCAAGGCAGGCGCGCTCATATCAACCGTAAAATCATGAGTACCACTTTCGAGTTCATCCATCATTTGAGGATTGCGCCAGATGACAGCGAGTACGCTTAGGGCCAGTATGTTCAGGAACTGTAAAAAATATATAGAGAAAGCAATAAAGTTTTAATTCCATTGAAACATTTATTAGACCTTTGAATAATCCCTACATTTTAGCCTGTACCTTAGGTCTGGAAAATATCCGATTCAAAAGATATAGCGTTTTAAAACATTTTGAGATAGCACATAAGTAACTGACTGGAATATAAAAATGTAAATTTCCAACACAACCCCTAAAACGTTTAAAGTAGAAGAGGACTTGAAGAATTTAAAACCACTTTTATAAAATATACTATGTATTGTGGCGTAATGTTTTTTAAAATATTTCGACATCCTCTATTGCTCGCTTCTTGCAATGACACGTTCCCGTTTCGGCCGACTCAAAGCATTGCCAGTAGTCTTTGTTTTGAGTTTGCAAGAAGTTTAAATACTCGACAAAAACCTGAAATGTAAATTCCACATGAGCCCGACAGTGCATTCGATGATGATAAGAACAGCGTTGATCATAAATCCACACCCGTTGAACAGGTGGCGTCGTGTTGGTCTTCTTCAGATGGAGAGCAAAGGCCTCCCGATCATTACCATAGAACAAACGCGTCGTCGTATATGCAATTCCATCGTGGATGCGCTGGCGAACTGTGGAGTCGGCCGTGATGCGTTTTAATTCAATGGAGCTTACATCAGTCTTTTGGATTTTTACGAGCAGCCAAGGCGGTATCAGTGCAAAACGCACATACGCTACCAATTCACCAATGCTACCTCGACGCTGGGGCCACTGAAAGTTAAGCCAACGAACCGCAGCCATGAGAACCTCCAGCTCCGAGTTGACGCAAATGTTGTTCGATTTCAGCAGCATGCCAAGTGGTTCCCGTGGAAGTTGAAGAAAATCCAGCGAGGCAACGAGCGTCAGAAAAAACTTTCCAACATGCAAAAAAATATTATAATAGGAGCGATCAATGCGCAGCATGCGTGCCTCCAGGTAGAGCATAACAGCGGCGTCCTCCTTTAAATAATTATTGATACAATGTTCACATTGCTTGATTAGCTGCGGTACTTCCAGAAAATTTGCCGCTCGCATTACTTCTACTAACCCGAGGCGTGGCAGCTGCGCATCATCGGCCAACATCCAATCGTAGATGAGGAGAAAAGCCCGTGGCGTCACCAGCGTGGAGGGCAAATCCACTAAAACCTCGTTGCCCAAATCGCGAAATAAACGTGAGAAACACTGCAATACCGTGAGATGGACAGGCGTACTAAACGTGCCGATTGTAACTATGGCATTGTTCTTCAACCGCTTCTTTAATAATTCACCGAGTATATCATAGAGCTTCGGCTTATCAACCATTAAATGTTGATGATCTCCCTTTGGCCACTTATTGTGCTTATACCCCAAGGAGCTTAGCGAGCGTTCTTCGAGAATGTTGGACTCTGAAGTACTATCCATTGGTTCATTTGCCTCTGCATTAATGTGTAGCAGCTGTAGCGCCTTCAAATCCGATCCCAAGCTACCGGTTCTGCTTGACTTCTTTCTATACTGCTGGTCCATTGTCCATTAGTTTTTATTTAAATTGTTTTCAGATAATTTTACTGATGCCTTTGAGACAAACTATAGCAACGGCTTTTGGATTGGAAATATTTTGGTTTCTAGTTTAGATGATTGTTGTCATTTCGTACAAAGTTTTGAGCAAACTAAGCAAATCGGGTTTATCACCGCTTATCAGCACATTTGTAAACACAGACCGACGCTTGTATTGTTGTATAAATAATAGATTAAATTAACAATAAATAAAGAATGACACAACTGTTAAATAGGAACACACAAAAAATTTACTGCCCTGAAATGACATGCAAACATGAGGGAAATGTAAAGGAGCTAAAAGGCATTGCAAATATTTACTCGAAGCTGTCGTGTTGTTTTAAAAATAACTAAGTAGTCAGGTTAGCATACTCATTACTACATACATACATACACATGTAGTTACTTTTGCATTGGTCGACAAGACGAGGCATTTATTTTTATCTACGATTCAGGGTTCTCTCGAACAGCATTTGATAGCAACCTTTTGATATTATGTTACAGTAATATCTTTCTCAATTTTAATCACAACAGCTGTCAGCTTTTTGTATTGCAATCGTTCGCTGTTATTTATGTGTGTATGTATGTATGTGTGTACATGTGTTGTATATGAACAATCCCTACTTAAATTTCCTAAAGCATTTCAACTGAATACCCTAATAAAGTCAATTTGTACAAAGCTGTTCAACAATATTGAGAATAACAAGAGAGAACGCTACAGTCGATCAAGCCAGACAGTAAAAAAGGCTGTACTCTCGACAAAAAAGAAAAATTCAAAAAAAAAAATTAAGTTATTAAAAAAAATAATTTAATAAATAAAAAAAATGTATTTAATACATACACAGAAAACATGTTTATGTACAGTTTTAACAGCATAAATTTACATCACGTGTCTATGCGTGTTTATATGCATAAGTGTATGTATGCAGCACAAAGTTGAACAAAAGCATTTTATTATGGCTATAACTTCCTTCAGAATTGACCTATCATGATGAAACTTGGCACACAGACACATAATCACTAACTGGATGTAACTAGCAAAATTTTAAGAATTACGGAAGTAATAAAAAAACACGAATTGTGGGGTATATCAGAATAAAAAAATCTGACTTGACCTGCCTAGGGCTCAGAGAAACCTGGATACCAAGTTTGGTCATTCTCGCTCTTGTACCTTCTGAGATCCTTGCGCTCATACAGACGGACAGACGGACATGGCTATATCGACTCGGCTTGTCACCCTGATCAAGAATATACATATATACTTTGTGGGGTCTGTCATGCCTCATTTTGCCTGTTACATACATTCGCACAAAACTAGTATAGCCTTTCACCCAGGCTATAAAAATATTAAGTTAGAATTGTGAGACCAGTCTTATGGTTCCCCTATACCCCAACAAATAATAATTATTTAACTTGGGTATTATTGTTATTAACGATTTGTTGCAATCGTTGAACGTGAGCAGTATTAAATAGCACGCACTACACAGAAATAGTAACGTGATCTCTTGTGCGTGAAAGCTAAATTAATCCACAAATAAAGTCAATTGGCATTCACCAAGTCGTGGTTACATACAAACAATTTGCAATTGCTGCTGTAAGGAAAGACATAGTTTCGTATGTACTAGAGTACTCATAGAGCTGTCAGAACAGCGCAAACATTTAAAAAAAAATAACAGCATATATTCAACCAATATATATAGTCTATTGGTTGAAAACTTTGATACGTTATAAAAGCTACAGTGACGTCACGGATTCGTCCATCAATGTCAACACAAAAACCTTACAATCGCTAGCCAATACGATTAAAATCGTATTACGAAATTAGTCGGCAATGGCACTACCTATACGGCAACAGTTTGAAAGGCAGGGCCGTTACTTCCAGTACTCGACAATTGATTTTTCCCCCAAAGCATATGCGCTGCTGCTACTCCTTGACACTGAACAGGGTCATATCTGCGGCGCAGGCGGCAACAATTGCACTCATGCGTGGGCATTGTGTATGTATGTACACACATAAATATATGTCTACATATGATTTGTGTGTATGAATGTCTGTTGCTGTATGTAACCCAAACCCTTTTTTGCGACGCAATTTGGTCGGTGAAACTTAAAAAAATTACTCACCAAATGCCAAAGGCCAATCATCAATGTTGCGGTGTGGACATGGAGGCCAAAGCAGCAAGTCCATTCCTTGTGACTATTGCTATTGCTGTTATGATTACTTCGCGGAGCCATTTTGACGCGAATCCTTAACATTGCACGGGCGCAACGCTAGCGAATAAGGTTCTCCTCTGAGTAGAACTCAGCTGAAGACTGTTGAAATAATCAAGCATTAATTAGCTATAATACTATGACTATATAAATTTTTGTCGTTGTATACGGTTGATTATATGTGTAATTTAAATATACATACATATGTATGTATGTACACACGTCCAATTTTCTGTGTGTGCGAGGGTGACCAAGTGTGTGTGTATTATTATTGTGTGCCACTTTTCCTTAAATACTTTTGGGTAAGCGAAAAATGTTCACAAAGTTTTTGCGACAATTTATGCAACACTCATTCAACTAAATATATGTATGTGGAGAATTGCACAAATACTCACGATAAGATGCAACTTTGTTAATTTGTAACAAATACGAGACGGAACCAATACTGAAGATGTTGCCATCCGATATTTGCTGTCGATTAGAGCTGGTCAAATTTCCATGACTGTTACTTAGTCGGTAGTATTTAAAGGCCACATGTAACAGAGACTAATTCGCTGTCTGTTTAAAATACTGGTTATACCAAAATAGTAATATTATGATATTAAAGCATTTCGGGGTCATTTGAAGAAGAACTGAACACAGTTGTAAAAGTTTATCAGAGTTTGCTCATCTCAATAATGGTAATTCTGCAAGTGAGTTAATGTTTCAGTTTTGTTGAGCAGCGGTTCGGAGATGCTCTACACAAATTTTAAAATGTACTTTAGAATATTTTTACTGTTGGTGGTACCCTTTCGGAGTCTAGCGTGCCGCTTTTCTTTAACTCATTTTAAATGATTTAACGAAATAAGTCAAAGATCATACATTTGTGAAGTAGATTTCGCGGTTAGATTCAATGGTACGGTAACGTGAAAAGATAGTTTTAAGTATCGCCTACTCGATACTTTTTGCGGGCTGCCACATCGGCAAAGCAAGCTATTGAGTTGGCAGCACAAGTTTTAAAAAGACATCATTCTTGTTGTTGCTTCAGTCGTCAGTCGTCTGCGGTCTTTGCGTAACGTGGAAGTAGAATTTGTTGAAAGATAACTTGGAACACAACGTGTGCACAGCATGGTGTTGACCAAGGAATATCGTATTTGCATGCCACTGACTGTGGAGGAGGTGCGTAGGCAGCGCAGCTGAACTTGCCGGTACTGCTTGGGCTTGCATGCTATTTTAATTTCTTAACCCTTTCTTTCAGTATCAAATCGGTCAATTGTATATGATAGCGCGCCACAGTCTGGAGCAATCGGAGGAAGGTGAGGGAGTCGAGGTAGTGGAAAACAAGCCATGTGAAGATCCCTTGCACGGCAAAGGCCAATATACAGAAAAACGCATACACTTGTCGAAGTAAGATAAATATAATTGGATACTATCCAAATACACAGACATATGAATACTCTTCTCTGCAGCCGTTTGCCATATTGGATACAAGCTATTTGCCCGCGCGTCTTTTACGTTACAGAGAAATCGTGGAATTATTATCCCTACACTCTGACAGGTGAGTGGGCGGGCGGGCTGACAACGGCAGAGACATGCGTGTACAACCCTACCGCCCATCGTTATTTTTTACACAATGTCAACGCAGCCCAGAAGGGAGTGCAATAAAGACACTTCCCTAGCTATTTTTAAACCAAAAACTTGATTAACTTTCTACCACGATGGTTGGACGCCCGTTTTGGCCACCTGCTGTTGGATGTGCTGCGTCATGCATTTTCATTTGCATTTAAAAAAATTGCTTTCAATTTCATTGAAGTTGAGGCTGCATGTCTGAGATTTCTAAGAAACACGCACCAACACCCATACATACCCACACGACAGTATCTTTCTGATTAAAATACAATCGCACATTTGTGCGTGTAACGCCCCCCCACTCTTCTCATGATATAAATACGTCACAGGTATTAACATTGATAAAGTACATCAAAGCCCAATGAAATTGTGTGCAGCATTTACCACAAAAATTGTGAGCAAGTGTTGAAATTCTCACGCTTGTAATAGTTCATGAACCAATTGTAATGGCCCTTATTTGGAAATTGATGATAAGCTCTTTTTTCTGTTCTGTATATTAGGATTGTCTATGTAAAAAAGCACTTCAGATAAATAGGCGGCTTATTACATTGATTTTTTATTTTGATATTATTTATTGACCTTTCAACACAACTCAGTCGAGATCAAAAGCAAACAACAGAAATCGTATAAAGTAAATGCGGTCATAAAATATTATCATAATTAGTTTATTGTTTAAGACAAATTTAAAGCTTAAGTCCAATTTCTATGCACATAGACACGAACCCATGTAAATAAATAAGCATATACATTGTGCTTGGCTCATCCGGCACTTTGTGCTTTTTGTTTTCGTTTGTGGCGTTTGGGGCTTCTCATTTATTTATACATATATCACCCACTCTCATGAACAATTTCAATGCGACTTAACGCCACGTCAATTTGGAAATCTAATTGGCATTTCGATATGTTTCTGTGCGTTGCGTTGCATGTATATTTAATGGGATTTCTATATATAAACGATTTTGGTTCTATTTTCATGGTCATTAAATCGGACACAATTGGAATCAAATACTGCAGAGTATACCGTAAGTGTCTGAGCTTGTCTTTGTGTACAAAAACAATCTGTTTATCAAAACCAATTCCAAACAGTGCTCCTTCATACCCAAGTTGCATGTGCTAATCAAAACTAAATATGAGAACAACAACGGCAGCACCGAAAATGTAAGTCACGCGCAACCGACACGACAATAAATATAAATGTACATATTAAATATTTGTTTTCATTTCTAGTGCTTGAACCTTACCGAGGATGAGCTAAAGCTGCGTTCCGTAGATAATGTCGATATAGCATTCGATGAACTAAATAATAACAAACACTATAAGCGTGATGAGGATCCCAAGTTTTTCAAATCGGAAAAAACAAGTGAGCTTTATTTTTATGATGCTCTTTTCGGACTCAAACTAAATGACATTCCCACAGATCGAGGCCCGCTAATCGAAGGCTGGCGTGAAACTGACTCTCCTATTATGTGCTCCTATAAACTAGTTGCTGCCAGCTTCGAAGTCTGGGGCCTGCAAACCAAAGTCGAGGAGTTCATTCAGCGCAGCATAAGAGATATTTTACTGTTGGGCCATCGTCAGGCATTTGCTTGGGTGGACGAATGGCATGGTATGACATTGGATGATGTACGAAGCTATGAGCGTCAAAAACAAGCTGAGACTAACGAGAAAGTCCATAACAGTGCCATAAAGCCGGCCGAGGGCAATGGCGATGCCTCACCTACCAGTGATCTAGTCAAATTGCCTGAGGCCGGTGATATTGATTAAAATCATGTACTAAGGGGCTTAGTTTAAACGATGTCAGTTTCATCTTAGTGAATGTCATACCAAAAGAATTACAAATTTAACATAGCCAGACAGGCAACTGTATGTACCTTAAACGCAACAAGAATGTAGTATGTGACGGGCTTAAATTCATAGGTAATCCATAATTACCTACTAATATTTTTCAATGCATTTTAAGCACAGCTTTATCAGCAAACTGTGTGGTCCAACAAAGCTCAATTCTTGCAAAAACAAAAAAAAGAACAAACGCAACATTACAACTACATATGTAGGTATATCATTGTCAAAGTCTATACTGTATGTAGTTAAATATTATTATACACACAGATACAAGCAGGTTTATCGAAATATGCACAATTTTTGTGTGTTATAAACGGTTTTTGTTAACTATATTTCTTAGTTGTGTGTGTGTATTCGCTTTCTTTAAGCTTTAGAACAAAATTATTCGTGTATATTTATGTATAAATATATGAAAAAATGAAAAAACTACCCAAAAAAGAGAAAAACTCGTTTTATTTATGAAATTTTACATCGATATTATATTTGGTTTCACAGAGCTACAAATAAAATGCTTATAATAAATTACAGGAATTACAAAAGTACTTTATATAATAATATAAATATATATATTTATAATTGGTGGTACATTCGGTGTTTAAAGGGTGAAGGATTTTTTTTTTAATTAAGTGAACAACAACGCACTATATTATTACCCTTTCTATTTATTAAGCCCCAAAAGTATTTTATGAGGAAATTAGGTTTTTTCAAAATAAACAACTGCAAAAAAACTTTAAGCCCATATGTTAGCGATTAAAAACGCTAGCGTTTTTCCCACTGGTTGCCTCTGCACAAAATATATTGACGTAAATATTGTTGTGATGCAATAACCGAATACATAAATAAAAAAACATGCAACAGCTGTTCGGTCGAAGCGCGCCCCCAACGACGGCCTTTGATGCTGCTGGACACATCAATACATACATTTGTGAGTATGTATGCATGTGTAGAATACGGGCGCTCACTCACGGCGAAGCATTTATCTGCCGCTCACCCACACAGGCAGAGGCTTGGAATAGAGACAGCTGTTCCATTTCGACGTCGGAGATCTCGCGTTGGCCAGAACAAACCAAAAATCAAACACGAAAAACGGATCGCACCTCATTTGAACTTCAAACGCGAGAAAAGCAGCACAGACATCGCAGAGACACGCGTGTGCCGGCGAATATGTACATACACTCGCACTCATACATACTTGTACATATGTACAATCATTAAAACAAAGCCAACATGGGCATGCAGATGTTTTGTGATAAGAAAATAAACTATATAGTGTTGAACTAAAATAAATACCCTTAAAAAAGAGGTGAACCATAAATTCGAGATGTGACATTGAAAACATATTTAAAATATATGTATATTAGTAGCACACACGCACATACTACATACATATTTATAGCAATTGCTGATACAATCGAGTCAACTCCAAAAAGAAATTAATTAATCGTCAATCGCGATATTGCGCATACGCGCACGTGTGTTCGCGTTCAATCATTATCAAAATTTACGGCCTATGAAGTGATGAACTACAAGTATATGCAATGATCAAAATTCGCCCACATCGGAATACGTGCCAGTTTATCGTCCTGCTGCTGGCAATTTTGGCAAGGTGTGTATAACTTTTCCCCAATTAAACCACAAAGTAGATTAATGGCCCACATATACTGTGTCTTTAAAGAAATGCCATTCCAGGTTACATGGCGTATGAGCAATTTTTTATTTACCATCCTAGCTGATATTGTCTATTCAAGTGTTATCTTATATTTACCCTTTTCGCTTTGTTAATAAAGCTTTAAAATGAAAATATTTAACCATCTACTGCTCAAGCCAAAGTGAAGTCAATAAATCAGCATGTCTGGAGTTTTTTACATCTCAGCCGAAGGAAGGAACATAGGCACAAATTTATTTGCCTTTTTTCGGACAAGGATACACACAAAGAATTTATACATTTTTGGGCTTAAAATTGGATTCCATTGCTAGATACTGGGTAGAAAAGGCTTCGAGCCGTTTTACAGGACACATACATAATTATGATTTTTGTGTTTTTTTTATACATTTCCATTTAATTTTTTAACATTCAAAAAAAGCTGTCTAATTTCTCTAAAAAGTTAAAGTCTATAAGTTTATACAATATTAACGACATTTTATTAAATAGTTCCTGGAATTACTGCTATTGACTTAAATTTGAAAAATATTTAAAATAAGTTAAAAACAGTTTAAGGAAGAATTAACAGAATACGTAGAACACAGAAAGAACACGCTTTGTTGAGATTTCTCGAAAAAATTGATTATAAAATGTAATCAAAGCTATGCATGTGGAATAATTATCGTGAATTGTTGTTTAAATTGGCCATTGATTTGATTTCATTTTAACGAATTCTTTGAGCTTATTTTTCCATTGCTGAAAAGAGTCGGAGATCACGAAAATTGTCTGATCTATTAAAAATATAAATCATTTGCAGGAGTACCATCAATGTGTTCAGTACATAGTACATAGTATGTACATACATTTTCTGATGTCTTCTTTGAGTCGTCGTCATAAAACAAAGGTAGCTGCACACTGGCAAACTATAACATCCATGCTTAGGTAGCGAAAACAAATAGTAAAATCAACAAAACGTTATGTTTTACGAGCCTTTATCGAGCACAAGGTTACGCCCACTTCTAATAATTCGGAACACTAAATTAGCTGGATTTCTACGTTTTAATTAGTTATTTGGTCTTTGTGTGCTGTGAACGCCATATAAGAATACTCTAATTATGTGAACTATCTTATCAGATACGCGTGCCGCTTAAAACTCTAAACAGCGATAACCAGGCATTTGAACCTTATGCTCTGTCTCTTGTTTGTCTTTTGACGTTTCTTCATTTTATCATTACTTTTTTCGCAATTACTCAATGCGAATTAAAAACAATTGAAGACGATTCGTGACGAATTTCTAAGTAGATTTATTTTTAAATTGATAAACGACAGAAGTCGCAAGCCGCAACGAGAATTATACAAGTATAGCATTAGGCTGTCTATATATGTATATACATACATACATTCGTTATTTAGGAAATGGTTAAATATTCTTAGATCTTTGCCTGCAAATGACAGGCGAGTCGTTATAGGCAAATCAATTTCTATACAAAAGTGCGAGCTTAGTTTCATAAATAAAGTACATGCCGCATAAAGAGACCATTGTTTTTAAGTAGAGAACAATCGGTGGAACCCTTTTGAAGCTTCATAAGAATTCTTAAGCTATTATGTTTCAAGCTAAAAACCACAACCTTGAAACTCTGATAATTAGGTCGTTTTTGGAAATAAAGAATACTTACGTGTTTTATTTGACATATTTTGAACGAAATCAGAAACCAGAATAGGACTGAGTATCTGTAAAAAACTCACTCATTGCCTTAATTTTTCATTCCTGTACGCTGACAAAGTATTAAATAAAAACTTTATAATAAAATAAATAATATCACAAAAAGGCAAGCATACTGTCTTGTGATAAATATAGTGACAAACCTAGTTATCAGCATTATTACAAATTTACCAAGTCATGCCCATGTATTCTCAGAAAACATTTTAAATTTATTTTTGGTTTAAGTAATATCTTAAAATGTGATATCAAGATAAGAGTTTAAACAATCTTTGCTAAACACATTTCGTGGAATTTTTGAAATACTAACTACCTGATTAAACAATGTGTATACGAGTATGTACCATTATACTTGTATTTATAAAGCTGCGTGTCTTTAAGAAGAACAATCTCTTGATTCGAATTTAATTGCTAGCGACCCAAATTGTGTGTGCGTGTGCGAGTGTGCCCCTGGAAATGGAGAGAAATTTGCGACGCATGCTTTTCAATTAAGGCTGCTGGCCGTGGCCTGACAAGCGAGAATTAGTTTTGACTTGCTTTTTCTATTTTTAATTTACAAGTATAACTCTTCCAATTGGCCAACCACATTGAGTCGGGCCTCGAAAACGTTGCCCGCGGTCGCCACACAATATTCTTCGCTACGCATACGCCATGTGGGCGCATCATTATATAATTAGAGGGACCATAAGCAGAACAACATTTATATGATAAAACGCAAAATATATGTATGATTGCAAAATAATAATAATTAACTTTTGACAAACAAGCCTTCAACTGTGTGTATGTTTGAATATATAATTATATTTTCGAGCTGCAGACATTAATTATACGTACTCGTAGTATTTGTGTTGGCACAAAAACTTGAAAGTAAACATGGGATGCGTCTCCAAAATGTCTTCAGCCTCAATTCAAGGGTTGCTGCAAATAATATAGAATTAATTAGCTATTACAATTTGGCAGTTATTTAAACAATGCTATTGATCCACCAATCGACTGCATTGTTTGTGCTGCTGCCTATAAATATGCTGCATATAAATATGAACAAGAGTTGTTTTAATAAAATGTAAAATTCTATTTGAACTTGATTTGGACAGATTCGAATGTTTAAGTCGTGCAATCCATACTCTCGGTTACCTTGTACCTTGAATACTTGAATAAACTTTGTTCTTTCCAGTGGCAGCTATAAGAATATCGACACTGATAAACACCATAACCAACAAAATATGTTTTGCCAAGAGCGATTTTTACTTTTGGTATTATTGTATTTAATATTTATATATTTAATATTTGACCAAGAGATGATTCGAAAAATAGGTAGACAAAATAAATAATAAAGACTGGTAAATAGTCGCCCAACGACTGCCCCGTCATGCCTCCGATATGTTTACTAGCCATTGAAAAGAAAATAATTATATTTATTTGCAATAGCAGTTGGAGCATGACGGACAAATATTGAAATGCCATCGAGGCTTTCGATGTTAAATTGATGTTCTATATATGTCCATATGTATATGTAAATATTTTAACGCATATTTCGACTGTTTATGCTAATAGTGGCTAAATAGATTTGGAGGTAAGCAAAAACAGACAGATAAAAACAAGTAAAAAAGCTAAAGTCGGGTGTCCCGACTTTGAAATACTCTGTACATATGTGTACAATAATTATAGAAAATAAAAAAATTAAGAAAATAAAAAAAAAATTTGATCGATTTTACCTCTCTCGGTATTCAAACTCACGTAAAGGGTGTATAATTGCACATTTACATAGCAATTGCGTCTGTGTGAGTGTATGTATGCCTATGCGCATCTATTCGTGTCTGTGTAAGCATTTTCGCAGTCAACCAAACAGCAACATCAACAACAGCCGCGGGCAGCGCTTGAGCAACGCTGCAGCAGCGCTGCATCAGCAAATATATTTATGGCTATAACTTCTTGTTAAATCGGTCTATCATAATGAAATTTGGCATACGGACACATAATAACCAAATGGGGGTATTTCCAAAATTTTAGTTCGAAATTCCAAGAATTACGGGAGTTACGATTTGCGGGGTAGAGGGGGGAGGGAGGGGAATTCCAAAATATACATTTTCTGCGTATTCACATAAGGCATCTGGGACTAAAATTTGGTGTTCCTAGGTCTTATAGTCTCCGAGATATAGGCGATTATACGAATGGAAAATCGGGAAAACCCCCATAGGGGGGAAGTGGGGGGGAAAATCAAAAAAATAAAACAAACTCGTATAGAATACACACATAACGCATCTTTGTGCAAAATTTGGTGTCTCTATCTCTTATAGTCTCTGAGATCCAGGTGTTCATACGGACGGACAGACGGACAGACAGACAGACAGGGCTAGATCGTCTCGTCATGCTGATCAAGAATATATATACTTTGTGGGGTCTGCCACGCCTCCTTCTGCCTGTTACATTTTTCAGCTCCCGCAAACCTAATATACTCTTGTACATTTCATGTACAGAGTATAAATATCGTCGCATCCACTCAATCCAGCATTTTTCAATGGATGAGTAGCAGTAAAGAGATAAATAGAGATAATAAACATCTTGTATACACTAAAATAGTCTAAATTTTGTAACACCCAGAAGGAGTAGTGGTCGAATTTATTCTCTTTGGACTAATCGTTCTAATTAAACAGTCGGGTAAACTTTGAGCAGACAAAACTTCTAGACATATTTCTTTTAGAGTCGACCTTGTTTTAAGGTTCCTTCTTATATCGTACATCGTACCGCTGATAAACAAGTTGATTGTAAACAAGCTCGGTGTTATGTACGTGTCATATGGAAAGTGCTAAATGGCATCATGTGATGCTGATACGGACAGGCTGCTAATAAAGGCGCCATATAGACAGAGCAAATAAGCGAGGGGCTGGCAAAAGTCATATAGTTAGCGCATGTGCTACCGTTTGCCAGACATACCATACTTATCCATATACATATGTAGTAGGTACATACTTCAGAAATATTTGTAGTTAAAAGAACGCGATAGAACTTTTATTTTTGGACAGCTTAAATAAACAAAGCTTTTTTTAAGCAAACGTACACTTGAAGTTAATTTAGACGTGCCTGCTGGCTGCTTTATCATTGATCACATATGGCACACGTGTGACAGACCTCGGTTTATTCAAGTCGGAATGCTAAAAATAAAACCAGTCATAGGCAGCGCACTAATTACAAGAATAAACAATAACATAGCTAGACAAAATAAAGCTCTAGAACATGCATGAACATCTTCTCACCCAGGTTGGCAGGCGGTAGCTCTGAAGAAGCGACAAGTTTCGATAGCACGGAGCCTGCGCATGCGTCGAAGCTCCCTCTTAGCACCCATAGCTGTCTTAATTGGACGGCTGCACCAGAAGCAGCTGGTGGAAATTGCACGCGTCTAACCGGAAATGGTCTTCTAAGATGCTATGGCGGCATGAACAATCTGGCAGCACTGGCGTAAGTACAGTTTGATGGTTATCCGAAGATACAACATTTTGAAAGAGCTCTTTTCACAGCAATACAATAAAGTTTTATTAGATATACTTGTATAGATAATACCGATTTCAACCAAAGTAGATTATCTACTTGGTACCAGAATTGTAGAGAAAAAGTTACAGGAGACTAGAAAGTAACGCTAGAATCGAATGCGCTCAACTTTCAAATACTCCCAAACACACAAAAAAACTTTTATAAATATAATTTTCAAATGCATTTTTTTTTGAAATTAAATTAAAATCGTATAAAAATATAAAACCGAGATTACACTTATGGCTAACACTTTCTTCACATTTGACCTCTCATGATGAAACACATAAGCCCTATGTATTACCAAATTTTAATTGCAAATTCAAAGAAAAAGGGAAGCTATGTAAAATCACTTCAGAAGAAAAAAACACAAACTTGTCCTTTCCTTTCTCGGACTTAGAATAATCTGAAAATCTGGTTATTCTAGCTCCTATACTTTCTGGGATCCTTGTTCCTGTGTGTTTTTTGTACAAACACACTAAACTAGAATAACCTCTTACCCTATGGATGAAGGGTATAAATATAATAAATACGTCCACAGTCAGAATTAAATCCGCTTTTCACTTTATAACCTAAATTCGTATTATAAAGCCAATTTACTTTGTTAACCTTTAAAGTAAAGCCAAGTCGGATAAGTTGCCAGCACAACAAATACTATTATGTGGCTGGCCCCATAATATGTTTAATCCTATGAATGAACTGCAAAAGTTTCCTGCACTGCGTACCCTAACCATAGAGTACAGCAGCTTTACGGAGTTTAGATTTGATTTTCCGGAAATGTACCATCTGCAGGTACGTGTAAATTTAATTTCCAAAATGTAAACACATTTGTGACTGGCATTGAAAAATACACTAAAATAGACCATCAACATATCCTGGACCAATCTATCCCATGTATCGGCGCGTACTTTTAAGCGCATACATCATTTAAAAGTTCTAGATCTGCGTTGGAATCAACTAATGCAACTGGAAAGTCCGCTTATACTGTCCGATACCTTTCAGGAGCTGTATTTGGCAGGTAAATAAAAGTCTGGAATTTAAATTCCCTAGCTCCTCCTTAAGCCCGGCACTTCCAATTAGGTAATCCTTGGAACTGCACCCGTAACTTCAAATGGCTCTTTGAAAGAGGAGAACTGGTCGCCGACCGCGATGAGCTTCTGTGCATGGATCGTAAATACAAGGAGCGGCAAATGATGTTGGTTGTGCATTATAAAGTGGTAGGTGAATTAAAAACTTCTCATTCCTTCGTCTTCCTGCTTCATTTAACTTTAATTTTGATACATTTTACATTTCATCCAAACTCTTTTATATTTCTTGAGTTTCAAAAAATGATCTTCTTTACAAATAAGAGCTTTTTTTTGAACCAATCGCCTAAAACTTGATTAAAAATATAAATTTTATCAAATTTCAGAATGATTTCTAAGTATAAGTATATTTCTTAATTATAGATAGTTTTTCTAAATTAAATGGAAATTTTCGAAAATCTAGAAAATGTATGTAACATGTATACAGTGAAAACTCTCTCGGACACTAACGGTAGGCCAATTTTTGTCCGCCCAAGGGAAGTGTCCGCTTAAGGGGATACTTAAATACTTTCTGCCTTTCAAAAACAACTGAGGGAGCAATCCGATATTATTTATTTTTTGAACTACAACATATGTACTTATAACATAGTGGTGGAAGTTGTTTTGAATATCAGGGTAGACTTGACGTGAATATTCCCTTTTGTCTAAGTGTAGCAAGGCATCCATCTACTAAAAAATTCAAAGTATACTAGATTTGAAAAATCATTGAGTCCGCTAAATGGGAAATCAGTTTTATTTTAATTTATTTTTATGTATACATATATACATTTTCAGCTGCTGAAACGGGAGTGTGAGTCTCATCCGCATTTACAGAATTGCAGTTGCCTGATGCATCACATACTACCCAAGCATATACCGCTGTACACGGTAAACTGTTCCGGCCAGGGCCTCTATAGTCTGCCGGACTATTTGCCCGAGAACACTACGATGCTGTTTGTCAACGACAACAAGGTAAATAATGATATGGAGCATAGGAATGTATTGGATATTATAATTACTAAGTATTAGATAAGCGACATCAATCCGCTTCGCCAAAACCCACACTACCGGCATGTCGTCGATGTTCATCTGGATAATAATCGAATTAGGTCTTTGGATGAGTTGGAGAACACGTACTGGCTGGAACACTTTCGTCTGCTCAGCGTACGGGGTAATCTGCTGCGCAAACTGCAAGTCTATGCCTTGGACAATGCGCTCGATGACAATGACAATGCGAATTTGCTGCAGCTTAGTCGAAATCCTTGGCATTGCACGTGCAAGTTCGGAATGCGACTGCGCGAGCTTCTGACCAAATATAGGGAAATTGTGCGGGATGCGGCCAATGTGAGCTGCACCTACGTCAAGGGGGATGAGCTGCGACGCGCCAAGGTGCTGTCCCTGACGCGTCAGGACATGTGCAATGTGAGTACGGAGGAGACGAAAATACATATAATCGATTGGATCAATGGGGTGCTGGCCAGTCTCATTGTCTTTATTCTGGGCAAGCTGGCATATGACTATTACCATTATAAGTACTATGGTCGTGTGCCTTGGATAGTCATGAAGCTGCCTTAAACGGTGCAGACCGGGCAACTTACTGGCAATATAATCTCAATAAGGCTGTTCTATTACATATAAGGATTCTGGAATAAAAGTGTTAACTAATTTTAAGTATTTTTAAAACACGCATAGCGGAATTTTTCACGTTTAATGTATTTTTGTTTTTAAAACTATGAATTGGCATATCAATAAATATATATATTTAATAGGTTTAAGCTAAAATCAACTCAAAAGCAAATATATTCCACCCTTTAAATGAGCAGACAGTTCAATAAAATCATTAAAACTGTGATGACAATGACGACATTGACGGATTGCACAAACATGTATAATCTTCATAGGTATATAGTATATTTCGATAAGTTATGCGCTAAGTATTTTATATAGCTGAGTCTTGTAAATAAAAAAAAGCATACTGGGCACCGTTTACACAGAGTGGAAAAAGTAAATAAATAAAAGTGTTTAAAACACCATTAAGAAACAAAATAAATTTAATTAAATAAACACAAATTATCAGCTTTTGTGTAAACAGTACCTTAAATACCTTTGAATATAAATATATGTATATAAGAAGAAGAGAAATCAGAATTCTTAAAAATTAAACAACATTTTGTAAAGTAGAACAAGAACACAGCAACTAAATATTAAAATAAATATTTCTTAAAACATTTTGTACTCTGGAAGAACAGACGTAAATAAGATTGGTTGCGAAACTTGCGCAATTAGCATTAATTATCTTAGTTAAGTAGTTTAAAAAAAGCACGCACAAGCGTCTGTCTATAACATTGTTGAACAAACACATACTTATTTAAGCATATACTAGAATTACGCAGAGAATCTAAATTGTGATAGGTTTGCATATCAAGTGATCGTTATTGATATGAATGTGCATTCGACATGTCTTTACAATACAGTATTGAGTGTAGATGTAATAAAAACAATTCAAATTGTGTCTTTACCATATTGTTATCAAATACATTCCACCCCACAATCGAGCGATTCGTGTAAAAGTAGTATATAATGGCAAAGTAAATTACAACGGATGGCATAAAATTGGCTTGAGGTGAACGCCTGTACACCACTCTTAATATTAAATTGTTTTTGGCTATGCTTGCGAGTATATAAAATATGCGTCTTCTTTACGATTTTGGTACTGTTTTGTCTTCCATCCCACAAAAAACAGTGGGATGACCAACGAAACAATGCCATATGGATATAAAATTATAAATCTAGAACAGCATGTAGGAATGATCACGTTCCAGTCGCGTTTTGGCCCGCGTTTGTACATTACTCATAGCATCCGAGGGTGGTGGTATGCCGTGAACATCATTTGCAGGCTCCTTGTATAAAAATTCAGTGCGACCGCGTTTATAGCCATAGAAGACGCTGTCGTTGGAGCTACAAAAAAGAATTAAATCCTGGAATAAGTATGGCCTTAAAAATTAGAAAGGATTGTTAAAAGTGTTTACCGCAAAATCAAATCAGTTATCTCTCCATTGGGATCCTCAAGGTCGTAGTGCATGCTCTCTAGCGTTGACAATTCCATTGGGTTCCACGGTCCATTGCGCTGCAGGGTGTCCCATTTCTTGTCAATGCACATGAAGCTGTAACTGCCATCACGGCTGTCACCTTCAACATTCACGTTCAGGGTTTGGTTCAGTTGCGATTCCATATGCGGAAAGTTCGCCACACAGATGTCAAACTTGAAAAACGGAAATATAAGCATACATATGTATAACTAGCTAATTGGCTTTTGCTCACCATTTGCTGCACCAGCAATTGCTGTTGAGATACACCCTCCTCCATGAGCAGCAACAACGTCATATTTTGTTGTCCACATACGTAAAGCTCGGTGCGCTGCAGGCTATCGTCTTCCACAGTCTCAGGCGGCGGAGCACCAGTTGGCAGCGCAGTCAATGCATCTACTGCATCGTCGCACTTAAGAGAGCTGCGTCTTGGGAAAACTTTGCTGGAATTTAGCGGCGTTTGGATCTCAATATTTGAGGCGGCGGGAGTGACGTCACTGAGCGCCAGCACAGATAGTTTGGCCAGAAGAGGCGTTAGCGGCACGCCACCGACATTAGATAACTTGCGACGACTGCTGACCTGCTCTCCAAGGGGGTCGGATATAGGCTTTAAGGGCAGGCTCAGAGACTTCTTATCCAGCGGCGTCTTCACGGCAATGTTGAGATTGCTATCTGCAGTGGTAGTCGTGGCAGCCGCAGGTGCAGCCGTTGCCTGCCGTTGCATATACTCATCCAGCTTCTGGATCTCATTGTTGAATTCTTGAAATTCGGCAACAAGTGCAGCCAGCTCGGCGTCCTCCTTTGCCTGCTCCTTGGCTACGCCCCACAGTTTGTGATACTGATCGAGAAATTGTTGGAATAGACTTCGCGATATGGGCTGACCATTACTATTAAAAACCGGATAGGTGGGATCGGTTATAGTCAGGGAGCCACACTGCTCATCGTTCTCAATGTAGTCCGGCGAGTCGACGCTACCGGCATCGACGCCGGTTTCACTGACACTGCCACCATTGCGATTTACATCGGTCTTGAAGTTTTGCGAAATGCTGCCGAGTTTCTTGGAGATCAGACGCAGCGCATCCTGTAGATCCGCTGACGATTTTCTGCGCGTCATCTGTTTCTGTGGGTTACTGATGAAATTCTGAAAGAACTTCTCCACATCTAGCTTCAGGGAATTGCGGCGCGATGTTGAGCTCGTCGGTGCGCCGGTCTTGCCATTTGAATTGCTATCTTCTTCAGGATTTGCACATATAGACATGACATTTGCCACGGGCAGCACCTTGTTTTCTGTCATTGGTGTTGAGCAAACACTAGTGCGTCCAATGAACTCCGGGTACGAGTCCGTCTCATCGAAATTAATTGACGCGATGCCCGATTCCGGCTCCTTGCTGTGCACACTCTTCAGACGCAACGGCAAATGTGTTGGTCTCATCGATTTCGGTCGAGCAGCGGGCATTTCACTTTGGCCAGTCTCAGCTTTTGAAGACGTCGTCGCCGTTGGCTGCTCCTCCTCAGGAATATGCGTAAATATAAGCGATTTATCGCGTTTCAATTTCCGCTTGGAATACTGAAACGGCATTCCTATTCCGTTTTGTGCAAGCTGTGTCGTCTGCATATTCTGCGCTCGCTGTGCCTCGGCTGCCAACTGACGATACTGTTGTAGGTCCACATAAATGACCAGCATTTGCACACCATTTGGAATATGAAACTGCTGGTTGTTGAGCTGCTCTGCCGCAGTCCGCACATGACGCGGATCACTGATCACCAGCTGCTTTGTCAAACTCTCGTCCAGCTGCGATGCAACCACTCTGAAAATATATTAAGGCTTAGCAGAATTCAAATCAAATTGAAAGCCAATTATAATCTTACTTGTTGTGATAGAGTATGGCGCCTCCGAGGATGCCCTTTGTCTGCTGACAGCACTGCAGTGTTTGTATGGCCTCCAGAAATATGTGACTGGCGGTCTGTGCAAAAAACAATTGCATTATTCATAAAATACATGTTTTCACAACCAGAAATCTACAGCCTAGCAGCACATAATATAGTTAATATAATAATAATAATGTAAATGAGCCAGTCCGCACCGCTTATACATTTGTTACAATGTTTCAAAATTTAAGTCAAAACGAATCATTAGCCCATATATAGTTGCCATATTACTATGACTATGTCAAAACCAAATACAGACCTCTACCTAGACTGGAAACTATTGCATAATTTCAGATTCATTGTTTCACTCACCTTTGGCATCCGCAGCTTTGGCACATTCTGGAATATATTCCCATTGCGCTGTAGCATTGGCAGATATGTCTCGAATATGTGGTAGAGCTTCCCGCTTAGGATATTCAGCTGAGCTGGCTGAGCATAATTATCGTACAGTGACTGCAGATCGCGATGGTATAGCTTCAATAGACCGCTTAACATATCGGCGCGGTGTTCCAACAACTTGTCGGATATGTTGCGATCTGTGCCTACGGCCTGAAATTGAAATGGTTTACTATGAAGGTGTATGGCTTCAATAATTCCGCAACTCACCAGCATGAAGCGTCCGAACTCCTTGAGCATAAATTTTCCATTTCGCAGAGAGATGATGCGTGGCTTGAAGAAGCAATCCTTGAGGAAAAATGTTGTGCCCATCAGTTGGCCGCAAAGAGCAACTTTTTGTGTGTCCGACACCCAGCTAGGATGGAAATAAAGAACTGCGGACACAGGATCATCTGCTTCCTCCTTCAGACACTCCGTGTCATAGACAAAAACTATCATTGTTTCCCTGTAAAATTAAATGACGATAAATTAATTGTTTACAGTTTTGGAAGCACTGTGGAATGCACGTCCACCTGCCCGGCTTGTGTTTCCGTAGCTGTTGTTGTTTTCTGAGCCATCGCTTCTTATTTTTATTGGGCCATCGCCAAGAACTAAACATCTTGGTATTGGATAATTGTGATGCACGAGTAAAGCCAAGAAATAGCTTCAATTTATGTGTCTACATATGTATGTATGCATGTACATACATATGTACATATATTCACAGTCGAATCGTGGCCGCTTATCGTAATGAGCTACAAATAGCAGCTACGGCAGCCACGACGACATTGATAAGTAGACTGAATTCTGCTTCCACACGCCAATAGTATCAAAACACAACTGACTGGCTGGTCGAGCCAACCGACTGACTGATAAATGGATATAAAAAACTGTCAAGAGAGCGGCTGATGTCTTGGCTGTGGTTAAAGATTCTGTGCACGTTCAATGTGTTAAGGGCGTGCACAACATCAAGTACATGCATATATTAGGAGGAGGAGTCGGAGTGCCAATAAATAAATATATTATATTATAAATAAGCATACGTTTTAGCTATGCATTCGTGCCTGTGTAAGGTATTTGAATGTCAATCGTATCGTTTACAGCGACAGTTTGAAAACAGCTGCAAGGTACAACTGCGACAATAGCTCGTTCATTAGACGATGACATATAGCAATTAGTTAATTGCAGGGCAGCGCATGCATGTGAATGGGAGTGGAAGTGGGTGTACATGTCTTTATGCTTGTGCGTGTAATCAAAACGCTTTGATTCAACTTTAATTATCAAGAGGGCTGCATTATATGTGTGGGGTTTGTGTCCGGACTAAAAACTGTTTTGGTGCGAATTAATATGCAAAATAAATAATAAATAAATAACCTTTATTTAAACATGCGTAGCGATTATAAACATACATGCATTTCGGCGCCTTACAAATCTGTAAAAAAAAAAGTATATCGAACGTATTATTAAAAATAATAATAAAGGCGGGTGTCGGAAAATCATGTACAATTATTTGCTTGCCCAAAACAAACAGAAAAATACCCTCACACACACACCCACACAAACAAGCTCACAATTAGCCTGCAACCAAGTTTTAACAATTATGCGGCTGCAAATTACTACAAATTTCGGCAATTGCCGTTAGTCAACCGTACTCACTTTGTACCCATCTTGCTGCACTTATATATTGCACTTTTATTTGTTTAACAGCAGGAGTTTAAATGTTAAGCCATGTCAGTGGTATCTTTTATCAGGCGCTGTGTTTTTTTATATTTTGCATATGCGCATTCCATTCCGCACTGCTTGCTGCAGTTGAGCGCTGCCGCTGACTAGCAGATTACGTTAGGTTGGCAGCACCAGATGTAGAATATAGTTTATCGAAAATATACTTTTGGCGCATCTCTATCGTATACCAAACAATTCAAAGCAAAATGGCCGTCGCTGTGTAAACCTGTGTACGAGATTGTGTTTTTCACTTGGTTTTATTAATTCTTTATGTACTTTAATACATTTTGGTGAGTTAAAAGCCTGGAGAAAAGTGTGCTCTATGAGTGTACCATAAATGCAAATATAAGCTTTGTTTCTGATGTGTGTAAAAATTGAAGAAAATAAGTGCTAGTGATCTTTAATAGGTGCTGTTGCGCCTGCTGCTACTACTACGCCACACAAGCAAACATAAATACATACATATGTATGTACGCTACCCCCGCGCGCGCATTTGAACCCACATCCAGCCATGTAAAGCAACAAACAGGTTTTTATTGTGTGTGTACAGACGTGTGTTTTTTCTCTTTAATTTATGCACATACAATAACAGAGGCATACAACATACATGCATACATACGTACGAATAAACAATCCAAACATGAAGCGAGCATAAAAAACAAGTAATACAAGAAAATAAAATGTGTGAGTGTGTGTCTGAATGTGTATGTTGTGTGCAGCGCGGTGTCTGCTTTTAGTAAACAGCAACCAAAGCAGCAAGTAGTCGCGAGTTAGCTAGCAAAGTGGTAGCCAAGTTAGTGATCCGAGAAAAAAGACCGAAACGAAAAAGTCGACGACAACGGCGCGCTACAGGTGAATTGGACTTGTTTCGAGCGTTAGTGTTTGTACGTCGCTGTGTCTGCTCTTGAGGCGGTGGCTGGTCGACCAGCAAATTATGTACATACATACATACTACATATTTATATGTATAAGCAAAGAGAACGGGCCCCAAGTGTCTGCAGAACTGTAAAAAAAAGGTGTTGTTCTAAAACGAGTTTGGTGAAGAAAATCTAATAAATTAAAAGCATAATCAATTTGCCCCGTGCTAAAAAACGGTTCCCAGATAGAGAAAGATGATTTAGTCTTTGACAACTGGAAAAGCTTCCACTTCCATCTAACGGTATATGTATTTGCATCTGTATGAAAAGCAGCGCCCAGTCAAGAGCAAACACGCCCAAATCTAATACGCAAAGCGTGCGTTTTCAATTCTAACGCGACTTAAGTCAAGTGTCAAGTTGCTCCAAAGTGGAACACTGCGTCCCACTTAAGATCCATTACCAAAACACGCACGCACTCACGCATTCACACATATACACCCAAACATACACACTCACACTGGCTAGCAACTGTGTAAATGTTGATTTAAACGCGTTCGAAAACTTTAAACAATCAAACAAACACAAATTCAAACTCCCACGCTCGTTCAATTTAATTCTACTAAATGGACAATTTGCTCCGCATGTTGACTTAAAAGTTTTTGTGAATGAAAAAGAAACATGTTGCATAGAAGTTGAAAAACTTGTCACACCATATTTGCTGTGTTCATTAACCAAAGTTTTTACGCTTTCCAACTGTTTTTGTTTTTTAATTTGTTACACTTTGCCGCTGAATCATCTCGAGCGCTTCCGTTGAAAACCATTTTACTATTGCTATTGTATTCTGTTCGATAATTTGTTATCCATGAGTCAGAGACACATACACGCGGCAGATCGGAAGTGCCACAACATATCAACATGTCCAGGCCACAGTACAGTTCTCCATTGCTTCCCCGATAAGAAAAGTGCAGTAAATGAACATAATTCAAGTGCATTGAACTGAACTACATAAATAACTGAAACCGTGATAAGCAAACAAAGTGAAAACTGAAACTGAAATATCAACAGAGTACATAAAGTGGAAAAACTAAACAGCAAAACAGTCGAAGGAGTCTTACTGTTGCAATTCCTGTATCTAGTTTTTGGATTTATTTTTTTTATAAATTTAATACTTCGTGTTTGCGTCGAATGTATGTGTTATGCAAGAGACTAAACCAGCTTAAATATTTATGTGACTGTATGTATTTATATATGTATATATCTGTATTGGCAAGTACAACTGTACTGAAATTTGCACACATTACATCACCCATAACTGTGTCCAACTCTTGACTACTGTTCGGCAATTTTAACGCTAACATAAACCACTCAATAAATAAGGCAAGCAGTCCCATGTTTATGGCTAAATCTGCTATGGCCACCTGTTGCCACTTGTAACGCCCACAGCCCAGTTGGCATCGCCATCAACATCGCAGTCGCCTTTGCGGCAACAGGTTGTGTCTTTTCACGCTCTACCTCTACACGCTAAGTGTGAGTGCGAATGACAGTGTGTTGTATCTTGTGCTCGTGTTGCCTGTTTGAATGCGAACCGAACCCAACTGTTGTGGGTGATATGCCAATTTTATAATTACCCACAAATCAATTTCAAATGGAGCGCAGACTTTAGCCTACGACGTAGTTGCAATTTGAGATGGACGCGTGCCTTGTACGTGATCGTGCCAAACATGTTGATTTGAAAGAAATTCGCACTTTTTTGCGTCGCAGTAGAAATACCCTTGCATCGTGTATTATAAAGGTTGATTTAGGGGTTAGAAAGAATACACAAATAAAGTAAAAAGCTATCGCATTCTTAAAACATAGCTAGAATAATAAATACATCCTAGTGATACTTCACAATATTTATTACGTAACTTCTAAGTATATGTGCAATAGCCTCTGTACATAAGTACTTATACATATGTTCATTCATTCCAGCATTCCAAAAAATTCTTATCGAACAAAACAGTTGGGCATTTCAGAATTTAATTACCAACATCATTGGTTCTTTAATTAAATGTTTGCATCGTTTACCGATATGCTTTATTAAAAGTAAAACGTGCACTATAATTTTTATAACCACGCTCCTTTCCTTGGAAGCCGTTAAAGTAGTTAAAACCAGACGTTTAACGAAGCTGAAATATTAACACCTCTCCTGAGTTCCAAAAGAACAGTTCTTTTCATGTGGTGCCGCCCCTAAGGAAAAGTGAGAAAAGCATATTTTGCTTGCAGGCAGGTCCCGCTGATTATTGTTTCTATGAAAGATAACAATATAGTCATTTACTTATTTTTTTCATATGCAGCTGCACTCACGCATATTGATAGGGTAATTTTTTAAATGATGTTAAAATTCTAAACAGATATTTTTGTGAGAATATGTATGTCCGACAACTTCTTTAGACTTGTACATTGTGCGCGATCTATCATTAATATCACATAAAATTAAAATCTACTTACAAATTTAGTTGTTTTTTAAGAAATAAATGAGATAATTATAGTTGTTTGGCAATTATGAAACTCAATCAGCAGTAAAACGATATTTATGTGAAGGTTATTTTATGCGTAACAAACGTCTGAATAAAATTACAATAATAATACAATATCAAAATAAATCTGTAGCTTTAGTGGGTGTGTACAGAGTTAAACAATTTCTCTTCTTTCAACTGCCATCGCTCATCCACCGCCATAAAAATGTTTGGACTTTGTGTCTTTTCGTCTATAATGGTCATTTAAAACAGAAAAAAAACAAAGTTGAATACACTATTGTTTCATTTTTTTCCTTTTGAATTGATGGACGCTGGCCAAGTGGTACGTTGAATACTTATTTGTCCATTTGTATTCATTTCTTTTCTTTCGTAAACAATTGTGTACAGGCTTATGAGCACTGTATTAAGCAACATTTAAAGACCTGCCTCTTGTTGTGTGATATAAAAATAGTTTTCTTTTATAGGAAATATTCATATTGCAAATTAAAGTAAAAACTGGAACCTTTGATGCTTGTTTTTCTACGAAATAATTAGAATTTAAAAGCAACCAAATTTTAGACGTCTTTTAACCGAGCGTGACAAAATCGTTTTTTATGTGTCGTTCTCCTATCTTAGAATGCGGTCGTGGAAAAAGTTAGATCAGTGGTGGAACACGGCAGAAAGAAAGATTGTAGGTTAAAAAAAACTCTATACACTATTATAAAAACAGCAAAAAACAAACACCCGACATGACATATATTTCTGTCTTATCTAAACTATACATAGGAGCTGTAGAACACGATGCTGTGGTTTATCTTACCAAAGATCGGTTATCAACAAACAAGTTGCTTGCTCAGTCGGCAAACAAATGTGGGCCAGTCGTGCTTAGTGTATATATACATATTAATATGTATATGGAAAAAGTAGACAGCTTGAGCTGCAAAACTATGGCTATGAGCTCATTAATTAAGTAGAGCCATTAGCACCAACCACCACCATATATAGTGTGTATATTGTGTATGAGTATAGTATGTCATAAGCGGAACGGACTTCCTGGCATTGAGCCAATGAAATATGAGTGCACAATAGTATAGCTGAAATATGAGCATTGATAATACATAAACATAAACATTACTTACATATTTAGAAATTCTTAAATGCCGTCAAAGAAGGTCGGCTAAGCCCCTATAATTTCAACACTTGCTGGGCATTACAAAACACTTAAACAACAAACTTGAGCCGCTCTAGACATGGGCTAAAGAGTCAGTCAGAGGTCACTTGACCTGCAGTAAACCTCTAAGAGCTGTGAAAACGACACCAACCGCGACCATCGCTGTCGTTCAAGTCGAGTCGAAGTCGTCAAGCAAAATTCATTGACCAAAAACAAGCAACCTGAAACAAGTTGTGACCTTCAATTAGCCAATAAAGTAATTTATTGAATAGCAGCGAAGCGTGTTAGTAATGTGTAAGTGTGTGTGTATGTGTGTGCGTGTTTGACAAAAGATCATTTGACATATGCTCATCTCAGGGTGAGTGAGTGTGTGCGACAGACTGACTGACTGACGGTGCATAAAGATAGGTACATTCATATATCAAAAGATGCGTGAGAAACTATAATATCAGTTTTCCGAATGCCCACACGGCGAAAGAAGAAAAAAAACCTGAAATATCAAATGAAAACCCACATGGAAATTACGTGCCCGAACTATAGCCCACGTAAGCAGCCAAAGTGACAATTTTAACACGTCCTGCCATGGCTCAAAGGAAAATTGGCGGAAAATACCGCACGTGGTTTCCAACAAACGCAAATAACGAGTAGGCATAGGTTGTGAGTCATATAAAAACACGTACAGGCACTGTAGTAGTTCTACAAAATATCCTCGCGCCTGCGCCTCCACCTCTAAACAGTGAGCGTATTAGGGTGTGCCAATGCAGTTAAAACTGTTTTCACATTGCTCTAAAACTGTTTAGTGCGGCGGTTTTCGGTCGACGCTCGCGTTTGTTGTGTTCGCACTTTCAGTCTGTGATTGGCGACTCGACAATGTGCGCATACTACGATTTGAATAGTTTTTGTGTAGTTTTTGTTATCAACTCAATTTGAAAAGTCATAAATGTGTGAAATGCTCAGAGCAATTGTAATTTGATTGTCAATTGAATCAAACAATTTATTACATAAAATTTGGTAATTGTCGTATTGTGCCTTCCACTCCACAGCACTACAATTAAAGTATAATCAAATAAATTGATCAATATCTGAGCATTGGGAAGTGATTATGCGAGATTATTATGAAATATGACAAAAATTAAAGGAAAATCAATTATGTATTTCAATGTTATTTTGAATTTGGAATGAAAATTGCTAGTGTGTTCAGTTAGAAACTTTTCTCTTGGATATACATATGTATAATTCCTGCAGCATTGTCTAATTTTCCGAGTACAAACTGTTTAATTCAGTAGTCTCTAACTTGGCTTAGCACTGTGCTGGGTTTTTTACAAATTTTATATTTTATCGGGAAAAATAACACTGCATAAATAAGTTCGAACCAGAATCATTATCACCATTACATGTACATATACATATGGAAGTGAAGCTATTTATTTGCCCGGAAATATGTTAATAAGCAAATATTATTCCTCCTAACAAAAACACTATAGTTATCTGTGTTTGAAAAATTATAATTATTTATATATTTATGCAATATACTTAATGTCAAAACTGCATTTTACTTAAAATCTAAGATCTATGATTTGGCTAATTTTGAAATTTCTTATTCATTGCAGGTTTCGTGTTTCTTTTTTGTTCAACAAATAATAGTGTAAGAAACCACAAAAGCCAGGCAACCGGCAATTAATAGTAGTCGCTGGAAGGGAAGTGATCCGTAGTTAGTTACATGGATACATAATATAAATCTACGTATGTGCATAAAACAAATTACGCGGCGCACTAACAGCGTCAAAACCAAAAACAACAATGGCAAGCAGCAATGAGCACAACAACAACTGCGACCACTATAATGGCAAACGGCAGTGATTAAAACCAGTCAGGCCAGGCCAGTTGTCAGCTGTCAGCTGTCTCGACGTGCCACAGTCGCAGTCGTAGCCCCATCGGCACCACCCAAGCCCCTAGATCAAGCAATCCAGACGAGCTTGCGCCGCCTGCCTACCCATTGCTGAATCATCAGCAAAAACCGACTGGCAATCGTTTCAAAGTGTGCTCGAATAGAGAAACCTCGTAAATATCTACATACGAGTACTTGCATATATAAAGAGACAGGGAGACAAACATCAATTGAACTTAATACAAGAATACGTCAAGAGACCTTCAACGTTCAACGGCAGTACAACATCAACAACAAGAACAACAACTATAACAATGCTAATTACAACTGCATACAGTAGGAGTCGCGTTGAAAGCGCAGCATATCTAATTTTGCTGTGGTTCTGCTTCGCATCGCTCAACAGTGCATGGATGCCCGATGTGCGACCCGATTTGCAAGCACGTAAGTTGTCAATGCCCCACCCACCCGCACACACACACATATAGATATATAAGCAAACGCGCCCCCCCACCTAGGCATACAAATGCAACCATAATACGCAAATAATTATTATTTATTTTTGTGCCAGTTGATTCTCTTTGCCTCGTCTATCAATGACAACATTTAAACAAGCGCCTTCCAATTCTCGCTTATCGTTGTTGCAGCAGCAGCGACGACTTGGTTCCATTTTGCAATGCTTGCAGCAAATTAGCATTTCCTCCAAAGTGGCACAAGAAGTAGAAGTCGAAGAAAATTAGATTAAAACGCGGCCACTTGTTACTTAGCATGCAAACATATACGAATGCTTATACATAGATATGTATGTATATGTTTATAATTATGCCAACTAATGTTTTATCATGAACTATTTAGAACAAGAACACAAGAGAAAAGTGGTAATGTCAGCTCGATTAAGTGGTCGAATATAAATTTCTGAATTATGCATGAAACCAAAGTCCCAGAACTGCAAATCGCAGAACGGCAAATCCCAGCTTCCTCAGAAGTGAGCAACAAAAGTTGCTGAATATATCCATTAAAATGAGTCGTTACCATTGCATTGTGCGCGCAAACAATCACTGCACCCAGTTTTGCACAACTTTCTCAAAACATACACTGCTCGATGGAAAAAAATGAAGCTGCAGATTATTATGCACCTTTTACAACCGACGAAAATTCATCTTGTTAGAAGAAGTGAGAGATAGTTCATAAGATTTCTAACAAACATAAGTTATGTCAAGAGCAAAAATGTCTACAGATATTCGTTTAATTTATCACATTTTCATGTCTTTAATGTTTGTATTTTTGATTAGTCTTATATGATAGTTTAAAGTTCCTTCCACACACTATTACTATACTACATTTTAAATATGTGCAACAGCTATTCTAAATACATATACAATACATACAATTAAACATTATTTCAAAACACTCATATTGCTTCTTCGATTTACCAATCGAATTTGTTAATCAGAAATTGTATCGGCGGGAGTGTATTTTTCCACCCACCAGCGTCCACTTCATGCTGCATTTATTTTTACTTTTAGTTCTCAACTCGACGAACGCCCATACGCCACACACATGTTCATTGTTTTGTTTAAACCATTTTCTCAATATATTATATGGCTAATTGAATTTTCTTTGCACCTTTTCAGAGCAAGATAAGATCACGGCGAGTTTCTATGGCAACAAAACGGACTATTTTAAGATTTTGGATCACAATGATGCCAGCGTTCTAGTTGGTGCCAAGTAAGTATTGCTATTGTATAGGATAAACAATTTATTGCTCAATTTAAATGCAATGTTTGTTAACTTATTGTTCCTTGCTTGTATTTGCAATGCAATCGCGCTGGCCTATGCTGTTTACATGTATTCCACTTGTTCATAGCAATTTGTTCGATTCGTAGAATAATTAACGTGCCATTGAATTTACGCTTTCCAGTTGTGCGCATTTTGCATTTTCAAGTCAAGTGTATTTCCCGACCTCTCAATTTCCTAGAACGCCGCGAATGCCAACCAAACAACTTTCTGGCCATGCAACTTGTATACAATTTTATTGACGCATCGCATGGCCAGTGTGACGCTAATTTTCGCATGAAACCTGATTTATTAACATGAAATTTAAAAACTTTAAAGGGTTTGGTTGAAACCAACAATATTGCTTACCTTAACAACAGCCAGAACCCGAGTTTCTTGACAGTTTTTCTGCAGAAAAAATATATGTTGTTGGGGTTATATGACTACATACATACTCGTATATCGCAATGCTAAAACTGAACTCGACTTTATCCTTAAATGACAACTGTTTGTTTTTCATTCGTCAAGCTTTTAATCGTACTTATAATTTGTAATGTACAATAATACAATTAAATGGTAATCTCTATAAATTAAAAACCTCAGTAATGGAATCGCTTTCTTAAGCATATTTTACTGGACTTCTAAAAAGAATTTGTATGATGCGATAGCACAATTATTCTCAGAAATATTATTGGTTATTATAGTTTTTTAATCGTTTGTACTTCAAGGAACAACAGTAAATTGTTATAAGATTGCGTTTGGCTTATAATATCCCATACATACATATGTATGTACGTGTGTGTATTTTTTATGTTTGAGGTGGGAGAGTGTGGCGTATCAGGGTTTTAGAGTGGAACATTTCTCATCTGTTTGTATTCTGAGTGCTGTGCAAAATGTCATCACCTAATAATATTTTCCTATCTATCCGATCTGAGCACATCTCACCAAATTTCAAAATTTCGTTTCACTGCGTTGTTAATTGCTTAGATGCTACAACTATACTCGTATATCAACTTAGACCGTAATTAAGTTCTAATTATTTGCGCAAAAACCTTGAAACATGTTTGCATTTTTGTTGTCATACATATGTCATATTGTAGATGTTGCTATTGCTATTGCGATTGTTGTTGCTGGTTGGCACGGCGAGCGCGCCTCATTTGTTTTCATTTAATTCGCTTCATTAGCACGCCGCACATGCCGTCCAAGCAGCTGCTGGAATGCACGATTGCCTTATGAAGGCGTTTAAGTACCTAAATATAAAAAATATGTATATAGAAATATAAAAAATTTGGTTTGCCCATTAGCATCGCAATTAAGCAATTGTGTCGTTTACTTTTTGTTACTTTGCAGGGACGTCATCTACAATATCAGTCTACATGAACTTCGCGAGATTTCCAGACTGGAATGGCACTCTACAGATGCAGATCGGGAGCTGTGCGCGCTGAAGGGCAAGCACGAATGGGATTGCCACAATTATTTGCGCGTCTATGCCCGCCTGGATGATGGTCAAGTGCTGCTCTGCGGCACCAATTCGTATAAACCGCGCTGTCGTCATTACGCTCCCGCCGACGAGGGTGGCACCGAGGCAGGAGCACAAAGGCGTGGCCATATGCATTATGAGATTACGCGCGATGTTGAGGCCCAGGGCCTGTGCCCGTACAGCCCGGCTCACAACAGCACCTACGCCTTCGCCGATGGTCAGCTGTATAGTGCCACTGTGGCGGATTTCTCGGGCGGGGATCCGCTTATTTACCGCGAGAATTTGCGCACCGAGCAATACGATCTCAAGCAACTGAATCAACCTGATTTTGTTGGCGCCATTGAGCGAAATGGTTTTGTGCTCTTCTTTTTCCGGGAGCTTTCCATGGAGTTCATGAATTTTGGCAAAGCAGTTTACTCGCGTGTGGCACGCGTCTGTAAAAACGATCGTGGTGGTCCCTATACGCATGCCAAGAGCTGGACATCATTTTTGAAAGCCCGACTCAATTGCTCGGTACCGGGAGAGTTTCCCTTCTACTTCGATGAAATACGTAAGTTATTCTAAAAAACATCACATGTGGATTAAGATTTCAATGCATTTAGCAAATTCAAATGGTTATTTGTTTCGGTCTGGTCCTCGGTTTAATTCCAGACATGAATAGTTACTAACGAATCCTTTTTAAATCTTTGCAGAGGCCATCAGTCCAATTGTGGAGAGTGGCTCGAAGTCTTTAGTCTATGCGGTATTTACCACATCTGTGAATGCCATACCGGGTTCTGCGGTATGCGCGTTCAATGTGGACGATATACTTGCCGCTTTTGATGGCGATTTCAAATCGCAAAAGGATTCGCAATCCCATTGGCTGCCCGTGCAACAGGAGAACGTGCCCAAGCCGCGACCTGGACAGTGTGTGGAGGACTCACGCATGTTGACCAGCATAGCTGTTAACTTTATCAAGAATCATCCGTTAATGGAGAGCGCGGTGCCCGCAGAGCACGGTCGTCCATTGCTGACGAAAGTTAATTTGCATCATCGCCTTACAGCTATTGCAGTGGATCCACAAATACGGGCACTCAACGGTGCCTTCTACGATGTCATATATACAGGAACGGATGATGGCAAAGTGACAAAGTTTATCAACATAATGACCACACATCAGAATGCCAGCGTGGAACGTCTCAAGACTGTGGTTATATCTGAGATGCAGGTGCTGCCTGTGGGAATGGCAGTGCGGGAGATGGTCATCTCCTCGAAGACAAACACCTTGGTGGTGGTTAGCGATAGCACGTTGGTCACCGTCCCCCTGCATCATTGCAAACTAATTGTGGACTGTCAGGGCTGTTTAAGTCTGCAGGATCCAAACTGCGCCTGGGATCAACAGACTCATGAGTGCAAGAACCTGGCAGGCGGTGAGCACAAGTTCGGAACTAAGAGCTACTTGCAAAGCATGAACATGACCAGGAAGGCAGCTGCTTCATTGTGTCCTAGGCTCTCTGCCTCGCCTCTGCCCGGCGCTGAAACAGTGAGACTTGTGACAATGGCCCCACCCGCCTCAGGCATCGGCCTGGACGAACAGAAGCTGCATTACGCCAATGTGGGTGCCTTGCCAGGAGTGATGCCAACCCTAAGTGAACAGGAGCAGCTGGCGAGCGCCGACGATTATGGCTTGAATGCTTACATTGACGAGAACAAAATTACATTGGCTTCTGTCGATCCAGAGCAGGTTATGACAAATTTGCATGGTAAGTCCATTCACAATCCTTGACATTGCAGTCATTCTAAAATATTTAATTATTTATTCCAGATCCGCAAAGATCAACAGCGCGCGTGGATGAAGTACAGGCTGCCTCCAGTTGGAGTACTTTATATTCCGTGTTCATCGTGTGCGCCCTAATGAGTGCATTTATTATAGGTAGCATTGTTGGCATTAAATGTCGGTATTGCAACCATGAGTCGCACGATGCCAGCCATCGAAATCACTTTTCCACACCCACACAATTCGGACACAAGCATCAGAACAGCGGTAAAGATATAAATTTGCTCATCAGCTCCAATGCCTATGCAAGCGCACAGAAAACACCCAATCTAGATCTTGAAAAAGATCGCAGTCACGAGTGCAAGAACTCCACAGAGCATTTGGAAAAGGAGCTACCCTGCAAAACGTCCACGCTGACAAAAGTGAAGCGCACTTACATTTGAGGAGCCGTAGCTAATGCTGCTAATCGGCACTCAACAAAATTAGTCGAATTTTTTTGCATGCATATTATTTGCGTTGTTTATTTTTGCTTTTAGTGTGTAGTGTTAGCTATGTAGAGTATAGAGTCCCCATCCCTGTTTATGCCCTTCCCCATGGACAAGACAGCAGTTGTGCGCGTTTGAAACGCAAACTGTTGTCTCTGATTTTTGATACGCTCTAGTTATAGTCTAATTTAATCGTATATAAATGTTTAGTTCGGCAACATTTAGTTGAATTTCTGTAACTGTGGCTTCGAGCTGTGTCAGCATTAAAACATCAAGAAAAACTAAATATAGTTGACTTGCATTCCCACCATCAACCAATACTAACCACAAACATTTTTTAAATGTTACTTTCATGTCTCTAACATGAAATGCTGCACAGCTCAGGCAACGGCCCGCTTATGTGTGTATGTTTTATATAAGTATATAAATATCTACAATTTATAATTATACATATGTATATCTAAGTACAAAATAAGTTTAATCTAGAGCTACAAATTTGCATGCATATCCACATGACTAACAAAAAGAAATGACAGCGCTACGAGAAAACAAAAAACAATATTCGAATACCCATGAACAAATATTTGGACGCGTTCATTTCATTGCTATTACAATAAATAGTTTGCTGTTATTATTGTTTTTCGAAAATCAACGCTATATAGAACTAAATGCAATATCCCCACGAATATCTCGAAATTCAAACGAATTCTACAAGTATTTATTTAGACTGAACGTGTTTAATATTCTGCTTAAGTTTTGTGTGTGTGTGTGCAACAATTTTTATCTAGCGTATACATAGATAGCATACATAGGTAAAGCTCAATAGCTATGTAAAAGGAATTGAATATATGTGTAATTGTATGTATTGCATGTGTTTTTAAATACGATTTTTTAAGGGCTTGGCTTAAAGCCTTATCAGTAAGAAGATGAAGAGCGAACAAAACAAATTAACACACACACACACCCATACATGAGGCTGTTTGATAAGAACTGAAGCCGAAAACACGCACAATCACAATTACAGGCCTTAAATGAGGAAAATAATTATTAATGTATCACACTTTCGCGTTAAAGTGCAGTAGACCTTAAGGTAAAGTTTAAAGTTAAGTATAAAATTAATTGCAAATATATTTGTCCCCGGCCTTTTCATATGTATGTTTACACATTAAGCTCTTGTCCGTCCCAATGGAAAGATATGAAAAAACGCACAAAACTGAAAAAAAAAAAACATAAGAAAACAATATATATTTTATTGAAAATTCTACATAGCCCATTAGAACGCAGGCAATTTTTAATGGTTAATGCAGTTTTATTTTAGATATCACACAATTGCCTAAAATTAAAAATCTATATTTTTATAAAAGGATATGACTTATGTCTAAGATTAGGTACACAAAACAAAACAATCCCATAAGTAATTCTCATATTGTGATAGATTTTATTGAAATTTTTATAATGAAACGAGATGTTGAAATGCCTTTTGGTTGAAAACAATGATATGCCGCAAGTCTGATTGCATCCACACGATAAAGCAAGTGTCTTCCTCTTGGAGGACCAACTGAAAAATGAAGTGCATAGTGCAACGGAAAATGTAATGTTTTTTATGTCTTGTATGTATATTGTTGTTCTACACATTCGATGAAAATGCGAAATTTAATAAAGTCATCATTTTTTAATAAAAACGGAAGCGTTTTAATTCAATACATATGTAGTACTATATGTATATATATAATGGTTATAGCCTAAAGGTAATTATCTTATTTATATGTATATGATAATGTCCCAGATAATTTTAGACCGTCATGGTTACGGTATATGCTTACGAAGACTACATTGCAGTTGCAATAGTCCATAAACAATAAATATTTCAACGGAATCTGTTTTTTATATTTCTGAAATAACTTTTATCTCTTGAGTGTTATATTACAAGGTTTTAAAATAGACAAACTAGTTTCATTCTCATAGACCAAACTGCTTCAGGCTATGTTTGCAAATTGCATACATGGGGTTAGGGATTTCGATTACATTAACGGGCATACAATTTTACTTGTTTAATTTGACCATTTTACTATAAATATTTATTTATATTTATAGCGCAACTGGTTCCATTCAGCTACTATGTTTAATACCATAAAAGGTTTTTAAATAAGACTGATTTTAAGAAATAATAAAAATAATTAACCTTTGGGGAATGAGAAGGCTTAATGAAAACAAATAAATATAAAATTTTAGTTATATTTGAATAAACATAAATTTCTGCTATAAAATTGTAAACACCAAAGAATATTATCACCTGATTATATTTCTTTAGTTGCGTTCTTTACAATATTCAAAATCTAAATAGTTGTGCTAACATGTTTAGAGGGCGATGGTAGTTTCTTGATTCATAAATTTAATCTCTTTAAAGAATCTACACCGCTTTGGGCATTTTAACTCGTTATGTTGTCCTGCCCGTCCGCATATGAAGCAACGCTGAGGATGCCTTTTATCTGGCTTGACTTTCAGTCTGCGCCTGTTTTGTAGCCACGTGACGCATTTGGTCTCTATGTGTCCCTTCTCCCGGCATATCCAACAACGTTGCATTGACTGGTACACAGCGCAGTCATGATTCTCTCGCTGTGAGCATCTGCGGCAATTAAAGCAATGAACATAGTTTGGTTTTACGCAGACGCCGCAGTGTTCGCAGTGCCTGTATGTCTGGCCATTTTGTGATGGGCAAGTCTCGCAACGAATACAGTGCAAGTTCTCAGCCGCCGTGTAGCGTTTGCACTTGGTGCAATATTTATAGGCCTCCTCCGTGGGCAGCTGCAGCAGCTGCTGTGGAACATTACTAAACAAACGCACTGGCGAGCCATAAGTGCGACTGGCTACACCCACATCTGTATAGCGGGTGTGATTGGTGTAATTTATTTTATAGTCGCACATTTCCATCTCGGGCATATCCTGCTTTATGTGATTAACATTATAATACGGATACACCCAAAATATGGGCAGTGGTGTATGTGGCATGCAATTTAGACGGTTATGTAAAATAGTCAGGCAGCGCAGTGTGTTTGCGATGAGCTCGGTGCGGCAGCCGAATGGTGGATCCGTCATCACGAGCACACGTTCATTGCTGAAATCACAGTAGAGCCAAGTATTGGTAATTGATCAAGTCTTATTAGATCCGGTTCCAACTTACGCATTACATTTCAAGAATTGTTCAAAAGGTTGGCGGCTATAAAAGAAATGATTGTTACACATGTTATATAGGCAGAACTCCTGTGGCGAGAGGTGGGCAGCAAATCGTTCGTCCAAATCAAGTAGAAAACTACACATGTTGGGTTCTTTTCGCAAATAGAAATGTAAACGTGGGGCACCAATGCATACGACTTTGCTATGTGTAAAGAAAATAAATTAAATACAAAATATTCCAGCAGGAGTTCATTAATATTTACCTTATTTTGAGTACACGACATTGATTCACAAAGAATCGTAAAGCTTTCTCGTCAAAAAAATACTGTGCGTGCGCCTCTTCCTTTGAGAGTGCACTAAGATAATTTGTAGGATCTGCACTTTTAACACTCCTTGTTAGGGGGTAATCCCGCTCCTTTGGTGTATACGTCAAATTTTGTGCTTGCCAACTAGTCGCTGGAATGCGAAAGTGGCATAACTTGCTATCGCGATGTGCCGAGCAGCTGTAATAGCCATCATTGGGTGTTTCCCTATAGAAAAGGATCATTGGTCCATGTGGACAAGTAGGATGCTTTTTATCTTCGTCTTCAATTTCTACTTGCAGCTTTGCTATAAAAAAATCAAATAGTCATAGTTAGTACTCTATCTAGGTCTATGTTTCAATTTTAGTTACTATCGCTCTTAACGACTGGAGATGCAATCATTTTTCCACAAATTAGATTCAAAATAAAAACACGTTCAAAACTAGAACTTGTTCGATTTCTATTCTGAACAGATGACTTTTAACGCCATGTGGCAACGCTTCGTGCGGGACTGCCCGACTGTCAGCTAAAAATTACTTGGCGTACCTTGTAGCTCGTGGAACTTGCAACATACCCGCACCATAGACGGTCACTGCAGAATTTCGCTTAATTTTAATAAGTGCAGCCATCTTATATAACAAAATGAATAGCTTAAAGAATGCCACTCTTCGTTTTGTAAACTTCGCCAATTCCAATTCGTTGACAACACGCGTTTTGAATGGAAAACGCGATTTTACTCGCAGTCTGTGGCATCTCACAAAGAAACCGGCCATAGGCGGCTGCGCCAACAACAATGGCACTGGAGACCATGTTTCCGTTTTAAATGTGCACAAACCCAGCATAAACTGCACCTGTGGTTGCAATGTGCATACCAAATGTAAGTCTTCAATTATGTTCCCTCTTACAAGATACGCCGGCAATGTCGCATGTCTGTTACATAACCTAAAAAACGTGGTGATGGTGACGAAATGTATTATTGTTTGCTTGAAACAGGTGAACGAGAATTGGTGGAATTCCTAACAGAGGAGATTGTTGCGGAGCGCAAAGTTCAAAAGGGCAAAACTGTGCCAACTACCTTGGATGGCTTTTGCGTTAAGCTTGATGGTGCCGATGTGGAACTTTCGAAGCAAACTGATAAGGAAAAGTAAGTGCAACAAGCTGAACAAATTATTGTAATTTTTGCTAACGTTTCAATGCTGTCTTAGGGTGGTCATTAATTTCAATGTCAACCACACCGTCGACAGCGAAGAGGAGCCCGAGATTAACCCCAATGCCGACAAGCCGGATTTGGGTGAGATGCGTAGCAAACCACAATTCGAGGTGGATATTATAAGGGGCCCTACTACTCTGTCGTTTACTTGCTCTTATTTGCAAGGCGAGGCCCAGGAGGGCGAGTATAGTACGTACACTCTGACAACATAATATTGACTAGATTGTTAATATCATTACTTTCAGACGATGTATTCTCTATTGATGAACTGACTATTTACGAAGGCGAGTGGCACGACAAAGTCTATGCTGTCGCTGGCGATGTGCTTGATGGCGTAAGTTTTCATTGCTATTGGCATTGATTATATTTAACATTATTTTTTTCTAGTACCTATACGACTTGCTTATGAACCTGCTTGAGGAGAAGGGCATCAGCAACGAGTTTGCCGAGAAGTTGTCTGACTTGGCTACTGCACATGAGCACACCTCTTACATAGGTCTGCTCGAAAAATTGTCAAAATTTACTTCAGGAGGAGCGAAGTAAAAGCTGCCGTTTCGACACATCCTTCATAATTATAAGCCACAGTTGTGTAGATTGTTAAGTTTCATATGCATTTCGAGAACCACACTAGAAACGTTTACATCATCCGTTCTTTTAGTTGTGCCACCGAAGAGCTATAGGTTCTAAAGGCAAAAAGTTTAAGTTTCTAAACTTTATATGATTGAGTACTTCAGATATGTATGCTAATTTGTGTTCCCATTAAAGCGTATGTTCGTGGCACTTAACTAAGTAAAAAAAAACAGCATTTTTAATTTGTTTGTATTTATTATATTTAACTCTTCAGAATCGTGAAGGTCCAAAATTTGGCATTTCCGGTCTGTTCGGTGGCAAGGTCTGTGGGCGGGGTCCACCCAATGGGGATTGTCTTCCAAAAGGCTGTGCGATCGTCAACTGGGCGATGACGGCCAACAGCAAGAGTGTTACGGTACTGAGGAACTGCATTTTGTAGTCGTGATAATTGTGCGACTGATGTCCCGAGAGCTAGAATGTTCGCTTTTATACAGAATGGGTTCGGATGCTTTTATAGGCTTATCAGCAGTATTTGTTATTCCAGTTGGAAAGCACATGATGCATGGACCGTGACTTGAAAAAACCCCCTGTTGATAAATTTCTGGGATTCACGAAGTGGATACAGGTCGTTTTAAATTAACAGGCACAATATCATGTAGGCATTTATTACTTTATACATATTTACAAGATTATATAATAAACACATCAAAATTTTTGTTGTACATCGTGCATTTGAACTTAAATGAGAGAAAATTAGTTGCTAGATTACATACATACATAGATTTTGTTAAATTAGAAATGGTTGAATGTAAAAGCTGTTCTGGGTTGATTATTTTGGATATAACTGCAACGGCACTGTCAGGTGCGATACTATGCTGTGGAGCCCCGCTTGTGCCGACCTTGGCACTGACATCCAGCACCACCCGGAAGTGTCGTTTCTTTAGTTTTCTCGGTTAATGATGGATTGGCAATTGCCATACACGCACCGTAGCAGCCAGATGCCTGGGTTGATGGTGTTGTTGGTCAGCTCTTGCTGGATCCTTGTGGCTTGGAGCTGTTCGCTCCCGCACCACTGGTGTTGTCATGGTCGCCGGTAGTGTAATCCGTTTCAATTTCCCGCAGCTCAATCTTCTGTTCACGCATGGCTCGCTGTTATTGTAGTTCATATAGTTTTAATTCATACGAGCAAGCAAAACTTCATACCTTTACACACTCCTGATAGACCTTGAAAATCGGCGCACAAACGGAATCGTCTGTATGACCCTTAAGAAAACGCTCAGAGAACCACGTGTTGAAACAGGCGTCGTATTGTTTCTTTAGCTCATTGCAGTCCTCGCCGATACTATTCATTGCGTAGGGTTAAACTTTTAATTTAACTTTTAATAGATTTTATTTATATAATATAGTCGAAAATATGTCTGCTTCAAACATCTGAGATGGTGCGCTGATTGGAACTAGTAGTTCATCGAACGGCGTTACCAGATAGATTTTTAATTTGGCGTGACTTTTAAATATGGATCGATAGGTATCGCATTCAGCTTAATAAAACATATTCCTGCGTTTTTATTAATTTATTTGAATTAATTTCATACAAAACGTAATTTAGATCGATTTTAAATACAATGAGCGTTAAAACAAATTCACAGAATCGCAAATTGGACTCCGACACAGGCGGCAATGATGTCAAGATAAAAGAACTTCGAAGGTATTTATTTGATGTCGACCCCCGGATGGGCTTTGAACCCACCCGGGGGTCTGGACACAGTTGTCACAAGCAATTCTCCATCGCCTCCATTTCTGACACCAGTGCATTTGCAACATCTCTAGCTAGGTTTGATATAATAAGCGAATTTGTTTTTATTAAGCCCACCTAAGCAGCAATGAAGTCTACTCCTCGTCGATAGTTTGAACTTGTTGTTGTTGCTGCTGCTGTTGTTGTTTGTGGTGTCCGCGCTGATTGCGATTGCGTTGATTGCGATTATCGCGGCGCTGGCCGCCCCAATTGCCACCCTGATTGTTCTGATTGCGGTTGTAGCCACGGTCCCGGTTGCCCATGTTGCCACGTTGGAAGAAGTTGCCCTGCTTCATATCGAAGATCTTCTCGTTGACATCGACAAGATTCGTAACCTTATCCACGAATTGCATGGCCAAAGCCTGCAGACGTGATGGCTCGGAGCGATGCATAACTACCGTTTCCGAAGGATCGTCCAAGCTGGCCATCAGCTCCTCATTAATAATCATTTTGCTAATGATCGAGTGCACTTTTTGCACGGGCAGCTCGTACATTTGCGCCAGCGATGGAATGCTGATCGAGGTGTACACATTGGAGTAAGTAAAGAGATAGGTTCGCAGGGACTCCTCCTTTATGAATTTCACGAGCATCTCACGCACGCGATCTGACTCATAGAACAGATCCCACACCTTAGTGTTCATCTTCTTGTTGACAATGAAGTTGGCACATGCCTGCCAGTTACCACAGCGCATGGCTTTTGCGGCCGCAACCACATGCTCGCGCATCGATTCCGGTGGACCCACGAGAGATTGGCGCTCTGACGAGCGCAGTTGTTGATAGAACGTCTTGCTGATCATTCGACGACGAGCATCAAATTCGTGCGCTGCTATATAGGGGATCTCCAACAGCATGGCCGACACCAAGTAGACGCATTCAAGCAGCTCCAGATTGATGTGCATATGGAATGGCATTTGGCGTTGCTTTTCAATCTTTTCTTGCTCGGCGGATCGCTCGTGTTGGCGCTGCGGTAACAAACCTTGGGCGAGCAGCTCTTTAGGCTTGCCTGTGACCATGAGGTCGACCAGGCAGTGATGGGCATCCTTTACGTTCTCCTGACGGAAGGCGCACAGACCCAAGTTGGCCATCATGCGGTTGTAGAGAATGCGAGTTGAGGGATCTGCAGCATCAATGTTGTCCTGCAGATGCGACATAAGTACCAAATCGCGAGCTTGGAACCAATTGTCGTGCATGGCATGGTGATAAATGTGTGCCAGAATAGCGCGCGTACGTATACGATCCGTATCGTCCTTGGCATAGATAAACTTGCATAATCGATCCATGACATCCACAGAGGTATTAGTGGTAGCGGGAAGCTCGCCGCGCTTGCGTTTCAGCACATCGGGATCAAATTTGTAGTAGAGATGCTCAATCTTACGCAAGTATATGCGACAGCGTTCGTTGTTGTTACCCACGCGCTCAAAGTACTGCAGAACCAGCTCGATGATCTTGACCACATTCACCTCGTCCTTTAAACGCGATACATAGTCGTTCGAATGGGGATCGCATTCCTTTAGCAGCTTAGTGAATTCATCATCCAAACGCTCAACAGCGGCCAGTGGGCAACCACGCACATAAAAAGGTGCTTGAGTAAACTCTTCGTGCTCCTCGGCTACGTTCTCGCTCATATTGATATCTGGGTTGACCAATAGTATCTTTAACAGGCTTTGCATTACCTCGAGCAGCAGTGCCCAGTGCTCTAGTTTCATGGGTTCCGAAATCTTCTGATTGTAGTCGAAGATAGCAGAGATGATGCTGAAGTGAATCTTCACAGAAACGGCTGTGCCTAGCTGATGCTGTTCGGAAATGTCACGAAGTTCGAAGAGCAAATCGATTTGCAGGCGGCGATCGGTGCGTTTCTTGCCGCGCGCCGACATTATCTCTACCAACTTGGCCAGTACGAGAGGAATGTCGATTTCAGCATCCTTTTCAAACATTTTCGGCTTCTCAACCACATGGCCCTTAACCACCGTCTCCCATTCACCATCTTCGTCATCCTCTGCACGCTTGCGAATCTTTGTCTTCTGTTCCTTACGCTTGTCCTTACGCTTATCATCATCTTTGTCCTCCTTCTCGGTGGTGCGCTTCAAGAAACGCTCGCGCATGTTTTGGTACTGATTCTCGTCTTCCGATGACTCTGTCTCAGACTCGGTGTCCGAGTCCCAGTCAATGGAGTCATCCGAGTCGTCGTCATCAGCAGCGGGGGCCTTAGCTTGCGCTACTTTCGGAATTTTTGGCACTGCTTCGGCAATTTTGGGTACGCCCACATCACTGTCTTCAGCCGCACGGTCAGCATCGCTATCGTGAGCTTCCTCTTCCTCGACGTCACTTTCCTGATCCGGAGCTTCGCGGAAGCGACTTAAATCCTCTTCAAAATCTTTAATGTACTTGCGCACTTTTTGGCGCAGCGTACCCAGTGATTTTGAGTTGTTCTTTGACAGGTTTCTGCGGCCTTCCCTATCGTCCCAGACTTCATTAATGAAATCTTCCAGCTCGGCGAGGCTGCGAATGTAAAATCGAGGCGTGACTCCGTTTTCTTCCTTAGAGATAACAGGCAGAGCCTTTTGGTAAGCACGCGTTAAATCCTCGAAGCTGGTCAATATGCTGGACATGTCCTTAATCTTCTTGTGGTTTCTAATCGTTTTAATAATGCTCGTCAGGTTCTCGTAGCGTTTCTCCTTGGTGGAGCGAACCACACGCTTGACTTCCTCCTCATCATCACTGAATTGCTGTCCAAGTAAAATTACATATTATTATATTATGATTCTACCAAATCCACATGATTCAGTGTCTACTTACGAAGGCGGCGGCCTTATTGAAGTTTGGCGCTTGTACCTCCTCCTCGCTGGACTCGGATTCCGAGTCAGACCCGTTGGCAAAGAAGCGTGACATGGTGCTTACTGTTGCTTATGCCGATTTATGCAACTAAACAAAAATATTAATTGAATATTTAGTTACAGACCACGTATAAAAGTTTTGCAAATTGCTTTGATTTGAGGTTATGTGCAAGCGGCCAACATGGCCAAATTTCACTGCATTTTTTTGTAAAGCAGCAACGTTTGCAATCATTCAAATCTGCTGTATTGGTTTTCTTGTGCAACAGTTAGTCTTTCCACACTGAATTTGCCTATATTAAAACGTACAAAATGTGTAAGAAATACTAAAACTCACAATTCCACAGTAATTTGATGTTATCGATGTCATTCACAACATCAAGAGGGCTGTCAATTGTTTTACTAGAGATGTGCGTCATTTATGTATCGGCGACTTTTAGACGGAAATATTCACAGCAGTCACTGGTTTTTGCAAACCACTTAATTAAATTTAAGAATTCTCTTTAGTTTAAGTTCATAAAAATGTGTATTATTTCAGATAGTATCAATAATATTTACCAATAAAAGACTGATTTTAAATAAATTTAAATTTACATGTAATTAATTCAAAATTTACAAGTGCAGGACCGTTCATGTTTAAGTGTGACCATATCTGTACCAACAAAAAATTCCAAACATTCGTGATCCGTAGGCGTAATGAAGAAAAAATATAGTCGGTTTGGCGCGAAATAAAGAAATATGGCGAATTTTTCAAAACATTAACCTTTTTTTTAAATACATATATAATTTAATTAGCTAATTACATACATCCTTTAAGAAATTGGCGCCATTTCCGTTTTCGGCAACATGTTGCTATAGCCTGCGCAGGCGCCTGTACAAGCCGGCATTTGGTCGAGTATCGCAACCAACGGAAGCCCCCACCCACCCTCATCATACCAAATGTACGTGAATGAATATTATGGCTAGGCAACTTGCAAGAGTCGTCCGGAAAGACAAACGTTTTTGCGCGCGCGAACAGGTCGCACGCGTATGTTGCCGCATCGGGTCGCTATTCCATTCAGAAAACTGAGAGCAGCGGATACGGCGCGAATTTTGAAGTCCATTTCCGGTCAGTGCAAAACGAAACGTACTATATGCAAATCGAATTCACCTGTGTTTTTGCTAATTGCCCTTGTGGCTGCTGTGAGTAAACAAAATTAGAAGCTTGTTGTTTAACGTGTATCCTGTCTGTGGCAAAAAATATCTGCACCTCTGCATAAACATACATGCATATGAATATATAGTACATATGTATGTAGATGCTACTCAGTATGCAAATATTGAAGTGTACGAAATCACAATAAATATTAATTTAAAATTGATGCAATTGTGTTTATCCGTCTCACTTACTCGTAATGTGCTGGAAATGTAAATCAGAAAATACAAAAAGAAATCCAATTATAAACTACACGACAGGTAAATTTGTAACTTTGACAGCTATGCTGGTTCCATTATAATTGATGACAGAGTTGATTAAATTGGTCCTGATTTAATGTTACATTTAATTAAATACAATGCAGTTGACCTTTTATGTGTTGGCCCTGTGCCGTTTGCCCAAACTAGCCATTTAAAGAAATTCGCAACAAGCCAACCTAACCATCTCCTAAATGCACAAAGATTGTTCTTCTATATGCACCCCACTCCCATTGCAATACTAAATCGGGCGTGTGGTATAAGATTCATGTGTGAGAAATGACATTAAAATCGACAATACCACTTTGGCTTGCTGGCATATATCACTGTTTTTGTTGGGGATTTTTTTTTTCGATTTTCTGCTGTTATTTAAGTTCCGTTTACAACGCAATCTATTTGGCGTTTTCTGTTACTTTTTTATTTTGGGGTTGCTTCGCATCCAGCACGTTGCCTCTATAAATTTGCGATTTGTGCCCTTTACACAAGGAGCATGAAATTGGTAGTATGTATTTGTATTTCGGCAGAATTGGGTACGGCCCAAGGCACTTCTCTGCCCAACACACAAAAAGTTTACCAAACACATTTTGCTCTTTTGTTTCAAGTCGAAAAAATATTAGTGTTTACAACTCAATTTCCATAGTCCTGACAAATATTTCTGTAATTGTTCTATCGTGAGTTTTGTGCCGTTGGCCATTATTTTAGGAAAAAGAAGAAGCAGTTCAATAAATTTACGCGTAATCTTACATGAAACAAAATCTGACCTACCTGTGAAAAACTCGCGGCGATTGGGCGTATCGCAAAAAAAAAAAATGTTTACACTAACTGTCTGCTGTCGATTCATCACCTGAACACATTTAAAACTTTGTTTATATAAGAAGCGTTATTTTATGTGTTTTCTGTGCGCTGTCGTTGTTGCAAATTTCACATCGTATTTTTAGTAACAAGTGCGCCTATTTTATAATTAGATTTGACAGCTAATCATCGGAAAAACATTCGGAAAAGCCTCTATACATGCAAAATTGCATATAGACGTATACATCCTTGAAACAGTAGTTAAGCAACCCCATAAAGTTTCCATAAATTGTCGTTACGCCCTCGACTATTTTCCGATGCCATTTAAACTGTGCACATTTTCCTTCTGCCAAAGGCTAATAAATGGCACGCGTTCAGCTTCAAGCAATGCTTAAACAACAATAGCAGTTAAACCTGCTACAACAACAACAATACTATATAAGAAGTGCACGCATTGCAATTGCATCGATGCACACTAGGCCACAAAAGTATGATTTTGGTACAATTTCCAATTGACTTTTAATTTTAATTGCGAAATACATAAATTACATTTCTGTGCTTTTTATATTCAAGGATATTTGCTCCATTGCCCTCTTTTTTGTTCCTTTTTTTGCAAGCGCTTGGGTTTCTATTTATATATACAATTCTGTTTTTGGAACGGCCAGAAATTCCTACAACGTATTCTTTTCTTTAGAAAATAAATTTAGAAAAGAAGGAATCTTTGACCTCGTTAAGCGAGCAAGCGTTGCGTTTGTTATACAGAAATTAGACACTTTATTCGGTTATCTCTTTACCAATCATTATTGTACATTTTATTCTTATACTTTTCATTACATTGGGGTATTTCTTTGACAGGAGCTATTAAGCTTTAATTGCTTGCATTCCGTGTCATAGCAAATTTATGTTTAATGTTATACAGAGTCTTTAGCTAGATTGTCATACAGTTTTACGAATTTCTCTACATCAGGTTTATAAATATTATTAAATTATTTTTCATTAAAATAATTTCCAAACAAATTCAACATTAAATTTTTTTACGTCTATATTTATGAAGAAAACCGAATAAGAATAGTCTTAAGTTTTAACAAGACCTGAAAATAATGTTTTTTAAAATTAATCTTATGTCGAAGTAGCCAGTCACTCTCCCATAAATTATTTGTTGTATAAAACTATATTTTGGTATATCTTTGTAATGGGTTTTAATTAATATAACATTTAATTGATGACATTCTTGTATAACGAAAAAATGTTGTGCCTCACATTCCGGCGGAAAAAACCGGAAAGAAATCATTTCTTTAAAATGTTCATTGAACTTTTGTATTTATTTTAATGTTTGCAATACCTTAAAAAGAAAAGAATATACACAAAACCATGCTGGCAAGAGGAAAATAATGTTGTTCCAGCTGAGTAAATTGATGACATTTCAGTTGGATACACTTTAGAACAGTCACCATTTTTCGATTTGTGGTTCAGTGTGCCGCGCCAAGTATCTATTTCTTCATGAATTTTAAAGTGTTTCGTTGTGGCTGCATTTTTTCATTAGCCGGCTTACTGGCAAGTGCCTGAGGGTTGTCGGTTGATGGTGGTCGGTGGTTGGTGGTTGGTGGTTGGTGGTCGGTTGTTGGCAGTCGGGTGCCCATTGCGGCTTAGAGCTACAACTCATAAATTGCAACGACACGCAGCATGGAAAGGGTGTGTTTTGTAGGTTGGTTTTTGCCACTATTGCTTGCTTGGCTTTTACTAAATGCGAATTAAAGATTCTAGAGCAGTTGATGCAGGACAGCATGACAGAACGTACTTACTGTATAAAACATACAACAACAAGTCAGATGCAAAGCTGTCGAATCATTCCCCAGAAGAGTCACTTTCAGTTGATACAGCGCGTTTTTTTTTTTATACCCTGTACCCGTAGGGTAAAAAGGGTATATTAGGTTTGTGCAAAGTATGTAACATACAGAAGGAAGCATCTCCGACCCCATAAAGTATATATATTCTTGATCAGCATGACGAGAGAAATCGATCTAGACATGTCCGTCCGTCTGTCCGTCCGTCTGTCCGTCTGTCCGTCCGTCTAGATGAACGCGAGGATCTCAGAAACTATAAAAGCTAGAATAACCAAAGTTGGCATCCAGATTCTCCTAGGTCCGAGTAAGGACGAGTTTATTTTATTTTTTGGAATTTTCCCCCCCTTCCCCCGCTACAGAATTTCGTCAATAACGTCCACATTTCAAATGCTACCTAAACCAAACTTTGCACACATAATTAATATATAATTGTCTACTGTTGTTTAAAATTTTATTCAATTCGGTCAATTCTAAATAAAGTTATTAGCAAAACAAATTCTCGCCAGTACAACCCCCCCAAACTGCAGCAACAAGTTTGCTCTTCTTCTTCCTCTTTTTGCTGCTGCTATGGGCGCATATAACTCAGTGACGGAAGTTTACCTGGGTACAGGGTATTACACTGTCGGGCTTGCTCGACTGTAGCGTTCTCTCTTGTTTTGTTTCAATTCAACATAAAAAATGTATGAGCTGCAATGGAAATGTTTTGAAACGGAAATTGTATTATCGAAGCAGTCGTATGTATAAAAAACTAAACGAAATGTAAGAATTGAAATGTATATGGCCTTAATCTTTAAAAATATTGGAAAACCATTGGTAATTGCATTGCAAAGTCCGGCAATTAGAGGCTATGTTTCGACGTGCATATAAATGCCTTGCGAATGAATTGTGGTGGGACTATAAATGATAATATGACATTTAAATGTGAAAAAGTTGGTCAAAACTCGGTATAAATAACTGGTCTAAAAAATAATTCTTAATTTTCAATTTATTAATGATTGACAGCTCATTATCACGGTTTCTTTTCCCATTTCCCACAGCATTTTTGTGAATATTACTTTCGAAATGTGGACTGAAAGCAAGAGTTTTTGAAATTGAATTTAATGCTTAACTAAATACGGGTAATGCAAAAATAATGCTGGAAACTTTGATGTTTTCTACTATACGTTTGTGTCTAAAAATGACTCCGAACGTGAATGGTTCAACATGTCCGTTAAATATATTAAAGGTGCAAATGGTATTTGCATTTATACAGCAATGGTAGCATTCAACCTTTGAATCTTTATAGCGCGTTACAGCCTCAATTGACAAGT